CCCTACTCCATGCCTTCACCCAGCCTTCAGCCTTCACATCACATCCCTGCACAGACTAGTGATCTTGTGAACATCGTATTGAGCAGTTTGGGGGCGACATGTGAACTTGATTGGACTTGTCATGATCTGATGCCATCCTGGGAACCCTGGTCCTACTTTCGAAATTCAGACAGGTTCTGAGATGTAAGCGTTTATGAACCAGGTATGATCGATTCTGCTGCTGTTGGCCTTGACCCCAAAGGCGTTGACTTCTGCAAGAACTGCGTTGAGCTACTTCATGGCGGCTTTCAGAGTTGCATTTGGCGCTGGGGCGTGCCGCAAAGCAAGAGTGCGCAGCAAAAAAGGCGTCAGTTGAGTTCCTGGAGCACTGCAAAGACATCTTTCAAAAGAGGAAATGCGCCTGGTCGCCCTCGGGCTTCTCGTTTTTCAGCTCTTCCTGGCTGGTGTCGGCTGGTCTCAAAGGTTGGGTTGCTCTTTGTTGAGCCCTCAACAGATCACTAGCACCGTGAGACAAGCCGATCTTATCTGTGGCAGTCATATGTGGGAAATGATGGTCTTGATGCGAGCACACAAGCAGCCGTGCACGGGCGTCTTCTCACAACTTCTCTGCATGCAATCCTTAAACGAGCACCTGCAACACGCGTCACGGGCAAGCCTTTTCTGATCGCCACAAGATTCGGTGCGAAGCGAAATTCGACTGATCACCTTTTCGCCAGTGCTCAGTCTGCTGCTCCCAGTTGCTCTCACTTGAAGGCGACCTTCGGCAATCACTAGACACAAGCCTTCTACCAAGCAGACGCATCTCCTACGTGAAATTAGAGTCAGCATCAGAGAGGGAGAGAGAGAGAGACAAAAATTAAATAAAAACAAAGAAGGCATGAACGAAAGAAAGGAATGAAGAGAGAAAATGAAAACTTCAAAAAAGTTCAAACAAAGATTGACTGAATGAATGAATGAATGAATGAATGAATGAACGAATCAGATAGATGAAGAAATCCGCTGTGCGATCCTTCAGGAACTAGGGGTCTGCACCATCCACCATTCAGTCGAACTAGATGTTCCATTCTATAATTCCCCGCGAAGTCGCCGCTGGCGCACATCACTTTGCTGCTGGCCACTCCGCACCAGTGAGCGAGACCAAATCCTGCAAGCGCCGGTTCACGCTGAATACCTTGGGATGTCCCCCCGCTATACTAACAGTCCTTAATCGGGAATCTAGTACTCTGCTGTACTCCCTACTCAGGACTGTTAGCACAGGGGAACATCCCAATGCATACCCAAAAGTGGTTATGCACAAGTGTCCATGTCGGATGGATTCCGAAGACAGACAGGCTGGAATTCTCTCATTGTCGGATCACCATAACCAACTCACACCTGGCCCCAAATATGTACACTTACCGCGTAAGCGAGAATAAGAAAGTTATTAAAAAGGGAAGAAGCGAATTTGACTAAGAGTCTAGCTCGTGTAACGCTTTAGTGAAGTTTGTAAAGGAAGTTGAAGTAACAAATAAACTTCAGCAATTTTCTGACGAAATTCCCGATTCCTTGCCCCCTATCTGGATAATCTTGTGTAGTCTCGCATGACTATTTTACTTGCGTTTGAGTTTTCATATGAGAGAAGCCATACACCTTTCCAAAAAAGGCTAGGTTTTGTGAAAGGCGTCCCACCAATATTCGTAAAATGTGAAACGATTTGATCGCGTTCTTCATAAGACAATGCATGCACAATGACTTGTGAATGTGGTGCGTAGAAGGCGGTGGTTTTGGGCTCTACATGTGAATATTTTACTTGTGTTTGTGTTTGAATATGAGAGAAGCCATACACCTTTCCAAAAAAGGCTAGTTTTTGTGAAGGACGTCCCACCAATGTTCGTAAAACGTGAAAAGATTTGATCGCGTTCTTCATAAGACAATGCATGCACAATGACTTGTGAATGTGGTGCGTAGAAGGCGGTGGTTTTGGGCTCTACATGTGATTTTTGTTAGAGTTTTCATATGAGAGAAGCCATACACATTTCGAAAAAGGCTAGTTTCTGTAAACTGCCAGCCACCAATATTCGCAACATGTGAAACGATTTGATCGAGTTCTTCATAAGAAATGCATGTACAATGAGTTGCAAATGTGGTGAGTAGAGGGTATTCTGGTGCCCTACATGTAATCCGCCGAGGCCTAGGGCCGAAGGTGTAAACGAGCCCAAAGCCACATGTCGGGTTCTTTTTTGCCTGGAATGGGTGCCCCCCGTAGCCAGGGGCAGTTGAAGCCCCCCCCCCCTTTCCCCCCTGCTGCCCTGCCCCCCTGCTACCCTGCCCCCCCTTGCCTTTTGCAACTGGTGTGAGCATTAGGTTACGAATCCTGTCGAAGCCGAACCGTCTAAACCCTGAACCTTGAACTCGAAACCCCAAAACCCTAAACCCCAAACCAAAAACCTTGAGCCCTAAGCCCTCAACCCTAAACTAACCCTCAACGCTAAACCCTAAACCCGGAACCCTAAATCCTAAACCCTAAACCCAACCCTTTTTGCTTGGGGTCCAGCGACTTGGGCGCTGCGGAATCACCGTGCTCACGCGGATGCGCTGGGCCGGGCCGAGGCAGGTCGCGTAGCGTTAAAAATGTTTTACTTGTGTTTGTGTTTTCATATGAGAGACTACCCACCAAAATTCGTAGAATGTGAAACGATTTGATCGAGCTCTTCATAAGACAATCATGGACAATGACCTGTGAATGTGGTGAGTAGAAGACGGGGTGTTTTTGGGCTCTACATGTGATTATTTTACTTGCGTTTGAGTTTTCATATGAGCGAAGCCATACACCTTTCCAAACAAGGCCCGTTTTTGTGGAAGACAGCCACTAATATTTGTACAATGTGAAACGATTTGATCGAGATCTTCATAAGAAATTGCATGTACAATGACTTGTGAATGTGGTGAGTAGAAGAGGGTATCTTGGGGCTCTACATGCGATTATTTTACTTGTGTTTGTTTTGTGTTTTCATATGAGAGACTACCCCCCCCCCCCCCCCCCCCCCCCCCCCCCCAACAAAGCCTGCCCCCAAAAATTTGCCTTGACGGGTTGCCTTGTTACAGAAGCTCAGGCCGAGGCGGGTCGCGCAGCGTTGAAATTAGTAACATGTGAAACGATTTGATCGAGTTCTTCATAAGAAAATGCATGGACAATGACCTGTGAATGTGGTGCGTAGAAGACGGTGTTTTTGGGCTCTACATGTGACTACTTTACTTGTGTTTGTGTTTTCAAATAAGAGAAGCCATACACCTTGCGAACAAGGCTAGTTCTTGTCAAAGACTTCCTTCCCACCGACATGAGTCAGACTATGCCACGATTTGAGTGAGTTCTTCATAAGAAAATGCAGGTACAATGAGCTGTGAATGTGGTGCGTAGAAGACGGTGTTTTTGGGCCCTACATAATCTGGAATCTTATGCTATGGAACGCCGGTCCCTAGAACTTGGGCCCCATGCAGCTCAGAATCTTGGAATGTGGCAAGTCGAGCCCCAGAACTTGGAGATGTGGAGTGGTGCATGAGGTCCAAAATTTGTGGGTTTTTGCATGAAGAGGGGGTTGGGCTCCCAAAATCTCGGAGTTCAGGGGTGTGGAAATTGGGATGTCGAATGTTCGGTCTAACACTTCGGAGGAGAAAATTTCTGGCGATACTAGTAAAACTAGGACTATTAACGGTACTAACACTACAAGTATTGCCATACTCATTCCGACTCAGTCCACACTCCACAATGTTATTGTTTTATGTGGAGGCAAGATTGCGGTCACGACCTCTCAGGAAGTCATAAGCCCCTTGCCTTGTGTGATTTGGTATACAACGCACCAGAAGTGTGGAATCCATTGTGAATTATTAAGGCACCTGTGAGAGGAATGCATCACTCACATGTCGCTTCTGTTCAGACAAGCAAAAAAATGCAATTCCGTGTGAAAAAAGCGCTCCTGTAATGGGGCCCATTCTCTAAGAATATGCAGGCTCGCTGTATATATAGAGCTTGGGAATACAAACCTTTTGTGCAAGGAATGGTTTGCCATGGCAGAGAGATGAGTCAGGACCAAGCAACCCAAATGAAATACTTAGACCTCCCTGACAGATACATATACTGATTCCTGTTTCAAGGCTCATTTCAATGGAGAGGCGGCTTTGCTTGCCAGGATTCCGGAAAAAAAACAGATCTCCCCCCCCCCCCCTCCCCCCCCCCCCCCGCGGAAAAAAACAAAAAGGCGCCAAATGACACCAAGACTGGGACCTCTCAGAACCGATCAGGATAATCATACACACGCCTGTGCATGATACAGATGCTGCTTGGTAAACACATACATACTACAGACGACATTACTTGGCGCAAAAGCACACTTCACCATGGCGTGACCTGAGGAAAGGGGACCATATATGTGGCGTGTGTCAAAACAAGCTTGCCGGTCCCGTCTCCACGCGCTTTTGAATAGAAAGACAACAGCACAAAGTCCTCCCATAGTCTGGCACGCTTCTGATCATCCTTGGCACTCTCACCCACACACAAACAATATTGGCACTACATTTACATTGACATTGCCTCTCCATGTCGTCAAGCAAAGTGCATGTATGTCCAGGCCCCCTGCGGAGATTTCGCCACCCCCGAGGCTCTGCCCGGATCTCTCTTGATAGGAGTCCTGGCAACTCATGTTTCGTAACTTCACCAATGCGAACTGATGCAAGGCTGCGTTGCGAACCTGTCATCTGACAACTGGCATGCTATAGACACTTTGCAGCTGCAGATCCCCGCTGCCTCTGTGAGCATTCGGAAGGACTTCCTTAATGACCAGTACAGCCGGGCTGTGTCTGCGGCGCAGAGAGAAGACAACCCTCTTGATAAAAACAGCAAGCACAGAGATTCGCAACACCGCATGAACTAGAGCTGTGATCTCATTCGTCACAGTGTGATCTTTCACGTTCCTGGCCGCATTACTGACCTGTATCGCCTTGATCCTCAAGCGCAGGCGCCACACCTACTGCTGGTGCAGCGCTGCCCGTGGAAGACAATTCCCAGGTCCCATGGTGCTGCCCGCGGACGTAGCGGTCCGTACAGAGCTTCCCCCTGACCACCAGCCAGCGCGAAGCATCCTTCCGGGGAAGCCGCGATCATACGCCAAAAGACGCGTTAACTTGCTCTGCTACTCTTGCTGCGCCTTTAGCTTTGAGGTGCTGCGTTGGCACAAGTCCATCACACTGCAAACTCCCCGCACCAATGAGAGGCGCATTCCCTATGCCCATGAGAAGAGTGGCGAACAGTCTCAGGGGATACGTATGAAAGCTCAAGTGGATCTAAAATGAACCCAGAAAGCAGCGGAATGCCAATTGTCTATCGGCTGCGGTCTTCGTGTCGACTGTGCCGGGGTCCATGGTATGGAAACATAGCCTGGCACAGGATCTGTGTGTGCTCTGATTCCTCCGCCCTCGGCATTCTGCAAATTCTGCATCCGAGAAGTACGATCGGCCAAGACTACCAGCCACAACTTGCCTCGGGGCGTCCCCATACCGGCGATCCATCTCGACGATCATCATGGCATCACATAGCTTGCCTTAGTTTGATGGCCCTCGCGGATTCAGATTTCTCTGTGAACCCACCTAAAAGTCGGCGCAGCTTTGCTGTGTAATTAAGGGCTCGCCGTGTCACCCCAAACAATAGTTAGCATACCACATCCCAGTCCGAAACACCCCTCAAGGCAATACAGCTACTATTTCAGGTTAAAAGCCATGGACCCGTTGCTCCAGTCTGTAGCCTGCTGATTGCTCCCTCAGCCACTGAGGGAGTAGGCGCGGTGACCAGACCACCCAGACCTTGAGATGTGGAATCGGGCACAGGAGCGCACTGTCAGCACTGGACCTTCCTGAACGCGACAAGTCGCTGCAGCTGCAGGTCATTCAAGGCATCGCCACTGCCCTTGGAAACCGAAGACGTCACCTGCGCATAAACATGCCCGACTTGTGCCCCAAGTCACCGGCTGTCACCGGGTCACCATTTGGGTATCCGCGTGATGCTGAAGCATCACAAGCTCGACGCAAGCAACACAGAAAGCCAATACAATCCAACCAAAACTTGAATCTCACTGAAGTTCGCAGTGCGGCGGGTTCGGCGGGTCAGTGTGACACACATGATAAAGAAAGCATGCCAGAAGACCAGCGTAGCAACATTCAAAGAAAGAAGCCCCCCACCCCCCCAAGTTGAAGCTCTAACTGGGCGATGCAATTGGGGCTTTCAATGGTTTTGGTCTTGCGCTTCAAAGCCTGCAAAGCCCATGGTTCTGGGGGCAAGTTGTCGTCTGTGCCACTTAGCGGACTTCTATGATCCGCAATAGGTGACCAACAGACTCCAGAGCACAATTCAAGAAACAGCCGAGCCACCATGATGCGCCCTGCACCAGATGCCTTGACCGTCCTTGACTGGCGGCTTTCTTGACTGAACATGTCATTGTCGGGCATGCCATCCGTATGCACACCATGCTTCTTCATGAGAAGCGATGTGAGCAAAAAGGGTGCCATGACCTGAGGTTTGTAGTTCGAGGTGTCTCTTGTGCAATTGTAGACTTGAATTGCAGTACCTTCTGAACCTTTCGACAGTACGCCGCTCTAGCCGGTCTGAAATTTTCAGCCAGGCTGCATTAACCGCAAGGGAATATTCATTGCCCTCCTCGGTCTCTACACGCCGCCCCGTGTAGTCGCCATCAAAGGTGCCAGCATTGTTCAGAAGACCATGAATCTGAGGGAACCTCGGAACTTCTCAAGAGCTGTCGAGAGCTGACGGGTCGAAGAGCCTCTACAGGCGCCACAAGCAAGAACACCAAGCTTCTGCCCAAGACACTTTTCGGCCACCTCCTCGCCCAACCGGCGGACTTCCGACATCAGGCTGAGGTCTGCCTCCAAGCAGGGGTCGTGCCAGTTCTCTGCCTTATAGCCTGACACCTGAGCATAACATGGCATAGCTTTCTGCACAAAGGGCAAAGCATGGATGCAAGACAAACTTTTTGGTCACCAAAATGCGAGAACCCCACCTGGACGCCGTGCAACTTGGCATGGGGCGCCAAGCGCTGCAGTTCCGCTATTGTAGCCTGAAGTAGGATCTTCATGTCGAAATCTCGCAGGCTGTCACGGGCTCGAGTCTCAAACCTTTATTTCAGCAGTGGCACCTCGATCTTGCGAGGATTGCGGCCATGGATGATGACCTCGAGAAGTCTAAGCGGTGATAGAACATCGCGTGGACGCTGCTACGTAGGTGGTGCACATGTCGGAATGAAGCGCTGAGACTGGCATGTGGTTGTTGGAACTACGGGTACTAAGAGAGGACACTGAGCCAAGGCGCCGTGGAGCCTAGCTTGGCCAGCTGCTCTGCTGTAAACTTTCCAATGCCATCCGTTGAGCCAGTAACCATGAAGATCCGCTCCTGCAACGTGTGCGATTGGGGTCCACGACATCGAAACCTAGACGACTGGCTTTCTATGATCGCGCAACGAGGGTTTTTCCCCACCCTTGGACTGGGTTATAGACTTAGAGTCAATGATGCTCCTCGCCTCCCCGACTCCTCGTCCGGTGCCCCGCCCCGCCCTCGCGGGCCCGGTCCCTGGAGTGCCTGTTCGCAGAGAATCCCGTTACAGAGAAGCCCACAAAGAACCCAACCGAGTGTTCCTGGAGTGCTGCGGTCGAGTATTGGATTTGCTAAAGCAATTCGAAGGTTGTGACATGTCTGGCTAACCTGGCAAGGGCCAGATGATGCCTTATAGCCTTAAGAGGGGGTGGGGGGAGATCGGGGTGGTTTGCGGGGTTGACCGCATTAAATCAAGACTTGGTAAGCAAAAAACAAAGCTCCAAGGCATGACAAAGTATTCGAGAACTCGGGGAAACGCGGCGTCCTGCACTGGTGGCGCGCTGCCAGCCATAGCCAGCCTGGCGAGGAGAACCGATGAGCTCACCGGCGATGGTTCGTGACGGCTGCACTCCCGTTGTTGACGAGTGTCGAGCAGGAGCGCCAACTTACAGCGAGGCTGGTGGCAGCAGCAGCTACAGCCACCACCTTTCACACAAGCGAATCGCAGTGAAGCTTGGATCAACTGGCGCAGCTGACAGCATCGCTCTGATCTGAGGCCTTCGGCCACTTCTTCAGCGACATGCGCAATGCGACCCAACCCACCGTGGGGGCAGTTGTTTCGGGACAATGCGTGTTGGCACCGAGGCCTTATAAAGATCTGACGGCATCTGTGCACGTAGAACATCAATTTCCGAGTTCTACGTTCAAGGTCAGGACTTTACCAAGCCACTTTGCATGCCCTTCTGTGACCGGGATGCTTGACAGGCGTGGGATAGAAAATTGGCGTTTGCGCAGGCTGCTCGAGAACTACGATGAACTACGTCTGACCCGATGTCATCACGGCTAGCGACAACTCCGCTCGCGCCCGTCTGTTTTCGATCGGGGCCCCATCGACTCCTGCCCAGGTATCGGTGTACCGAGATGCAGATGAGTCATAATTCAGATTGACAGCCGCCACACTATGCACATGATGTTCTAAGCCTCTCGGGGCGCGCAAGCTGTAAGCAAAGCATGCGCAGATCGAGCCAGTCACAATGACAGCCATACTGAGCACCAAAGCACCACCCACGTGCATGGCTGCTACCGAGAGAATTCCTATTGTTTCAGACGGTTCCGTGGTTTCTCGGCCGCTGAAGATATTGAAACAGATTTGACTTCAGGGCTAAGGCTCAAGGATACGCAAAGACTTTGATGTTGCTATGGCTGGTCTTGGTGCTTGTGCGACTATGTCATGGTTGCTCACTGAATGCCTCAGCCGCTTTCCTCTTTCTCGGATCTAATTACAGTTTGCACCCATGACGGGCACACGAAGATGACATGACGGCGCAACATAAGGCGATGAAAGTACTTACCCTACCTCAACGGACCAGTTTCTCCTGTGATGCTACATGTGGGTCTGCAGCTTTTGCAGGGCGCTAAGCGTCCACCGCAGCGGTCAATCCGCAGATTCCTATTCGGGAACCCAGCTGCACCACAGCCTTGCGTAGACCAAGCCAGCCTGCATCTGCCTTTCAACCCAATGATCTCGAGGATTCCCAATCATGGACAGGCCTCTAATGCAGACCTGACTCGGCATTGCAAATGACGGCGAGCCAACCCGACTCCCTGGACGGACGTGGGGCCCACTCATTTCTAATCACAGCTAAAGCAACTTAGCTGCTCGATGTTATCCATCAACCCTTCAGAGACATGTCTGTGTTGTGCACTAGATACCTTCCCTGCACTTGCATGAGCCAGAGCGTCCCCACGCAGCTGCATGGAGCTCCAATGCACCAATGTGCATGCTTCTTCTCCTCGTTGCTCACGGGCACCACGTGGCCCAGCAAGACGAACAGTAAACTTGTCCATGGTAGACGCCTGTGCCCAACCAGCCTGGAGATCAGATAGTGTGCAGACTCTGCCTTGAGGACTCCAAAGCATTCTTACTATTACATTCATGAAATGGGGAGCGCTTCACTACGGTAGCACATAAGCAGTTCCTCTTGTCATACTTACAATGTACGCTGGCTGCTGCGTTGTGCATCGGGACATGCCGGCTTTGCAATACTGCACCAAAAGCCTGCTGCATGCACCGTAACCACTCCGTGCCTTGTTTCGGGCAAGGTAAGTGGCAGGTGTGGCACTTTAGTCTAAAGCAGCTTAAAGAGTTCAAGGCTTCGAGATATGAACTGCGGGAATGGGGAAGGATTTTGGGATGAAGGTGCTTTGGGCTTTGAGTGCGAATTGATGAAGGTGCTTTTGTGGCCAGACGTCTGGCCCAGCGCCACGAGGCAGTTGCAGTAAGGATTGAAGATGCCCGTAGCGCTTGGGAATTGTGAGGGTAAAGCGAAGTTGAGGGGAAATAGTGCTTGAGGCTTCAGGCGCGAATTGAGGGTGCAAAGGGGGTGCTGTGGGTTTCCATGGTTAGGCTTGAGGGACGGTCTTAACCTGAAGGGACGTTCTTAACCCCCCCCCCCAAAGAAACGAAGGCCCAAAAGCAGACCCGTTGAGTAACTACTCATGGTATCCGGATTTTGCCACATGCACCCAATGACACATTCTGAGAAGCTCCAAGCTTGCTTTGAGAGGCAAGGACATGGACTATACCCTCACATTTTCACTCTCCGCACCTGCTCCTGCGGATACGTCTGCTCCACAGCCACTGCACGTCACGTCGGTGTCGTTCCGCCGCTTGTTGGACTGAACTCCCTCGAAAAGCGCGGATTCTGATTCTGACCAAGGAGTTGAATTGAAGTGCAAACGCCCACATTCCACGAATAGAAAGTCCAGGCTCGCGGCATGACGCCGATCCCTCGACGCAATCCTGATGAGTCGCACTCATCGTTTTGAGCGCACCAAGTATGACAACGAACAAAGGCGCGCAGTGACCGGTAGTGACCTTGTTTTGCATGCCAAAGGCTTTGGGAAAACTCTATGCCGACCCCAAATACCCTCAATTCTTTTCGAGAGGCCCCGCTCGTGGTGGCTCATCCGTGCTGCCAGGCCAACTGAAGTCCTGCTGTAAGTGCTGTGGCGCGAAAATCTTCTGTTCCGCGGCATGTGCAAACTAAGTCCCCCGCAGCATCCATGGCGCCTGGCCACCCCGGCATCATTGAAGCCATCTCCTCCCACATGCCTCCAGGCAGCACCCTCCAAAAGCCCGTGAAGAGAGTGCCCCCTACAATCATCTGCAATCGCTCAACATGGCTCCCTGGCACATGCTTGTGAGACAAGTCACCACCAGATCCACCAGGCATCCGTGTGCGCATTGGATCAGGGCGCGAAGGTGCAGGCATTGTGCGGAACATTCCAGCTGGAAATTGGCCAGGATGGAAGATAGGCCTGATCCGACATCAACCGTCAACTCAATACGATGTCTGTCTTTATGTGTCTTTGCTATGTCGGTGCAACTCAAGATCGACTGTCGACCGGAGGGTCTTTCATCGAGTTCCAACTGCAATCCGAGGGACTGCCCGTACTGACTGCTCATCGACCTGAAGCTCCACTGGTGCACCCTACTCCGAGCCCATGATGCTCTAGACTCCAGCTGAAGCATGGAGATGCAGACCCCACCAATCCAACACCGCAACTGCCCTCAAGGCAACAACACAAGTCAGGCTCAACGCGAGCATACGCCCAAGCGGCAACATTTGCGGACTGGGCGTCTCGAAAAGCATTGATGGGTTCCTCAGCTGGCAAGATGTGAGAGCGCACAGACTTCAAGACTTCAAGCAGCACAACTTTCCATGCGAGGTAGGCCAGGTAGGCATCATGTAAAGAGGATTTACGTCGCGACGCGAACAAAGCTGGGGATCATGTCGTGACACTGCAGATCAGCGAGCATCTGCTGTCTTAAAAATGCGTTTCCCAAACGACTACCCTGACCATGAAAAAAACAACAACGACGACCCTGACACAATCCGCAACATTCAGGATTTGAATGTTATGATTTGAAGCTCCTTGCGTCAGATCGTCAGGCTGGGCTTACACTCGTGAACAGATGAAGTGCAACCTAACCAATCGTGCAACCTAACCAATGAGGTACAGTGACAGCGCTGGATAAGAAACGTCTAATTTTCATTGAGGGTGCCCTCAACTTCTTAACTTTCAAAAATTGAGGGGCTGGAGTCTTTTTTTGAGGGGGCAACCCCCGAAATCCAGAATTTGAGGGGCAAAATTCCTTTTTTTGAGTGGAGGTTGGTTGCAAAAACAGCCGGCAAAGATTGCAACTGGCACAGAAATATGACTTTTCGCAGCTACGTGACTTGTGTTCAGTGTAAGTTTAGTGTAGTTTAGATATTTTTTGGGACAGACGTACTGCCCTCATTCGAAGCCTGCTAGACCTGCAGAATCATAACGGCGAGAAGCAAATTTGTGAATACAGGAAGGCACATAATGAACTAGGTTGTTCTTGGGCGCCCTGAAGACGAACGGGAAGACCCCTCCCTCCCCTAGACATCAGCCACAGATCAAGTAGCAGCCCCAAGCTAGCCGCGCACCTACGATCTCTGCCACCGGTGCCACCCATGCACTGAAGACCTTCAACAGGCTCGTGGATTGTGGGTTGCCGCAATTTGTAGCAGCTGACGTCATTCATCAACTTCAATATGTCTATTTTACCCCCTTTCTTGCAGACTGACAAGGGGGAGCGACTCGAAGTCCCCGGCACACTCTAGTGGATTCCAGGCTGCCCATTGCCTCCAGATTCAGCGCTAGGTTCTCATTGAAAGGGAGGGCAAGGGTGACGTAGTTGCCTGCCAAACAGAGCCGGATTCAGGCCTTGAGATGCCTTGAGATGCCTTGAGCGACCTCATCTTGAGTCTGCTGGTTATCAGAGCCCAAGGTGCCCTGCAGCAGCCGGTGGAGGAAGTCCAAAGCATCCAGGCCACCAGCGCAGCCGCTCATCACCACGTAGCATGTGAGCTCCTTCTTTCGAGTTGCAAATTCCCTTCCGGGCTGAAGACACGAAGGTGCTAGCACAATGCAAAGATACCTTGCCAAACGAACGTATCAACTGCTACGCATTGGGTCATCACGAATGCTTCTCTACGACGCCTCAAGGGCAACAACATGCAGAAGTAATCGAAATTGTGTGAAGTGAAAAAAGCTTAGTACAGTAGTCAGCTCGAACGAGAGAGGATGAGAGGGCCGATGTGTGTTTGCTGTGAAGTTGCTTTTGCTGTGCGGTCGCTTGCCGTTTCTTTACTTGAAGTTAATTACGGCTAAAAAAGCAACGACTGAAAAGCACATCACACGACTTTGGTAGGGTCCTGTCTCTAATGCACCCGATAAGTCTCCACGCGCCTGCAGAGCAAAAATCAAAGCCCGGTAGCTCGTGAAAGAGTGGGGGGGTTGGGGGCGCGCAACCTCCACCCATTTGCAAGTACAATGCTCGGATGATGTGTTTGGCAAAGGGTCCCCGGTTGTCAAGGCCAAGGGGTGGGTTGCATCTTCCACACCTGGCGGGCCCTGTCTTCAGGAATCCGGGTCGACGCCTTTTTCTTTAGAAAAGTTTTCCTTCTTTCTTCCTTCCTTCCTTTCCTGCGCACATAACCCTCCCCCAGTGAGGAGGGCCGCCCGAAGGTGTGCGTTCACCGAGTCGGTTGGTGAGAAGTGGGAGTTTTGAGGGGAAACGACAGCGAGACAGAACTCCCCCCTCCCACAAAGTGCGTGCCCGGTCAGTCAAAAGCATGCATCCTCGGGGGCCTCTGTTGGCCGTGTTCTCCCAAGTCTACCGATGTGTGAGTTACCGCCCTCTCTCTCCATCTCTTTTCATTCATTCCCTCCTTCCTTCCAACGCTCAGGGCGCCTCCAACCCAAGGCGAGCGGGTACCGAGTCTGTCCGTGAGACTCTTGCCCTCTCTCTCTCTCTCTCTTTCTTTATTTCTGTTTCTTTCTTTCTCTTGTTCTCTTTTTTCTCTCTCTCTCTCTCTTTCTTTCTCTCTTTGTCACTTTCTCTCTTTCTCTCTTTCTTTCTTGATTTATCTCTTTCTTTCTTTCTTTCCTTCCTTCCTTCGTTCCTTTTTCTGTCTTTCTCTCTGGTTTTATTGCTATCTTTCTCTCTCGGTCTTCTTCTTATTATTCTTCTTCGTCTTCTGCTTCTACTCCTTCTCCCCCTCCTCCTTCTTCTTCTTCTTCGTCTTATCCTCCTCTCCTCCTCCTTCTTCTTCAGGGCCGAAGGGTCAGGGCACGTGTTTTTCTCTCTTGCTCTCTTTCTTCTTTGTCTTCTTCTTCTTCTTATTCTTCCTCATCTTCTGCAGGGCTTTCGCTCTTTCTCTCTCTCTCTCTCTCTCTCTCTCTCTCTCTCCTGCACGCATAGCTCTTTCTCTCTCCCTCTCTCTCTGTCTCTCTCCCTCCTCCTGTGAAAGTTGTTCACAGTTGAAAAATGTGTCTGGGACAGTGAAAAATGGTTGTTGACAGCTCTCTCTGTTTTAAAGGTCACAAGGGCTTGGGGTTTACGGTTCCGGACTGACTCACTTCCAAGTCGCGTTTTCCTTGTCTTTGCTTCGTGGCCCGGGACTCACTTGCTCACTTCAGCAGAATGGCGACCGCAAAGGAAACAAAAACACGGGATTCCACACCGGCCGTTCTGTGTGCTGAGCGGTCGCCGGTCGACGCCCCAGGACTCACTCACTCACTTCCACCTCCTCGGCCGGGCTGGGTTTACCTATAACCCCAGCGGCCGACCGCACAGCAAAAAAAGCACGACCAGGGGGGTTTACCACACGTTCAACATAAGCCCAACGCACGCAGCGAAATGAAAAACAAAAGTTGTCCAGAGGGCAAGAGCCGAGCCTTCATCAAAAGTTGCGCAGCAATTAAGAGAAACTTGTCAAACAAGTCAAGGTGCCGACATTTGAAGCGAGCACCGGGCATTGTTTCCCACCACGAAGATGATAAGGCCTTGCTTCTTGAATCACGGAATTTTGCAAAACACAGTCGTGACAATAGCAGACATGAAAGTATGCGCTGACTTGTCATTCTACCGAAGCTGAGACCGGGGAGACGTTCGCCGAAATCAGCAAGAAATGGACTTGAAAGCGTGATTCACAGCAACCAAGTCCACCGCCAATGCCACACGCTCCCCAGTGTCCGGTCAAGAGGCCTAGGGCACACAAACGAGCCTCTGCAACAGCGAGTAGTAGAAAAAATGACCCGCACATGCAGCAGAGCGACGGCAGAAGAATACGGAAAGTTGACCCATCAGAGCAAGCGATAAATTCTCGCGCCTGCAGACACATCAGAAGTGAGATGTCTCCAAGCTCCAACTCCTAGTGTCGCTCTGTCGCGCATCCAACGTGATCGCTTGGCATGCTGCTACACGTATCTCCATGCCTCTCTTCCAGGCTTGCCACATTCCTAGGGCGCAGGGTTTAGTAAGGTTTCAGGGCTGTAGGTGTTTGTGGCCCGGGGTGACATGTCTGCTGCCTTCGGCAGGGCAAGCTACATTCAAGCTGAAAACCCCAAGAAGGTCGCAAAGAACCCTGCCGTCCTGCAGGCTCTTGGTAGATCTACACTGGCGCTCTAGCAAATCAAAGATCATCCGAGAGCATGTCTGATGCACTCCATTTCACTCCGAAGTTCGTGACACTATAGTGCGGCACCAAGGCATCCCAAAGAACCTCAGCCCAGGCGTGTCGGAGCCGAACAAATCGCATGTGGTGTGTGGAATGGTGCGCTTCAAGTGCGCTACCACGAGCTTGATAGTGCCGTGCGTGTTGTGCGTATGCATGGAAAATGAGCACGGAATGAGTGTGCACAGCGACCAATAACAGCAGCAGCTACCGCACACAAAAAGGCTCCTTGATCACCAACCACATGTTCACCAAATCTCCGGAAAACGCTTCGAGGCACCCTGCCGCTGCTCACTTCACTGCCTGCATAACCTCCCGCGCAGTTTGCTGTGCCCTGCACGATGTACCTCAGTGGCAGTGGCGCCAGGTTTGCATGGCCTGAAAGGTGAAGCTTCCCAATCGGAAGTCGCTAAGCCGCTACGACCATTGTAGGCAAACTGTTCTCTGCAGCCGGACCTGCCACCCTGTCAGCACTCGGGCAGCTGGGCAAACTACAAGTATGAAGCTAAGCCATTCAATTCTTGATGTGGCATCTTTTCGCGAAAATTCTCGCAAAAAGGCACTCTTTGGATTCGTTCACTTTGCTCGGTTGGCTAGCGCTTGACGTATCAGCACTACTGGAGCGACAAGAGTCTGTGCCCATTCCGCCAGCGACTGAATAAAGGAAAGAGGTTGTGAGCAGACGCGCGCCATTGCTTCGGTCAAGGCATCTGCGGCAATTGATATTCTCACTTCTCTAAACTCTAAAGTCTGGTCCATTTTGGGGTCCTTATTATAAGTCGGGCCGTCCTATTTAGAGCAAACAAGGCCTTATTCTTGAGAACTGACCGTATGAGTCGGCTAGGGGGCATTGCTTGCTTGGCAGCTGTTGCCTTCATTCAACGCAATGCGTTTTGAAGCAAGAAAGGGCCCTCATCGGCCACCTGGCTTGAGATCATATAACAGGGAGCTGCAGCGGCGAAACATGGCGAAACTTATGCAGAGCTCCATGCGGTCTCATTCCGGTATCTTCAAGTTGAAAAAGAAGTCTGTGCCGAAAACCACCCAGAAGCCAAATACTGTGAAATGACAAGGGCCCCCAGGGTCACATGTCAGCGCTGTATCACTGCTGCACCTCGATCTCGCGATCAATCTGGCTCCAATCCCGCTTTGACTTTGAGGAGGTGGGATAAGCTGGCCTCAAACACTCGACATGACGTTGCCACATCGATGCGAGGGGAAGGCGGATGCCCTGCACAGCCTGCAGGGGATGCTGAGGATGCAACTGGTCCGGTGGTATCTCCAAAACCGCTTCCGCTTCCTTCCTTCCAGTAGGACAGCACCCCGACAAATTCAGGCGGTTCAATCGAGCCTGCTGAGACCCACAAAAGACGGCTGCCAGAGCTTTAGGTAGCTTGGTTTGCATCCACCTGCGGTTCATTCCGGGGTACATCACCACCTTAGTTCGAACTGACTTGCTCGGCAGAAGCCTCTCCAAGTCTTTCCAATGCAGGCTGACATTCTGCTTCTCAAGCGTCACCTGAAGGGAGCACATCGTGTCAGACAAATCGATGGTCCCATGGCACAGCCGCAGGGTTTGGCATAAATTCCTGCAACGAAAGAATTCTTCTGAAACCGAGTCGACCTCTGAGCCAGGACATGTGTACTTGGATACAGAGTGCCGCGCTTCAACTTTCACCTTCGAAACCTGCAGACGTGAACACGACATGAAGCAGGGCTACCGGCTGGCTCTCGTCGAACAAAACAAGCAATGCAGCAAGACAACTCAAACCACCCGCTGTGATTCTCCAGCTGGATCAGAGATGAATACCTAGAAACCCTAGCTTGACACAGGGCAAGGCACAACCAAACGCGCACATGTTGTGCCACGGCACGATCAGACGCGAAGGGGAAGGGGAAGGGGAAGGGGAAGGGGAAGGGGAAGAGACAGAATAGAGAGAAGAGAGAGAAGAAACGTACTGGACGCGACACGAGCAGAGAGAGAGAGAGAGAGAAGAAAAAAAAACATCGGGAAAGAGCTGCTGGTGAGCATCACTTCGGACTCGGCCCTAGATGCTTTCCAAGCAAAGGGCCATGCAACTAAACGTGACGACGAAGGAGCATAGCTGCACCTACCGTGTCTGTGCCGGCTGGAGGCTTACAGGTGCTTGCGGGTGTTCACACGCCCAGGCATCAAGAGGCAAAGACGCATGGACACTAAGGCGAGCATACAGGCAAAAGCCTGGCAGAGAATGGCAAGGAGACAAGCACAGTCTCACACAGACGGACAAACAGATGCCGCACTCCCTGCTTCACTTGATTCGGAATCTACTGTTTTGGCCCTAAACCAGCTGGCCTCAACCTTGCATCCTGCAGGATTGATAGAGTCGAAGAGATCCTCGGTCACGGGTTGGGGCTCGACTCTCACACGATCTCATTGCTTGCTGGACAGATTGGACACAGCAAGCGCAGCAGAACAGCCACGGGCCACGGAACGCGAGGCCCGCCTAAACGGAAACCACTACCTACGAATCTCAAGTCTTGGGTACAGTACCTGATGCAATTTCCGATGTTTAAAAGCACCGCCTGCGCTCCTGGAAGATCCGACGGCACTTCGGCTTAGAAGCCCTTCGACTCACGCACAATCACACAATGGGCCCATGATGCCCATGTATCCCCATGAGATTCCCCATGTCTCTGCAGGGCCATGGGCCCTTGTCGGCCTTCGTGTGTCTTGGTACATCTCGAAGGCAGGTGCTGGAGCAAGTGCCGCCCATTTACAGCACAAGAACTGTTCCCACGCGCTGCATGCGAAGGTTTCAAGATGGTTTTTGGCGCAGGGGAGCAGGCAGAAAACAACTGATCACACAGGAAGGTGCCCGCAAAGCTGTGGCGAATGCTGATGTTGGAAGCCGTCGGGAAACAGGGTCCAGTGCCAAAATCTGGCGAGTCCAGTGGCGCCCTCCAATTTTAGGATGCGCCAATGCTGTGATTTGCGGCCCTCAGATGCTCCGAACACGCGCGAATACTGCGACTTGAGTGACGCACTGTAGCATTTGGAAACTTTGACGACACTCTGACAGCAGCCCAGAAGCAGAGCACTTGAGATCTAAACTGTAGTCTTTTTTGGAGGAAAGGCCCAACGATCACAATAACACTTTCAGACTACAACACGAACACAAAGCTTAGAAAAATCCTCCAACGAAGTTTGCATCTGTTCTGGTTTCGGCCCTCAGGCTTGGCTGCACCTGTTCGGGCTCGAGGGTCTAGCCTTTGGGCATGTAGCAACATGTGGTGCAATAAGCCCTGATGAGCCTGTGTGCATCAAACCTTGTCATCACATGAGACTCTGTCTTGATGCCATGGTTTGCCCTTGTAGAGTCCCGCGGAACTGATCGTCAAAACTACGGGCTGGACCAAATTCAGCTGGTACTCCTCATCTGTGGACCTCAGCTTGGTTTCCTGCTTGCATTCGAATGGGGGGCCCCATCACAGTTTCCATGCTTCTGAGATGTGCTTTGGGATATAATTACTGTCACATCTGCAAGGGTTGAATTTTGGGAGTATGAGCCTGACTATCACCAGGCGTGACACTTGCAACCTCCTAGGTGGACTTGCCGCATGTGAGAGGGTGGCCCAGGAAGTGGGAAGACCACCGAGATCTCCTGGCCGTTGGCTGTGCATTCGTTCAGGCTGCTGCTGCTCAGGAAGACTCCAGGTTGCTGTTTAGCTTCAGCTGCCTTCTCCTGGAAGTCTGTTCTGCAACGCTCCTGGCAAACAGGCAAGCTATGACAAGCTATGATACGACTGGACTCCTCGTATCACCATTTATCACCCAGCTCAACACGTCAGCACCGGCGCACAGCGGATGTGAAGCCGCACATCCATTCAGCCAGGCCTGATCCACGCCCTTGGCGAAGAGTGTTATGAACACGTGGGTGTTGCTCTGGTACCTGGTCTGTCGCAGAACCAGGTAGCACAAGCACATCTGCGGCCGATTGTCGACATGCACTCTGGCTGCGCAAAGAACCTCATCGAAACCTGAAAATGTCTGAAGGGCAAGGGCCAAGGGCTTTTGACCCCTAAACTAAACCCGTCCCAGCAGACTGCGGCACCATTCCCGCTTGACCGGCTTCCGACCTCGATTGAATCTTAGCACAACAGCATCAACGCAAAGAGGTGCTTCGTGGCTGCTCAGATGTTGCGGTAAAAAATCAGCTCCTGTAGAAATTCGGTGCACTCCTGACACGTTCTGCAAACTGCGTTGGCATTCACTAGCATCACAACTCCGCAGGGCTCAGCTCAACACCTGAAATCGATAGCGGAGCTGATGCGTTCTGCACCTGCAGGATCGTGGTGAGATGTGGTATGTGCTTGAGACGGAACGGACCGATCTATACAGACATAAGACTTGTCAAAAGCGACAAATATGCAGAGCGACATCTCAATTCTAGACTCCTCTCCCACAGCCTCCGTCTGCACGGCCTCTGCCGGCGGCGCTTTCCTTAAGACTCCACGGCTCTCTGCATGGCTCTGCAGCTGGAAGTGCTGGGTTCGTGACTCAGCAGCTCGTGAAGCCTCAGCTCGTGAAGCCTCGGCTCGTGAAGCCTCGGCTTGCGAAAGCGCCGATCGCATGGAAGCACTACTTCAGCATCTCTTCCTATATGTCTTGCGGCCGACCAAGGGCTGAAAGCACTCCTATGCAAGCTCAAAGGCCCGGTATGGCCACACAAGCACATAGAAGCTTTCAGCTCTCCAGTTTGCAGCGCGCAAGAAACCATTGCTAAACCAAAGCAGCTAGTAGTCTGCAGTCTGGTGGTGCAACCCCCTGATCGTGAAGGCTGCATCTTATAAGATCAAGAACGGGCGAGGCCATTGCGCAGCTGAGCGACAGATGACGCAGCAGGTGTGGGCGCGTCCTTTGATGCCTGTCGCAGTTTGACGAATCAACCCCGTCACTACAGGCTTCAATATCAAGGGTCATGGCCCTTCCGGACATCGCGCTTTTTTTTCGCGCCGACGCGCCCCAAGAGCCACTCTTGAAGTTTGACATCACTTGTCGGTGAAGAAATCGCCACCATGTACTTAGGTAGTCTTGCCGTGTGTTGGCGCCACTTCTTCACGGGCCCAAAACCTGCAGTTGACGGGAACCAATTGCCGATTACATGACGTCTTCTATCTCTTCATGCACAAACGATACCTACTCAACAGTAACCATTCAAAGGCGGGGTGCAGCCTGAATGGGTCCAAACTACACACTCCTCGACACGATAAGTAGTAGAACTACAGCAACGTGCAAGCAGTTGAGCTGAGAGACAGGTGCCCCCCGAGCATCTGAGGACATCTAAAGGCGTCGCTTCAGACACGGGCGCCGCACCCATATCAAAACAAACTACCCGTTGTTATCGCACAGAAGAAGCAGTGGGTACTGCCAGAGATGGATGATATGAGGAGCTGCATGCCACATTGATGCATCTTGCAACAGCCTTGAACAGGGTGGATAACAACGGCTTCTTGAATCCTGGATCTGCGCAGTCTCTCGAAGATTCCAACTTGCTCTCTTTGAAAAGCCGGCCGAAATGAGGGCACAAGAGCATCTGAGCTACACTGCTAAAGGAAAGATGGAATCGTCGATCCTCCGGCGATCTGGCTGGAGAGTGATGCAATTATTTGTGAGCAAACCCCCTGGCCAGCTTAGTGTGGCTACCACGCACAACGAGCCTGACATAGCCTGACGTTCTGCATTCCTACCTTCATCATTTCATCCAACAAGGAATTTAAACAGCCGCTTCCCTGTGTTATAAAAAGCTTTCAACTACTGGAAGAATCTGGACGGTCAGCCTCGCCGCAGGGCTCCCCAAGTCTCAGGGAGGTGTGCAACAAGAACCGGGCGGCAGTGGGCAGCAAGCCCACCACAGAGCCCGGAGAGCTAAAATGGGAAAACTTCTGAGGTTTCTCGGTCAGATGCAAATGTCCTCGCGGCAGAGTTCACCCATGACTACCTATGACTATACACTCAACTCTTCCTGGGCGCGAGTACTAGGGGTACGGCGAGGGGACTGTTGAAATTCTTGAAGCTTGTGCTCCGTGCCAGGGAACCCAGAAGTACGTTCCTTATCTATGGGTCGATGGCCTCATCAGCAGCTACGGTTCAGGTACGTGCACGACAAGTCTCCTCCGATTTGTCGACGGGTGCATACAGAGTGGGGTCATGCCTTGGTTGCAGGAGAGACTGAAGGTGTGCTGCCAAAGCTGCCCAGAATCCCCTAAATTTACTAAGGCTACTGGGCACTTTTCATGCAGTAATCCCAGGTTCACTCACACAAACACACAGAAACACCAAGACCTGATTGACTTTCAACATCTTTCAATGAGAGCGATTGCTTGTACAAGGAGCTCAAGGGTGAAACAGCAGTCGGGCTCGACGTCGACGCCAACCTGCACATCTCGCTTCAGGAAGGGTCTGCTTGCGTATGCCTGGCTGCTTGATCCAGATCGTGCCCGACGAGTTCAAAGCCCGCACGAACACCTCCTGATTTCGAACACGTCCCTGCTGCTAACTTGAAGGCCAACATCGTCAGCATCTGAAGGTCATCCACAACCCATTAGAGATACTCGAAAATCGCAAGAAAACACTCCGACCTGAGGGATGTCAACCTCCGGACGGAAAGGGCTCGGCAATGTGCGTGCGCGAAGCGATTGAAAGTTGAACTTTTGCAACCTGGCGGCAGGAAGCTCTCTCAATGCAGAGCAGCAGGCTCGTGAAGCGATTGATGACCCACGACTCTTACAGCCCTCCAACAGGGCCGCGGTGAAGAGGGTGACAGAGACATCCCGTAAAATCCCTCGCCTGAACATGTCATGACTTTGCACTGCCCGTGCTCCGCCGCTGCATCCAAGTCTGTCCGGACAGCGGCGCAGCAGATCCTGCGACTAAACTCCAAGAGCGCCATATGCGATCGGCACACCAGGCACCTAACAGAGTCTTACCGTTTTACCTGGGAAAGAGCCGTCTCAACACCTCTTCGCAGTTTTCCCAACCGCGGTCCTGGACGAAACCTTTGGATTTGCCTCACGTGATCGTGACTGCACGAAAGCAGGCAGCAACATGATGCCCACTCACTGTCTTTCTGCCGAAGTCCTACCATGCTTTCCGGCCTGGCAGCCATTGGCCCAGACAAGTCTATTGTAAAGCCTGTAAAGTCTTGCTCGAACCAAGGCACTGGGGAAGTGGAAGGGGAAACAGATGCCATCCTGCCAAGAAGCGAAGAAGCTGAGTGTCCCGTGACAACCGGCACGTTTGCGTGAGCAGGAGCTGAGCTGCCAGACTCTGTCAGAGGATCCTAACCGGTCCTAACCAAAACCTGACATGATACTTGGCCGACATATCGTGACATGTCTAGACCATTCCCATGTTGCAGAGTCTCAGAGGCTTCTGGCTCCTGCATAGCCTCCTCCTGGCTCCGACGGATTGCCAGAAGCCGCGCCTGCTGGGAATCCGGGCTGAGGCTTACCCCGTGCAACCGGGACCTGTGAAAGAATGCGAACTCGAACGCGAACAGAAACTCGCTGACCGCACTAGCGTTCTCACACGAGCTTATGTGGTTTTTCGATGTTTTTCGCATGCACGCGACGCAGGTGCCGAGAAAAGTGCCACGTTGCCGTCCCGAAGAGAACTATCAGCAAATGAACTTTCAAGGATTTTCAAGGGTTCAGGTGTGCGGAAACCCACGTCTGGAGCTCGGCAACTGAACCCTGTGCAGTCTCTGAACATTTTCGTCTGCCATCTCCAACTCCAAACACGAAGCTTCGAACAATGTCGTAGCCACAGCTACGAGAAGCCCCTTCGCAACTGTCTAATGAAAAACCATGAAGAGCCCCAGGCCATGGGATCTGCAATGCCCTCGTCGTGGAAGGGCGTCTGGCCCGCAAGTAGCTCCTTAAAGGAGTCGGTCTTTTTCATCCAACAAAAACGAAACAGTAGGTGGTCGAGGCCGATACGAGCTTCTGGCTAGACGAGTGGGTGGCTCGTGAGCTGCTGGTGAGGGGATGTTTTGGGTAAGAGCAGGTAAGCAGTTGGTGAGATCAAACCGGGTTGAAGCTTGGCAAACCTTCGTAGCACTTAGACTGTTAGGGCCGTCAGGGAAGTTCGCCCTGCAGGAAGGCTCATAAGCGGATTGGGAGCGAAATGGCAGGAAGCCTGTAAGTGACTTGCAAGCGGGTCGTGAGTGGCTCGTATTTGCAAGGGGCGTGCCGGAGGCAGAAAACCGGAGCCGCAGAAGCCGCTCCGCGGGCAACCGGATCTTATGTAGCCTCTCCCTCACAATTCCTTGTCCAATCATTGCTGCGGTCAAGGCAACTGCTCTAAGGCATTTATTTAATGAGGTGGCCTTATCATCATGTAAGATTCCACACTCCAAGACCGCCCCTCACAATACCTTGCATCTGCTTCAACGTGTGACACCACTGTCAAGCGGGTCAACTCTTTTCCGCCACCTTCTTGCCACGCTCGGCTGTCCGAGGCCAAAGTAACTCACAGGTGCCTCCCCCAGACCTTTGGAGGCGCAAGCGGCCAAGGCGGCGCAAATGTGCAGCCGCCCAAGTCCGGGCCAACCTCATCGAGAGGGGCGGCGTGATGCGCGAGCCGGCGCCCATGTAGGTCAGCTCGCCCACTCGCGGACCCCAGGTGTCATCACCCAGCAACCAGTCCACCCGAAGCTCATCAAGACCTGCAGTCTGACAGATGCGTTCAGATGCGTCACGGATGAAGGGCCAGGAAGATCGCAGCACCTCCTGCAGTTTGTTCAGCAGCTTCGTAGAAGGATGACGCCCATAGCAGCGGTCCAGGGACTTGCAGCGAACTTGACCGCGCGCCACCAGGTCCTGGAAGTCCCAGAATTGGATAGCACCACTGCTGAGTACCCAGAGTGGAGCAGGATGGGTGTTCAACGTGGCGCCCACCACGCAACCAAAGAGAACCTGGACCTTCAGCTCCATCGGTGCATCGCGGCCACGGGGCCCCCCCTGTTCCTCCCTTTTCGGTACTAAAATGGAATAGAGTGGTTGCAAGATGGCCCCACGGGGTACTTGGGAAAGCTGCCAGCATTCCTTCTCCCAAGACCTGTCTTCGGCACGGAGGGCGTCCTCAAGACTTCGAAGCAGCTGAGCACGATCTGTGTCTTGTGGTTGCGGCCACAGACTCACAAAGCACGAGTTGGCACCGTGCCGTGGCTTCACAACTAGAGCCTCCCCTCGTTCCGCGCGCTCGACAAAAGCGGCTTTCAAGGCCTCTTCTTGCTCCTGATGGCCCGCTGCGGCGTGGGCTAGCACAGGCAGGTGCAGGGTGTGACCCAAGAGCTCCGCAACCTTGTGAACCTGCTCCAGCTTGTCATCGAGCCAGATCAGCTCAGGGCGTCGGTGCTGCCAGGAGCTGGAAATCCGTTTGTACATGATGGCGTCCCACGTGTCATCCCGGCATTCGGGCCGTGATACTGCAAGACAAACATCTACGAGGTCTTCGGGGAGCTCGCATGCCGCAAGGAGCTCGTACCCCTCGGCTGCATCCAAAGCTCGAAGGAGGTCCGACTCGATCTGCTGTACAGCCTCCTCATACTGCAGATGCAGGAGATTTCCCGGAGGCGAGGAAGACATCGGCAAGCTGCTGACATCTTCTAGGTGCAGGGGCAGGCCCAGGACAACCATGTGCGCGTCGTCCATGAAAGCAGTGGCTTGTGCAGTCTGTCGTTGTGAAAGATTGATGCGTCATACAAAGGTTCAATAGTGTCTGCGCCATACGCGCATTCAACATCATGCAACAGAGTTTTGGTTGCGCATGTCTGGTTTCGATATGCAGAGCTTGAGCCCTCTGCATGCGATGGTTTCCCAATTACAGCACAAAAGTCGTTGCATACATAGCCCAGTCACTTCCTGCGCAAAGGAGCCCTGCCCCAGTAATCTTCATGCAGATGAGCAGCATACACCATTACGCCCAGTGCCCACCAGTCCACGGCCATGTCGTGGTCGTGCGGATAGTCGATCACTTCAGGCGCCAGGTATTCTGGCGTGCCAGCTAAAGTGTTGGTTTTGTTGAGCACCTGGCCGGAAGGCTGCAAAACATCCACAGCATTCAAGCATGCGCTTGCACGCAGTATGTTGCGTTTAACCGTCGAGGCTTTTCTCTGACTCGAGCGTTGTTGTCTGACCTTCCGACTTGTTCTGCAACCCTACATTGAATTGGTTTCCTGCCGGAAGGTCCGCACTATGTGTGTACCCACGCATGAAACTGATGAGTCTTCCACAGGATGACGACTCAATGCTACGCGAAGCCCCGAACTCTCAAAAGAAGCCATGACGCAAATCTCGCGAAACCCATGTCACATAGCTTCGCGTACCCGTGCCTTGGCTGGCGAGATGCTCAGAGTTTTTGGGCTGGGCAGGCATCATGTATTCAGAACTGCTCGCCTGTGTCTTTCTTGTTCTTTTGTTCTTTGTTCTTTCTTCCTTCCTTCCTTCCTTCCTTTCTTTCTTGTGGCTTTCTTTCTTTCTTGGGGCTTGCGGGCCGACACCCCCAATCTCTTCCATCCATCCATCCAGCGCTCCTGTGGGGAGGGCCGCCCGCAGGCCGTAGGCGAGCGGCCACCGAGTCTGTGTGTGAGACATTGTGCCTGCCCCAGAACCCCACCCCCCAAGCTCTCAGTCTGGCTCTTCCCTTCTTCCGTCGCACTGGGCTTGAGGGAGTGCGGGAGCCCTCCCCCGTGCGCAGGGCGCGCCCGGATGGTCTCAGGTGCGTGTGAAAATGGCATGATGGAGGCAGGAGGCTCAAGACTGTCCCCAACTCCTGCCCAGCCTTCACATACCTGGGTATTCACCCCTCGTTGCTCCATCTTGTGAAACAGCCAAATGGGCACCGCCGTGTACAATCTCCCCCTAGCACTAAGGTCGCAAAAGCCGCTTCTTGGCTAATTTGGTGACCACATGCCTTGACGTCGCCCCGGAGCCTGTTTCGAGGGGTCTGTACTGCTCTCTCTTCTCTCTCTCTCCCTCTCTCTCTCCGAGCCATAACGAAAAGAGATCTTTTCGAACTTACTGTGTTCGCAAGGCTTGTGTTCCAAGGTGTCCTACACATCATGGTACCAGTAGTCTTCGCGTTTGCGCAGACTACTGGCAGTCGTGCCTCTACAGACATCTGCTTCCGCCTGACTTGGGACCTGATCACGCCTCCCAATGCATGTGCTCCACCCTGCACGAAATATCACGACATGTGCTAACTTCTATAGGCCCCTGGACTCTACGTTGTCCCAAGCTGCTCATCCAGCATGGCGTTCTCCGGCTTGAGATCGCCTATTTGATGCACAGCAGCAGCGACACAGTGCATATTCACATGTGCGACTGAAGAAGGAGAGCTGAATCAACACTATGTGTACGCAACGACACTGGCTACCACGCGCATCCCAGTGGCGATGGACGATGGATCGTTCATGGAGGTGCTCCAAAGCCTGAGGCTGATCGTGGGTCCTAGTCCTAAACCCAAAGAACATGTTAACCATTCGTTTCTGACCCTTGTCAGTGCATAGTGAAAGCTGCACTGCTCGCGCCAAGCCGGCTACGACCATCAGGGCGAATTCGTCTAAACTTACTTAACCAAAATTCCGCTGATCCAGCTGCAGGTTCACCGAAGTTGCCTACTGCAAGGGACTGTGTTGTTCCCCCACCCAAGACGAAGACACACGTCTGATTCTTATGCAAGCCGTGAGGCCGCGATGATGCAGGCGGCGTAGAAGCTCGTCGCCGAGCCGCGCGGCATGTCCTCAAGGAAGACCTGCGCTCCAATTGGGATCTTCGGTCGGTACCCCGAAGGGGTTCGCTAGAACGAACATCGACTGGCCTGTGGGTGCGTGTGTAGCAGCTCCATGAGATTTCCCCCCAGTGCAACTTCCAGCAGCATGAAGATGTGCTGCTCGTCATATATCCTCGGCAACATGCGCCACATGCTCGTCAACGAATTGATCTACCTGCGATTAAGCACACATACTCATGGAGGCCAGAAGCGACGATGCCCAAGGCAAAGGTCAACTGCAATCCTCTTTGTGCTCCCGGCCATGCCCCGAGATTCGGGCAAGCATTGGGTTCCAACTATTTGCCACCAAGTTGCGTTCGATGGAGTCGGATGACAAACTTACCTTCGCCCAGCGTACGGGACACCCTACTTTCTCCAAACCTCCACAAGAAGTCCTGGCACGTATTGTAGCCACGCCACTATCCAGCATGGACAGCAGTTCTCGCTCCCAGCGAACTTGCCGCACAATTCCACTGCGCTCTATGTGCCCTTTTGACATCACCTTGTGGTCGACATGTCGGCAGGGTGTTGTTCGCATGCTCTGAAGTGCTTACATCCAAGGAAGCTTCAGGCAGTTCCAAGCTGATTCATGCTGCTCTGAGCTCCGTGCTTTCAGCGCGTAGTGCTTTTTCCGAATGGTATCCTGCGCTTTGCATGCGTTACCCGTTGCATCCACATGCAGTGATATGCAGTAGGGTGGAAAACAAGAAGTGCTTCCATCAAGAGTTTTTTCAGTAATTTTAGCCTTGCCAGCGGCAACAGTTCTCGAAATTTTGCCACGCCCAACAGCAGCTCTTTGCTGGGTCGGGAAGCGCTAGGGCTGGCAGACATTGGCTGGCGCCGTCCTCAACCAGGTAAACTTCACCATAGGCGCCTCGACCCAGCACCTGTAACCTCAAGATGATGCCGGATTTCATTTTAAATCTAAGGCTGGCCACGAAAAGGCTCTCTCCAATCAAGATGCTTGGTGTAGTTTTCAAGACTTCTGCCACCAACGCCTGGGGCAAACTGAATCCAAGTGTAGCAGCAGCCGAACATATTCCAAAAGTACATCTTCACAGCCAACGTCCCAGCCTCCAGATGACTGCGCCACAGCAAAATCCATATTGTTGGAGGCGACGACGCCGCTGGCAGCAGGGTTAAGTTAGAAAGTGAAGCAGGCATGAGATTGGAACATCTGGATGAGGTGTGGGCAAGATCCAATTGGACAACTGGGGAAAGGGGCAACAACAGCACATTTGCAAAGGCTGGCATACTGTCGAATAGTTACCTGGCCTTTCCGCATGCTCTGCTTTGAGCTTGCACCATTCTTCGATGTCTGCATGGATGTCCTCAGACATACTAGTGAGCATGCACATTGCCTCTGCGGGAGGCATCTCGAGGAAGAGAGAGGCTACAAGGAAGGGAGAAAGGGAGGAGGGAGGGAAGGAAGGAGGGAGGGACGTTGCCTGTGAATGAAGGCGGCTCTGCAAATGTATCCAGTTCAGCGGCAAGGAATGGCAACACGCCTGGACAGAGGGAGCAAGGGTCCATGTTTGCAGCTGGGCTGCCGGAATGAACCCAGGAGAATCCTTGTATATTCCTGGCACCACAGAGTGCACGGCAGGGTGCAACATGATCAGACTGCCCAAATGCTTTCCAAGTGTTAGGTGCAAACGCCAAGACTTGCTAAGGGCACTGGTCAATAGCAATCGGATAGTCTCGCCGTTGAACGTGAGACAGGTCATGCCATTCTCGCCAGCTGTCACATTAACGTCGTAGGCCGCATCTCCTGGTTGTAAGCACTCAGTTGGTTTTGATACGTTTTGATACTTCGTTGATACTTGCTGGCAAGACTGTGCACAAGGAGATGGATCAAAGGTCAACACCCTTCCCATACTCTACAGGCTCCACAGCATCTCTACAGCCCCAACAGTCGACGGAACCGTGTCTCTGCACCTCGAAGAAGTGATCGCTCGCCGAAGCAGCCAGGCCGCCCCACCTGGGATGGCGATGTCGTCCGGCCATGAAGAAGTGCCGGCACTGTCAACTCTGCTTGTCTTTTGATTGCGGGAGCCTCTGACAGCTGCACCTGCGTGCCATCAGGGCGATCCCAATTCCTCGGCAGTCTCTCAAGGCAAGGGACCGGCAACGAGGAGCGACCGCGAATGCAAGAACCATTGTCACCTTCTGTGAGATTAAAAGCTGCTCTGAATTGCAGTGAAGTATCATGACTGCGCTGCCAGCGTAGATGACGTACCTTCGCAGAAACCCGTCTAGCCAAAAATGAAGCGCCCTAGCCCTAGCCAGAGGCGTTTGTCACGGGAGTTGTTGCCGGCTCTGGGCAACTGGCCGGGCAAGTGTGAGGTGTGCCTACAGTGCCGAGAGGGGTGGATTTTCGGGCGTTGCTCAGCGTCTCGTTCACAGGTAGATACTGTATGTGTCCACGCTCCCTCCCCTTCCAACAGAATAGCCAACACTTCATGCTCAGTTTCTTGTTCACAAAATACCTGCATCTGTGATTCTGCAATGCAAGTCGGAACTTCTCCGACACGGAACTCCAACGCCCAGCTTCGTGCAGCACGGTGGCCACAGTCTGGCTTGTCTTACCCTGCCCTGGGTAATGACCCGCTCGCCAGGAGGGAAATAGACCAGGCCTTACATGGGCGAAAGCTCAAAACGAACTGGAGACCCCATCACCATGGCTCTCTCTTGATGCATACGAATCGCGCATCCATTCTAACCAACGGCTATAACCAACGGCTACAAGCTAATCCCACAGCCCCTGTGTAGAATCAAGCCAGCTTCATGACCACTGCTCAGAGTCGGACCTTGAGCATTGCAAGCAAGCTCGTAGCGTTCGGAGCTCACGAGGGGCTCCAATGCATGGACCTGCGCTACAAACTGCTGTCACCTGACATTGGGCTACAAAGCGCCCGGTCAGCAGAAGTCCCGGCCTCCTCGAGCAATGCACAATACTCATCAAACCGTGGCCTGGGTTTGATCCATGAAGTTCCGCTGTCCCATGCATGTTCTCAGATGGATAGCTTTAGCTGCGCGGCCACATGACACTTCTTGCAGTGTACAAGGCTCCTGCCCCATCATGTGCACCCCTGCCCCCTTAGGCCGCGGCCCCTTGCGGCTGAAAGCAGATTCCCAGCCACGTCCTCGGGCTCTTATGTGCTCAAGAACGATCCTTTTTAAGAGCGGACACGGGCTGCAACCATGGGCAAGTACATGCAGCAAATTCTTGCAGCATGCCGATGCATGCAGCGAGTGCACGTGTTTTTGGTGCAAAGGGTCTTGGCACTGCGTATATGACCGATGGCTCCCGAGCACGAAATGTCGCTTCGCCTCAGTCGTGACGAGGAGGTGTTGCGAGGATACAGAAGCACATACACCGTATTGGTCTGAATGCCACAGCGTCACGACGCATGTTGTAGAGAAGGGAAAGCTCGCCTCAATTCCAGGGCGAAGATATATAAGAGAACTGCCGCTTTTTGCTACTGCGCAAGGTCACTTAATTGCAGCCATACCTGTGGAAAGCACCTTGCCGGGTCCCAGACCAAAGCTGTCTCCTTCTGTTAGGACTTCGCACTTGGACGCTGGGCTTGTACTCGCCGTGCTGTCCTGCTGCTAACTAATTCACGGTGGAGAACTTGAGTTGAGGGTTCATGCTATTAAGCATCTTGCTTTAACAGAGAGAAGTCAAGGGAGCTCGGGGCCTTTCCAAGCTTCCAGCTGTTCCAGCACCACACACATGCCGCACATTGAGCTCATTCATCTACACTGATTCTCTGAGGTCACGTCCTCACCAAATCCTTCGCTTTGCGGCGAGTCTGGCACTTCCGCGACTTCCTTCCATCACAGGCGCTTTCCGACCCCCCTGCCTCCCAAGACGGTTCCAAAGCATGGCCACTAAGTCTGCACAGAGTTGGGGGGTTTCCAAAATAGGGATAACCCTAATACACCCTGTCTTCGGAAACTCCCATGTCGTCAACACCGTCCGAATCCCACAGGCCCGCAGGCGTGACAAAGTCTATACATCTTAAGCTCATAAAGTCGCCAAACAGGAAACACGCGCGAGCGAGATCCTTGATTCCCTTGTAGTTCGACAAGGTATGCGCAGCGAAGCGCTTGGCACCTTGCGGATTGCCACCTTAGCTCGTAGCATGGCACAATCATGGCATCAATTAAAAGCCGGTGCTTCAGTCAGAAATGATCACACAAACGTTCTTCGCCACCCTGCTGGACCAGCTAGACTGACAATGCAATCTAGTGCATCTTGGGTGGCTGTATTTCGACCAATTTTCACACGTGGGTTCTTGTTATGGCATTCCTGTAGTGTTTGGACACTTCCTCGAGATGCCGCCCCCGGGATCGGGGCCGCTTTGCAGCTACCGGGTGGTACAGTCCGCATCTGCCGAGCTTGAACTGTCCAAAGTCGTGCAAGAGTCTGACTGATCACAAGAAGCCAACCCCAGATCTACTCCAAATCCTGCAGTGCCCAGCACATCCTGCATCACAGCTGCGCATGCGTTTGTCCTTTGGGCGTCTCTTCGGCGGCGAGCCGAGCTTTGGCCGCAAGGCCTGGCAAGGGAGCACGGTCATATGCCAATGTTGGGGGTGAAGACTTTAGCTTCCAAGCACAGGGTAGGGACTCATGAATACCCGGATTCAATGAAAGCAAGTCAGCCCCTTGCCATGGGCCCAAAGCCTCGGAAGGTCCGGAAACTCCACGTAGGAACATATCTGAGACCATGTCCAGATCCTGCAAGCTGTGTTGCTAGGCACTGCTGGGATTGGCTGGCCTCAAGGGCCCAGGCCCAAGCTAAACAAACGCAACTCCCACAATGAGAGCTGGATACATGTGTCTTCGATGGAACTTCTGCAAGTACATCTCAGATTGCAAAGCCCTGGCCCAGACCTCCACACCTTTGGGGGAGAGCCTCAGACAGCAGCAGTCAGGCTTGGCCCCAGAATTGCCATGACCGTCGACAGTTCGTGGGCGTGCGACGTACTGCGCTTTCATTGCTGGCGTCCGCGGCCATACGCGTACTTAATCAAGTCTGGCGATCTGCACGCAGACCGGGGCTTGCAAGCAGGCAATTCTAATCCAGCCGAAGCGCAAAGTGGAAATGGTTCGACCCCAAGTCCGGCAGAGGCTGGGCTGAGACAACGTCCTGACAGAACCACTCGACAGAACACTGGTGCTGGATTGCTAAGCCTAAACCCTAAACCCTAAACCCTAAACCCTGAACCCCAAACCCTAAACCCTAAGCCGAAATAAGTGTAGACGGGCAGCTGCAGGAAGTGCCTGGCAGCACAGCACAAGAGGCTTCCGCTCGGCCGTCTAAACCCCCCATGCCCCTGCTCTTGTATGGTTTCGACTCTCACACTAGACTTTTTAAGGGTTTAGGGTTTAGGGTTTAGGGTTTAGGGTTTAGGGCACAAGGCCGGCAAGGCTTCGTTTGGAGGGTTTCGACTCTGGGTTTAGGGTTTAGGGTTTTCGGGCCCAGCCTGCTGCTGATTCTGAGAACTTGTTCACTCAACTCGAAGCACTTCCTGCCCTATTTATGAAAGGTTGAACTGCGCCGCTCAAAGCCACCAAGCTGCTGCTTCCGCAACAGTCTCTCCGACATCGATGTCAGTGCCACACGCTCCTCTTCTTGAGATAAACAGTGGCGTACAACGGCAATTATTGATAATTATTGCAGGACAATGAAATTGAGAAGTTGGTTTTTTGCAGTTCTTTTTGGACTACAGGTGCTCATGTTCTTGGTTGTTTTTCCTTAGGGAAACCTCCAATCTCCTCTATATTCTCAAAGGGTTCATACTACTTTTCGAAGGGGTTTGTTCTTAATTTTGCCCTTGTTTTCTCCAAGAAAAACCACTATTCCCTTTTGATTCACGAATGCTCGCATGATGGGTTTCAAAAAGACTCATCTGCTTTGAAGCGGGACTGGAGGGACACAGGCCTCCCATTTGCAAACACAATGCTCGCACGATGCGTTGTTCAAAGACTCATAATATGCTTGAAAATGAACTTGCACGGCTTGAAAAAGCGTGGGGGGCGGGGGGGGCAGCCCCCCTGTGTGCAAACACAATTGATAAGCTTCAAAAAGCTTCGTATGCTGTGAAGATCTCTCTTTCAGTCATGATTTCTTTCTTCATTTCTTTCATGACTTCCTTTCTGTCTTTCTTTCTTGCTTTATTTCTTTCTTTACTTCTAGTCAAAAACGCCCCAAGACAGCTCCCACGCCAGTGGTGCTTCAGGGCCTGATAATAGCTAGTACTACAGCACTACTAACTACTACTACTACTACTACTACTACTACTACTACTACTACTACTACTACTACTACTACTACTACTACTACTACTACTACTACTACTACTACTACTACTACTACCACTACCACTACCACTACCACCACTACCACTACCACTACCACTACCACTACCGCTACCGCTACCGCTACCGCTACCGCTACCGCTACCGCTACCGCAGCAATCCCCGTATACCTACTAGTTACTTATACCCATAAGAAACCCCAGTAACAGAAATCCCAAACAAAACTAAAAACTCCTTTAAACAAGTAGGCCTCCAATTAATGATCCAGCTGGTCCAGCTATTCAAGCCCTCGAAGCCCGAAGCCGCCCAATTCCGCCCAATCCTCCGCAGATACTCGCTGCTCTGCTGCTGAAGAGGAACCTTATACGTAGTGATGGATGACACTCGGCATATCGAGCTGTTCAATCCGGTGCATTTCAAGGCCGATCCGCGGCATGGCTTGAATCATTGAATAGCCCGGAGCTTGCCGAAGCTTTCGTAATGCATAGGTTGCCATAGTTCGGGGTTAAACATGGTTGAACTTCTGCGGGCTTGCGATGTCCCTTTTCCAGGACTGGCCAAATCTCCCTGGTTCGGTTCTTGGACTTCACATCAGACACACTCGAACCTGCTCGCCATAAAAACCATCGTCAACAGATCGCCGACCCTGAAAGGTCGCTTGTCACACAACGATGTAACGATGACCCAACAACCCAAGGAGACTCAAGGAGGCTTGAAGTGCTCATGCAATCTGGCTGCCAACTTATGAATAACATCTTGTCGCTGCATCGGTATTGATTGGCTGTTCCTGATATCCCTTTGCCTTCTGCGTGATGGGCATTTTTTGAGTTGAAGCCGAAACTGTTGCTGGAGGAAGGGCGTCAAACAGGCTTAGCTCTCTAGAGTACCTACACTATTCAACTCGAGTTGTCGTCCTCACGCTACAGTGCTACCAGGTTACTTTGGCCTCTTGCGGTCTCAGTGGCCCAGGACAATGTCAAAGGAGCCCTCTCGAATGATGAAGAACTCATCGCCGACCTCACAGGAAGCAAAATAACATTGAGGACTTTCAACAATACACCTGGGCCCAGGAGTTTCCTTCGTTTGACCACCGCACACAAGAAAGACCAAGAACAAGCCGTGCTCCAAAGCTACCCGCACTTCTTCACAGCAGTGAGAAGAGATGAGGACAGGCCTCGCCACGCTTCGCGACTTCAGTGCCTTTCTCCACTATCCGCTGCTCCGCACAGGCTGCGATTTTGCTGAGCTGCTCCTCAAATGGCACTGACATACTTGGCGCAGGTTTAGCCGCAAGAGCGCAGCGCGTCAATGGCTTCAATGGCTCTCTGGCGCCTGATCCGTTTCAATCAGCGCCCGCAGGTTCGCATTGTTTCGGACCTGGGTGCTGCTCTTATGGGGCTGCAGAAGGCCCAAGGCGCTTTTGTTCTACTCATATTTCCCCACTGATAAGTCGTTGGATTGTCAAGACGACAAAGTGCACACATCATCTGACGCGACTGGCTCAGGACAGCAGGCTGTCCCGCTCTCAGGTTGTACAACATTGAGGACAAAGGGCGGGCAACTGTACCAGAATGTTGCCTGAATAAGCAGGTCAAGGAGGCGCAGGCGGGCAACTGTACCGGATGGGAGGGCGGGAGGGTCATGATAAGGCACGCAACTGCACCCGAATGTTGCCTGAATGAGCAGCCGGGGATGGTGCTTGAATGTACATCCTTGCAATTGGTTTTAAGGACAGGCGGGGATGTTCGAAGGGCAATTCTTCGCTGGCTTCGGCTACAGATTTCGCAACATGCAACTGCTCAAGCGTCATGGCATGACTAGAGGTCATGGAGCCACAACTCTACACTCCCGTCAGTGCTACTGGGAACACTGCGGCAGGGTGCCGGCCACAAAGCACAACTGAAGCAACTGCAGCAAACGTCCAACGAACCCAAAGAGCGTGGGACGCATCTTGGCAGCTGTGAGCGTGCTCAGTCGCTGGAATTGAATGCGGGACAAGGTGCAGCAAAAGCAATGAATGCGATTTCATCATCTGTCTTTTCATCAGATTTGTACTCCTTGGCTAAGACAACTCAAGACGCACTGCAGCAGCGGAGGCACAGCCACACGGCGTGCAGCAATTGCACCGCATGACTGTCAAGTGCCGCGGAATGCATGTCCAGAAGCCACTGCTGCAACCCATCACACATACAGTTGAAAACCTCTACCTGTAGCCTAAGGTTGCCTTACCCATTCTTTGCTGACGGAAGTCCCCAGGAGTCGCTGCCGCGGGATGCTCATTGTAGATGGCAGCTCGCTTTGGAAACTTCAATTGCTTGTCAATCCCTGCGCTCGGGGGCGTGAGCTTTTCAAATACCCTTGCGCAACTGTCTTGGCAAGCGTGAAGCAGGAAGACCATCTGGACTGATATACGATGGATTAAGCTGGCAGACTGGCCCCCGCACCAGCCTGTGTCATGGAAGGCTCTCCTTGACATGGACAAAGTCACCAGGCTGGCCTGCACCAAACCAGCAAATCCATGGCTTTCAATGCACGCGCACGTCGTGCTCTTCGACCGCTGCACATTACTGACAGCTACTCCGATTGTCTGCTTTGCGACTGCTTGCGCACCCAAAGATCTTAAAGAAGAAAAGCAACACAGGCCAAGGGCGTCTACGAGTTGGATTGCAGTTCTTTCTGGCTCCGGTCTCCTCGCCACTAGCCCGGATGGTTGCCACGTTGCTTCGCTCCTTTCCAGGGTACAAAATCCTCGCGTGATGAGTTGTCTGATACCTCTCTGTACGGCTGCTGCCAACCGAGTCTAAACACTGAACCCTTCCGCGGTTGCGTGTTTATATGTCTTCCAGAAACAGGAGCTCCTCCAACAGAGTCCGTCCGCCAAAGTAATCACCCTTCCTGAAAGCAAGATGAGTGCTTTGGATAATCTGGTTCGGACCTAGGACATGCACTTCTTCCAATGCCCTCAAGGTCTTGCAGCTCCACACGCTTCACGCACGCCGTGCAGTCGCTAGCATGTCATCAGAACACACCGAAATTCCGATGCACGTTCCTGCAAATTCCGCCGGGCGTACCTCAGTGTCGCGCGCACGTGATCGTTGCAGCTGTCAGCACTCCGCGTGAGGACGTCTGCCTCGCCTGACATGATGAGGAAGAAGGCTTTGCCTGCACAGCTCGGGAGGAAGAAGCACAGCATTGCACAGCTGTCAGTACCTATCTAATAATTTAGCGGCCCTCCCCGAACTTTCAGCCTTGTGTTCAGAGGCCCCTGCCCGTCTATCTCACTGCGAACGGCTCCATGTTACTTTGGTCAAGCATCTGAATACCGGGAAGGGGGGGTTCTGGGGGCGAGCGCAGGGACCCAATGGCTCAACTACGTCGCCGGTTTTTGAAGGATGTCAATCGGACCATCTCAGAACTTCCTGCCGCAAGTCCTCGCAGAAGCTTTCCCGCCTAAGTCCCCCTGCTTGACAATTTCCGTGCCAGGCTCCCATACCTTCCGCTTGAGACTCCTGGCCACCTGCCCAGGCAAAGCGAATCATGCTACCCTTTGAAAAGGCAACCCATAGCATTGCTGGTGTCTACCTGCAGTCGTCGAGTTGCAGCAATGCAGATGCTGTCTCCCGGCGCCTTCGGCAGTTCAGATCTAGGAAGCTGGTTCTTGAACAGCGGGACTGACGCCAGGAAGGTTACGATCTCCTGAGACGAACTTCTCAAAGGCCAAGCAGAGAGCATATGATCGTAGTAGCATTGGTACCGCTCTGGCTCTGCACAAGTCCTCGAAGTCTTCCCGGCTCCTCTTGGCAAAGAAGGAGTCCTGGTTGGGCAGCACGCAAGCTGTGGTTTCATCAGTCTAGCCAAGCAGTTGCCCCAGCAGGCCCTAGCAATTCGCACACCAATTCGGCTGTGGAGGAAAATCACAAACCCAAGCCTTTCTCACTTCGTCACCGAGGTCCTTTCTGCTCGAGATCGCTCTGCTGAGCTGAGGGACAGTTGCCACGAAGCGCCAGCAGTTCGCCTTTCCCATTTTCGGTGAGCGAAAAAATAAACCATGTTCGTTCGTACAGAAGCGGTATGTAGCAGCTCTGTTCTTCACGGTTCTGGTTCTTGAGTTGGAGGCTTCGCAGTAAACTCTCACAAGAATAGAGTTCGAGTTCTGAAATCAAGCAGGATGTTCCATGGATTTTACGGTCTAAGAGGAGACCTCTTTATGCACTCTTTGCATGGGCAGTTGTTCGAACGGGAAAAAGCAACCACGCATCTGCCGACAGAACCTGGAAAGGTTTCCAGATTCCCTTGTCTTCGCCGTGACAATAAATAATAGCAATAATCCTAATAATCCTAATAATCATAATAATAATAATAGAATTAATAATAATCATAATAATTGTAATAATAAGAATGATAAACATCCCTCTGCCGGCGCCTCCAGGGACGACAGTAGCTTGTGGGATGCTGCCCAGCAATTTGGAGCTGCATCCGTGGGCATGGCCAAAAGAACCCGAAATGAAGGGTTGGGGCGAATCCTCTATAGATTCTTATATTATGTACATGGCCAGTGAGTGGCCAGTGTGGGCTTGGATGAGGTCGGCTGGGTGGAGTGGGCTGAGTGAGGTGCAGGGTCGGAGGTGGAAGTGGGTTGCGTTGATACAGAGATCTTGGGTTGGCTAGGAGGTCTGGGCTGTGGTGTTGCATGACTATGTTGTCAACGGAAAGACACGCTGCGAAGAATCAAGCTGGGACGCAATGCCCGTAGGCAGGCGCTCATAAAGTCGAACGCCGCACTCCTGCCTTTCTCTCACCCACTAGCAAGCAACGCTCGGGGATTGGACATGTTGACAGGGTCAAAGCGCAGGTTTTTTTTCGTCAATCTGGCTTTTGCTGTCGGTGGACTCGAAAAGCAATGGCCTGCGGCTGCGCCGTACTGCCGCCAACTGAGCCCCTCCGTGCGAACATGTACTAAAGCAGCTCCCTTCCACCTGTGGTCCGAGGTGTCCAAGCCCTTTGGCAGCTCTCTTCCAATGCCTGCATGCATTTCAGGACAAGAGCTCCTTTCTCTTCTGCCCATAACTATTAAGACAATGCCCCTCCAGAACACAATGCATTGGGCAACTCCAAACTCACTTGCTCGCGAGCCTTCTCCTCCGTGCCGCCACATCCACAGAAGCTGCTCGCTTTCAGCTTCCTGGCTGAGGTGTCTCCCGCAAACTGTTGTGCTTTTTCCACAGGGGCCTATATGAGCCTCAAGCAATGTACCGAGTCCGGAGCCCCTCCGTCCACTACGCGAATATCTGAGATTGATTTCAGCTCGGACCCGGTCCAGCTGCGCGCGCAGTCGGTTCATGGACTCGAGCCGCAGGCGTATAGCATCCTGACAGCACAGTTCCCTAAGAAAACGCAGGATCACACAGTCACTCAGTGAGGGTCCGTGAGGTGACTTCATGTGGGCATGCAATGCAAAGAAAAGCCTGCACAGGACGGGCTACCTTTCGGGGAGGCGGCGCCGGCCGCCAGCATTTGTCAAGGCGCCGAGCCATGTGCGGCCAGGGAGGCGCGGGAGTCGCTGCACCGGCCTGCTAGCCGCCGGCGGAAGATGTGGGAAGCTCTGGACCCTAGGAAAGGTGCCCTTTTGCCCTGACTCAAAACACTCAAAGTAGGCGAGGCTCCTCCAAGTCCCGAGCAGCGCGCCCGAGACCTTCGGCAGCGCCCTTCGCTGCACGCTGCGCCCGCAGCCATGGGAGCCGGCGATGTGCGTCAGCGACGACCTGGGGACAACCCTCCAACCATCCCAAAAAGAATCCAAGGGATGCAACACATATCCCAAATCATCTGTAGATCAGCATAGGCACTGCGAGGCCAAACCGGTCAAAAGCGGAAAAGCCGTCGCCCTCAGCGTGGCAGCGCCAAGGACCTCACAAGAAAGCCGAAGAAGCGTGAACCACTCGCGCATGCTCCGTTGGAATGTGTAACATTTTGTAACTGTGATGGGCAGCTATAAACGAGAGGCTTTGTTGTGATCGCAGCCGCTCTTGTAGACGCATGTCAAGACATCACTCTCTTGAGACGACTTTATCTGTACATGCTGGGCCTGTCGTTTCTTCACCAGCGCGGTGAAGCATAAAGTCGCCCACTTCGCCTTCACTGCATCGGTGAAGAGGTCATGCTGTTGGATCAACTCCGACCAGCACAACCCAGCACAGCTCGAGTCACAAGGGTTGGTTCCGGAGGCTGTCTTCTCGCCGTCCGGCGCCACGGCGGCAAACTCACGCCAGAAAGGATCCTGCAGCAAACGGTCATTGCAACAGCGCAAGCATTCATACGCCAGCTCCAGACCAGGCATGCCACATCTTCCCAATCCCAGTTTTCTTCGGCTTGGCTAGAGTAAACAAAGAGCCATGCAATTAATCTTGCACAGCGTGGCAAGTGCAGTCTCTAGTACCTGGGTGCGAACAAGATGAATCCAGAACTCTCCTCGGCCGTCATGGAGGCAAAGTCTTCAGGGGACGTGTTGAAATCCTGGAAGGAACCAACGAAAGCAGGTAAGATTTCACAGGCACTCATGCAGCAGGAGAAGATAGGAGGGGTCGCTGCAGAACATGGCACAACACCCGGCAAACTTCACCCAACCCCGGTCCCCAAGCAGGGTTGCTGCCAGTGGCCCATCGGCAAGACGTGTCCTGGCACAGCGAACCTAGCTCGGTGGAGATGTCAGCACCAGCTTCAGCCAAGAAACAGCATCTCTTTCAACGGGGCGAGGTACTCCAGGTAGGCCACCTGTGCATTGAACATTTTCTGCCAGCTTTAGCGCGTCAGAGGTCGCCAGGGAAAGCTCAAAACGAGCTGGTCTGAACGACATGCAGGAGATACGCATGCATGTGTGTGTACATGTATCAATGCAAAGACCTATGCAGTGTATCTGCCACTGCATCAGCACTACTCATTTCTTATGCTTTGTTCTGGCTATTCTGGCTCTCCGCGGCCGGACGAGTGAGGCTTTTACAAGTCTCAGGGCCCTTGCATGTTCCTTCCACACATCAGCAAGGCCAAGTGACCTTGCTCGTGGATCTGGGAGGATGCAGATGCACGGAGCACATGACCTCAGCATTTCCAACCACAGCCCCCCGCTTGGCACGAGTCGTTCAGATTCGGTGTTGTCAGCCTGCTCCACTCCTGCCGCCGCGGTGCAAGAGGATGCTGGCCATTGCTGGTAACGAGTGCAGCCACATGGTCTCTTGCAGCCCAGCGCCTGGGCCCAAGCAGCATTTCTGCTTGCGAGAACCCAAAGACAGCAAGATGTTGAAGCCCCTCAAGTCGCCAAGCCGGGTCGTAATCCAAACTGGCTCAGGCGCCCATTGTCGAGCTGAACCTTCAGCTCGCAGTGGTCGGTTCCTGAGCGGCGCATAGTGTTGCTCTCTGAGCTGCGGCGGTGGGAACAAGGTGAGGGAAGGGGGAGCACTGAAGGACCAGAAGTTGATTGAGGACTGCTCACCGCGCACGATGATTGATGGTATAGGCACTCAGCTGGTGAAACCAAGCATCTAAGGACCTTGAACTGCGAAGAGGGCGGCAGAAACAACGCCACAGTGGAATCCACGCGCACCCCTCGGCCATCCAGGTGCCAGGCACTCTCCACCTTACGTCTGCGCCAACAGCTAAGCTAAGGGAACATGCACGTCAAGAACAACGAGCTGCTTCGGAATTGTTCTACGTTCTTGCGGATCAGCACCCCGCTACTTCCACTACACTTTCCCAAAGCATCCCAAAGCAAGGCTTGTGATCATCACTATAGAAGTGCAATCACAAAAGAACTCAGGCTTACCACCCAGTAGCCAGCGTCCGAGGATGTAGCCGCACCTTGTCGGGGGCTTTGCCCAGCGTGTGATGTGCGCAAGGTAGAACTGACAAGCGTGAGAAAAAAAAACGGAACCTACAAGAACCATGGAGGGGCTCTGCGGATTCCCGCAACCCTCATGATTTTTCCGGCATCCAAGCTGACTGCCAGCTGAGTCGTGCTTATGACTGACTAAGGAACGGGAAATGGATGCCACTTACGTTGACTAATAAGCATCTGAAGTGTTACTCGCAATTCTGCTCTTAAGCTTGACGGGCTCTTGCAAGCACCCGATTCGAAGGAGCTGTTCCTGTGCATGCCATTGGCTACTGCTGTAACAAACACCGCTTCTTCCGAGTTCCCGGCCTGTGTCCGCCATCAGAGCAGAGCGCAACGCTGCATCCACCTCCTTCTTTCACAATGGCATTCACTGAGATTTTGCTGAGCACCAGAGATTAGAGAGTGGCTGCATGCCGTAGTTTAGCATTTACCCTTGCTTGCTGCGACGGCGCGAAGATGACCTCCAACATAAAAAGCGGCGACAGCAACACACAGGCTCGCCCAGCCAGTGCAGGCAACACGAATCCACGAACCACGTCACAACATCAAACTTAGTACACGAGAATCACGCCTGCAAAGCCACAATGTCGCAGCTCTGGGCCCATTGCCTTGGCACGGCAAAGCGTCCAACATCTGTGTTCACACATATCAGCAGGTGCCGCAGGATTCGATCTGTCTACATCTTTCTTGGTAGGCTTGAGGGCTTTAGTAACTTTAGTGGCTTTGGGTCTCCACTGCGCGGAAGTCGCCGTCGCGTGTGGCGCGCAATTCCGAAGCGACCTGCTGTGACTGGTCGACTTCGTTGAGAGAAAGAAATACGGACAGTCTCGCGTGCAGGAAACCACTGCATGCCGCTTTGGGGGCTTCAAGAACCACCGGCTTGACAGATCTCCATCGCTTAATGCGTTGGTAATGCCGGGTTCGCTGCAGACTTCTTCACCCAGACTAACAACGTATAGCCGATTCGCCGAAGACCATCAACTTGAGAAGGGGCTACGAAAGCTAGTCACCGCAGGGGGGTGGCATGCAGCGAGTCGGCAGGACTTGGAGCCGCCGGCGCAGCTTTTTCCGTATTTCAGGCACATGCTTCAGGTGTTAACAAGCACGATTGAGTCCATGTAGAGACTCAACCGGTTAGTCAGGTAAGATCGAAGACCCCTAAACTCGAAATCTGAAGCCCTAAACTCCTTCAGCCCCCTTGCTTCCCCCGCTGGAACCCCATGTCGCAAACGAAGTTTAGGTACAGGGACGCTCTGTTCAGTACGACCTCTGCAAAGTACCACAGACCTTCTGGTGACTGTGGGGGGCGGGGGAGGACCTTGGGGTGGGGTGGGGGGGGGACCTTGTGGGGGGGGGGGGGGGGGGACCTGAAGGTGGTAGGGGGGGCCCCCCCCCCTGCCTTATCCCACACGCAACCACCTCAAAGGGGGGGGGGGGGGGGGGGGGCCCCCCCCCCCCCCCCTCTCACCATGAAGCATTTTCGAAGGATAAGGTGCCGGCGCCTAAACGACAACTCCCGCCAGCTCCACAGAGCTAGCTTTCGTGAAGACAGTCACTTTGACAAGAAGCTGCGGTCGCGTACAACCACCCGCCAGGACAAAGCAGAGCGCTGGTGTTGCTAACGGAGCATGGTCTAAGGATCCGCGAAACGTGGATATTGTTCCTGTGGCAATTCATGTACTCACATACTGTAGCTGACCGCCAACATCCCAAGCATCAAGCCGCCATGCAACGGTATGGCTGAACCCGGACCGCATGAAGCCATCATCAACAAAGATTCCGCATGCCACCTTCAGCCTGAAACTCCCGTCTCTCAACTCTAATCTTCACAGGCCTCCCACAAACCCTGGGAGAGTCAGATAAGGTCATCACGAGATCTCTGCGACCTGGTATTTCAGGCGAATGCTGCTCAGCAGCTCTTCACGCCTTAAACGTTGCGTCTTGCTGAAGGCAGATCAAAGAAAAGCGAAGGCCGATTCAACGTTGATCACACGATATCACATGTCCACTGCTAACTTCGAGGCTCATCTAACATGCTTCTTTGTGTCTGTTACCTTAAGCTCCCAAACCACCCGTGAAGCCCTGGCAGCGCTTGAAATGCAGCTTGCCAGCTCCAGCCGAGAGGTGCCAAGCGCCTGCGGACAGGCTTTCATTGAAGCGCGGCTTTTTGATTTGGGCCGGGACTGTTCGTTGCGATGATTCACGCATGTAGCGACAGCTATGGAGCTACGTGTACGATTTCCCGTACTGCATGCCTGCGTTGACTGCGGCAATTAGCTTGATGCGGCATGCAGATCCGCAATCGTGTCCAGGCACGGCCTTCAGCGGCTCGATCCAGGCGCAATCCTTCTGAACAAAGCTCCCCTGCAGGGCTGGTACTTGTAGTATTGTCCCACTGTCGCAGCAGCTAGTCCACGCTGGGAGGAACACGCGCACGGGCACCACAGCACATGCACAGCAGCCAAGCCAAGCATATGCCCCTCTGTTGCACCCTTTTGGCACACGTTGGATCTGTGAGTCTCAGCGGGTAACACACTATCGATTGAAAGCTGGGTGCAAATTACTTGACAGCCTTCATGTGGGTGCTTTAATACTGTGTAATCAGTGATCGTTTGTGTGGTTTTGTGTGTCAGTGTCTCAGGTCGTGGTTACGTTGCAAAGCATAGTTCGCCGTGGATTCAGGCCGAGAGCGGTTGAAGCGCCAGGGCTTCCTGGTGCATTCCTCAGCTTCTCACGAGCACCCCAAGCACTAACACAAACGCAACACAAACGCAAACGCAAACATAAAAACACACACTACTTTTGCCAGAACTAGCATATATATATATATATAGATAGATACATATACGTAGCAAGCCGCTTTTGCGAGAGTTGATCTGTGGTTTCAATGTAGATGCTAGATCGTACGTCGTACGCCGTGCTTTTGGGGATGTGCCGTCTCAACAGGTGATCAGGAGACGATCGTGGTGTGGCGGGTAGCCGCTGTCTGACTTCACCTGAGCACGCGTTCAGTTCGCACATGCTGGACCTCTGCTGAACGTAGTCGTACAGAAAGTAGACGAAGAGAGCTCTTTGATCTCGCATACAAGCAATAGCCCGTAACGCAATGGTTTGCAGCTTGCTTCAGGCGATTTCAGGTTCGCAAGGCTTCGGGCTCAGGGAGGCTTGACAGCCCTGTGGCATTTTTTATCTAGCGCGAATCAACTAATCGATGGTCCTCTTCATGGGTTGCAAGCGGAACCTCACACTCAAACACATGTTGCAGCCGGCGCGCATCTGCATCGGCCTCCTGCAGCTCCCAAGCAAGTCCACTTCAACAGCTCTGGAATCGCTTTTTGCATTGACCCGTCCTCCGCTGTCTCCTTCTTCGGCTCCTGGAGATGCCAGTGTGCCGCCAACTCTGCCTGAACAGGTGCTGACTCTGCACTTCGTTCGGCCATCCCAACATCCATTCGCCAAACATCTGCACATGATACCATGATGCCGGAATGCCATGCATCGTGCTTCATGCTTCATGTCACTAAGGCTTCGCACAAGACACGAGTACGGAATAGCCGTAGTATGACTTGGCACGGTTATGGCTCTGCCCTGTGGCCTTGCTGGCAGGACCCAGGTCTTCATGGGCCGCGGGAGGCCCCCCACACCACCAGCATGCGAAATAATCCGAGCCGAGCGCAGACGCCTTCGACGAGTTTATTTCAAAAGAACATGATGAGAAAGCCCAGAAAACCGAGCCCATAACAGCCCCGTACAGGAAGAGGGGTCGATTTCCATTTCCGTGGCTGTAGGACTTCAAGCGGACTTCAAGCGTTGTTAACCTGAACTGCCTCCGGAAATGTGAGCTTAAGATGCCTGCCTGCCCTGCTGCCAGCCCCCCACGCTTCAACAGCGCCGGCATGCAGGACAGGTCCCAACGGTAGATGCAGCAGTTGCCCGGCTTACTGCCACCTCTCCGCCGGCCCCATGCATCCTCAGGATGGTGAGTCGGAAACCACTAGGGCCCCTTAAGGTGTTGCACGCTTTCGGTGCTTGGAACCCACCCCGGGAGGAGATGTTGAAGGCACTGGGGCTCTGGGCTTTCTAGTCTGAGTTCTGCACATCTCAAGTGTTCACACAAAGAGGCTGCTGTGGCAACAACCGGGGGCCACGGTCAGAATGATAATTTGACCATTCACAGAAACATGTAACCAACTTCCGAAAGAAAGCAAGTGCGAGTCCTACGTGCAAGCAGCTTGATAAACTGACCCAAAATCAGGTCCGGCGTGTGTTTCGCAATGCTTTGGTGGTTACCCTCTGACCCTACACGCATTTTTGGCTAGCAGGTCTAACATTCGGAAACCCCCACACCTCCAGATGAACGACCAACATGCACTCGAGAGAAGTTGGCCACATTCTGCCGGCTGAGTGGCGACGCTGTGTTTTCGCTTGTCGGGAAGCCCAAGTGCAGCTCCATCATCCCTCCACCAAACACCAGAGTTGTCGACAGCCTGCCTGGCTGGGGCAGACATCCGACTCAGCATGCTCATCATCTCGGCCATCAAGCGGTCGCGGGGCGTCTCGTCTGCATCAGTAGGCAGGCTCAAGTTTCGAAGAACTTTCACCATGTCAGCTTCAGTCGCAGCCATCTCTTGCTTGTGGTCTCCAGATGACCATCTCAGCAGCCGTTGCCTGCGCTGGAGGCGCTCGATCTCGGCCAAGCCACGTCCGCAGTTATAGTAACGTACAAAGGCTTTGTCGTTTGGCAGGTTCCACTTGCTGAGCAGCTGCTCCTCCAGAAGAACGTCCATGACAAACATCATGGCCAGATCAGAAATCATGAAATGCGTTAGCCTCTCCATCGAAGTGTCGTTTTTTACCAAGTTGCTGTGCCCTCCAAACTCGGGCACGTGCAGAAGAGCTGTCTGCAGGTTGGCCTTGATCATCTCAGACCCGATCAAGGGCGTGAGCTGGTCATCCTTTGCATTAATGAGAAGTGTGGGCGCAGCTAGTGCCCGAATGGCCTCGTCCGCCACATTCACGACCGCCACTGTACTGCGAATAACATTCGGAGTCCAGGCCTGGTAGGTACTGGCAATCCTGGGGGACATGCCATTATGTTGCGCCTTCGTCACTTGACGAGTTTTTGATTTGGTAGTCTTGTCAGTTGTCCAATTGCACACACAATGTCCTCCATCAGTTTGATAAGGGAGGGGTTAGTCGCTCACTCGCACACGGCCGGCCAGGTTCTTGGGTCAGACTTGGTCAGACTACACTGCAGATGCCGTCACACGTGTATCCAGGAAGACAAACTTGGGGAACCAAAGCCCGATTCCCAGTCCCCCCTCCAACACTGAGGGATGCTGCACACTTTGATCAGGCAAGGTCACAAATACTTATTCGATTCTTACTAGATCTCGTAATGGCACATGTATGCAAATGCTACTGAGGAGGTGGAATGCTTAGCAATCAGGTCATACAAGTTTGGCTGTGGTGGTGTCCTGGACTTCTTTCGGCGGGGCAAGGGAGGTTCGGAACATATGCACTCAAACAGCACTGGTTCAGAGGGAAGTACCCTCAAGTTTCCGCGTGACCATGCCGCTCCTCATCCAGTTTTCATAGGCAGCTGGGCCAACGCGAGGGGCAGCCGCTGAGAGGCAAAGGCGCTCCACTCGGTGAGGATAGCCTGAGCTCGACACTGCCGCTGTGGAACATTTTGGAATGACACTTGTTTGGCACTTGCTGGGCTGCTGGACACTGCGGGCATGACCATTCTATAGTTGGCTCCCACCAAGCGGCTGACGGCATACTGCAGAGCTACGGCAGCTCCCATTGAATGACCAACAATCGTTGCTGTGACTGCGCCTGTGTACCGTCGAACGCTCTCCACGTCTGACACAAACTCCTCAAGGGTTGCTGTCCGATCAGTGGCGCTGGAGTCTTCAAAAGAAAGGGGATACATCTGATAGACCTGGAGCTTCTTGGGCAGCGAGGTCTCTGATGAAAGTGCTTTCAGCACCGAACTCCGCGCATGGATTTGAACCGAGGCAACTTGCCAGCCGCTACCACGATCCTTGGATGCAGAGGGATGTATCGTCCAAGTGGTCCAGCATGCCAACGCCGAACTTGAAAAGACCGCTGTGCATCTCTACCAGTGCAGGCCACGAAGCCATGCCCTCTATCCAGCTCTGCAAGTGTCGCAGGTATGTTACCGCCCCGGCCAGATCGGTGAAGTGACCTGTCGCGTTGATATTGATTTGAATTTTGCTGCAAGATTGAGACAAACTTCCAAGAATACTTCTGCCATTTGATGCAATGTTTGGGCTCGGAGTCTCTATGGGCTAACCAGTATGCTAAGCCGAAGCTATGAAAGTTGAAGGAAGGTTGGTAATTATTCCCAACTGGCCTAGAGCCATCGCGTCCTGGCCATCAGGACTCACTGAAATGGTCAGGGATGCACCTCAGAACGTAGGGAAGCTAACCTACTTACGACAGGGACTACTAAGAGCATGCGCAAGAAACATCAGCCAAGAAGCAGGTGCCATCGTTGTCTCGCACTTCTTGCAGAAACCTGACACGGGATCTGAGATTGAGGGGTGAGGGGAGCTGCGATCTGCGATCCATGTGCAACCAATTTCTGATAAGACAAATAGCTTCCAACTCCCAGTCAAGCAGTTCAAGATAAGCCAACTCATTTGGTGCCATTGGAAGTCGGTCACCAGCAAAACACCAAGCGGCTCTTCAAGGGCCGCCACACCACCGCCATGGAGCCGGTGACAAACGAAGGCCTTCGCTGGGGCTGCGAGGTCCTGGGCGAAGCACGCAAAAGCGTGCGCGCGGTGGATTGATGGCAGAGTGCGGGGTCGTAGCAGTCATCGGCTACTATGCAGGGACAAGTAAGGGGTCTACCTGATTGGCATGGGAGTGGAAAGTACACCATCACGCGGCTGGAATGTTAGGCCCTGCTGGCCCTTACATCCGCCGGCGGAGGGATGAGAAATAATAGGGACTTATTTGTGGCTCTAGGACTCTAGGGTTCTTGTCTCAGCTTCCCAATGTGACCCCTGGCTGGCTCAGCTCTCATTCGAATACCGATCCAACATGCACATCTCTGAAAGAAGCCAGCTCCGTAGTTGAGAGTCGTTGAAGAAGGATGCCCTGCACTTCCGCAGTTTCTCTGCCTTCCAGGGTTGGTGAGCAAACTTCTTCATGCCCGTGGCACTTGATGGCCGCGCGAACCCACGTGGGACCCAGTTTGGTGGGGCTCATGAGTCCCAGCGCAATTTTGCTTAGTTCGAATTCAGCCGCACTGTCAGGCCTTGTCGAGCGCTGCATTCTGGATGTAGACTAGTTCCTCATCTGGTGACAGCTTGCAGTAACTGTCGGCCCAGGGTCGACTAAATGCCAGAAGGACCTAATGGACTTCAAGGAAGAAGCAGCGAAACGTGACTCCAGTTGGCTTAGACGCTGTAAGCCTCCCTTGCGGCGCGACAACAGTGCAGGACTCGACGGTGCTGCACCCCTGGCCACCGACAGCGGGGTGGCTTGGAGTTGAATTTTGCTGTCTCCACGGCTTTGAATCGGGGTGGTGACTGGAGCCTACACGGGTGTGGAATTGTTGAGCCTTCACCTTGAAAATTTTGAGGTGCCGTCTTGCTTCTGCCATCTCCCTCTGCAGCTCGGTAAGCTTATAAAGCTCTAGCATCTTGAGCATTCGGGCCCTTTAAGCTCTTAAGCACCAACGGTGGCCCCACCTCCAGGCGCTGCTCGGGCGCCAGGGCACCCAAGGTGGCCATGTACATCCCCTGTGCCGGAGGAGGGTTTCTTGAATTCTTAAGATTGATTTGTCCTCTAGTTCAAAATTTCTTGATAGGTGGAACAGACCGCGAACATTGGTGGTTGCAATGTTTTGGACATGACGGGTGCACTATCAGGGTCGAATGGTGAGACCTGACATTTCACGAAAACGTTTCACATCGCTGCACGAGAATGCTACGAAGGCAACGTACCCAAACATTCAACCTCTCCGTGAAGTTTCTGCATCCACAGCACAAGAGCGGCTGTGTCGCGGAACACGCTGCGAACCAGCGCTTTGCCTGAGCGATCCACCGAGCCACGCACTCGGCACGGGGCCCTCCAAACAACGAGCGACAAGTTTGCGGGAGCCATCCAGGGGTACCCTTTAAGGGCACTGAGATGCACTGAACACATCTGAACACGCCCAGGTGCCACCACTTAGGGAGACGCTGTGCGCTGCAGCCCCAGCCTTGCGGGCGCAGCTCAGCTCCGCCTTGGCCTGCATTGTGGAAGGTTGGTCAGGGGGCTGATATGCCTAGGTCCGCCTAGGTGTGCGTACACAACTGCCTATTTTGCTAGTCCGGGCTGCTGCGGTGGTGAAGCTGGGAACATCTCGCACTTTCCATGTCGTCAGGAGCACAATATGTTCATCCTGGAGCGGTGCCAATGTCCTGCAGTGGGTCTTTGGCAGCCCGTGGACCCAAATCAGTTGCAGGGACCCTCCTTGGCCGGTCGGACTTCCCGAAGCCGCGCTGATCAACCAGCAGAACCTCACTTCGCGATTTCTCCCCCTATCCGACAGTGCAGGTTTACTCTATGAAGCTTGCACGCAGATGCTCCTCAAGGTGCCTTTTAGGTCCTACATGTGCCTACCGAGTTCTCTTGCCACACCACTTCGCCAAGATGCGTTCACACGCTTGGCGAGAGCTCGGGAAAACTTTGCCCTCCGTACCTGGGGCCAGGCTCTCGTCATCGGCACAAGACACCACACACACACACACACACGCACATAAACTCCAGCATAGCTCGGAAGGCTCTGAATGTCAAGACGCCTTGTCACACGGCACCTGCGCGCCCCCCGTTGCATCTGCGAGTGGCATTCCCATTGGAGCTTCGAAGCCTGGCTGCTGCTCATCATGCAACTCATGCGACAGTGGGCTGATAATGGCCTACCGTAAGGGGCAGCCGACAGTCTCAAAAGAACTAGTAACTTTGGGGTAGGCCTTTTTTCGTCGCAGCACAACTTGTAGTGCGGGGACCTGCCTGCGAAGGTCTCCGGGAGCTCGTCTGTGCGGAAGACGCCCTGGGACGAATGCTTTGACGAAAGGAAGCCTGCAATGCAGCAGCAGAGCCGGCCTCCTCCCAAAAGCTCAAGTCCTCGCCGATGCCGTGCAAACAGATGGCCGTGCGGGCTTTCGGGTCCAGGTGGCCATCTCCCCTCGGCCCACCCAGGAGTAGCCGGCAGCGGATCCTTGGTGAGACTTTGCCATTCACCTTCAAGATGTCAGTCGTGCTACATGATCCTCAAAGAGCCTCAAAGAGCCACTTGCAAAGTGCTCATGTTTGCTCAATTCTTTGGATGAGGATCGACGTGCCATCGCTGCACGTCACATAGTGGTTGCCTTGTCAAGGAACCCTCCAAAAGCAAGTCGAAGTGTGACACATGAATTTCGCCCCACGCCCTTGCAAAGCCTTCGGAATCTGGTTCTCGAGGCTCCGCCATGGCGCAAAGCTACGGCAACAGGATCTCGAAAGTTTTGCACTTACGAGGTGTAGGGCTGATGCTCCAGCGACCCCTGAGGTAAAAACACGGCATTGTGCTACACCGCTACGACGCCACGCCTCAGATGGGCCGTAAGGCAGCCGAGATGTCGCAATACCGTTCGAAACACAGAAAGTCATCGTCACCATGCACCACCTTCAAGCTCACTGCGTTGTTGGCTTCCTTGCTTGTATTGAAACATGTACGATGCAGAATGCATGTGGGCCTGGCGCTGCTGGTTCCAGCACCTCCCAGAGCAAACTGAGCCCTGACAACTGGGTTTTTGGGAGGTCCTGCCTAAGCCGCCATCTCGCTGCGAGAGCAGGCAGAGAGCAACGCATGGCGACCAAACGACAACTGGCCAGCGGAGCCCCGCTCAAGATGCTTTGCAGTGCTCATCCTTACATACGTTTACATACCTACGACAAGCCGCAGACTTCACCGGTTCATGGATGTTTTCCATCTTCAACTTGAGCCGATTGGGGACAACACCAGCATCAGCGTAGCAGCAGGGAAGAATTGGGATCCAGGTGCATTTCAAGGGTAACTACACCTCGTGCGAGCCAAAGAGGTGAATGGCCTGCCTTGCTGATCTCGGCAGTGACCTCAAATTGTTGTGGATCGCGGTCGGCTCACTTTTCCACTGTAATTTGCAACCGGGCTCCGGGCGCCAATCAGTGGCAATGTGGAGCCGCTCAGCTCTGCGTCGCACTTCCGGAGCCACAAGGCTCTGGGAGCCTCACTGGTTCCAGGCCATATGTTGCAGCAACCCGGCGGAGGGGCTAAAGTGAGCCATTTGTTCTTCAAAACGAACATGGCGCTGCACAAGAGCTTGCATGATTGGAGTGGCATTCGATTGCAATCGCAAAGCTACGCCAAAGCTACGCCAGAGCTGGATCCCGGCTGCCTGCGAGTTCACTGCTGTCTGCTGCGATGCCTCGAACGCAGCCTGAAAGGCGAAGGCCAGGCAAAGCTCGTTGCGTGTACGATAGTCCGTAAGAGTACGTACTAGCAACAAGCTTCAATCATCTTCAATCAGGCAGATGCCTTTGCAGCGGCGAAGTCCCCCATGTAGAACAACGCCTGGTCGAGAGGATGAAGCTGGCTGCTGCCTGTTAAATCTGTTTTTTTGAAAGCGTGCTGGCAGGACGATGCCCTTCCAGTACGACGCCTCAGCCAGCAAGAGCAGCCTTTAAGAGGCAGCTTGCAAGCATTTTGCAATCCTCGCCAGTGTTGTGGGAACAGCTGTCTCAAGGACTGGCTCCGACACCCGCAATGCAAAAGATCGCTTCAGCTCCCAGCCATTGAGCACTTCGGGTCTTTCGCCAAAGCCTCTGCTGCATCCTGAAGAGTCTCCTCAAACCTGCGCTCAAGGCACGAAAGCCGTTCGGTTCGAGTCAGTTCGCCGGCTTGTTACTGGTGGAACGAAAACTCCACCAGCAAGTCATGCCATGAGCCCATGAGCCCACAGTCTCGCATTTTTTGAAGGCACCCGCAAGTGCAAGTCTCAGTGAAACCATGGCTGAAACGCCTAGTTGGCCGTGGCAACCGTCCCTAGATCATCAACGTGTGGGTACCCTCAATTTGCGCAGTTTTTTTGCGCTTATCAGGAGCAAGCAGCGGCACAAACGCATCAGTCGACGACCTTCCTTGGTTCTGCCTCCTCGGCAGGCACGTCCTCAAGAGACGTGGTGTGGTGAGCTTCTTTGAGGAGGGACGGCATGCTGTCCGGGCCGCTACGTCTGCGGGTGCTTGTGTACCTACATATTTCGGGCCAATAGAACCAAATGAGAGACGACCCAACAGCCAGATCGTTTCGTGTCTCTCTTACAACTTGCTCCTCAAAGAGCCGGCAACAACACGCAGCCATGCACCCAGCCTCGCCCAACCACGAGCCCCCGAACACCTTCATGACTTGTCACTACTTATTGTTTGCTTCGCCACGAAGCCTTCTTTGATCCCTTAAACCGGATCTTAACTGTTCCCTTAGGGTTTAGGGCCTTTAGGGTTTAGGGTTCAGGGCCTTTAGGGTTTAGGGTTTAGGGTGTACCCTTACTGTACCCTTGAGGGCCCTGAGCTCCCGGCCTTGACGGGCTCGGGCAAGCTCTTTGGCCTCTTCTCGGGAGCCACGGGAGCCCGGCCCCGGGCCGCCTGGCGGAACTCCTCCAACTCACGGCGCTCCTCAGAGGGAAGCGGGAGAGCGATGTTCGGAGCACAGGGTTGAGGGATGTTCAGGGGTGGTACTTAGGTCTCATCTTGGTTCTTCCACTCTTGGCCATCTCGTTTCTTTCTTCATCGGCCGGGCCAGGGTAACCAATGCAAGGCATTGTGGTAGCAAAAGTTCTCGCACGACATGGATGCGCTCCCCCGCATGGTGTCATGAAAGTGCTGAGGGAATGTGAAGTCAACGTGTCCAAGACATCTGGATCGGGCCAAGGTACATCCGCAATCTTCAGCAGCGTTGACTGGCCAGCTTCTACCATGATTCCCACCTGAGCAATGACAATGCGAAGCGCACGAGCGTGGACTTTGACCCATCTTCCGACAGCCGCTGCGTGGGCCAAAGCTCATCAGCTAGCGTCATCTGGTCGGCACAATGCCCCCTTCAGAACCATGCGCACACACACACACACACACCTACACACCCACACCCCCACACACACACAGAGACAGACACAGAGCAAGCGCCTGTGGCACCATAACTTGGAACACCGAGGAGCCGGAATGGAGAAAAGTGCTACCCCGCAGAGACAGTAGAAAATGCACATGCGGCTGCCAGCTCCATCGGTAAACTCATCATTGGCCTCAGATGACGTGCTCTGAAGAGCACCTCGTGCAGCAGATCGCAAAACACTGTGCAAACAGTAGGTTCGAACTTAACCTGTGATCTTGCGGGCTGTTACTCGTGCCAAGAGGTGGCAAAATGGTGCAGCCACAGCTACCCATTCACCAAGCAGGTATATGCTGCACCAGTACAGCGCGTCGGGGATGGAGCCCATATGCTCCTGCATAACACGAATCATCCGACATCATGCGACAAGCACGGTATAAAGCAGCTAGGGCCAGGGTCACTATAGGCCGCGCCTGGTCTGAAGGGACCGAGTCTTCCGACTCGTCTCCCTCAGCCGTGAACATGTTTTCCAGCCAGACGAAGATGCCTGACAGACTGGATTGTCGCAGACAAGGGAGGAGAAGTGGGCAGGAAGGCAACGAGCCAAGCCCGCACCAAATCCCTCTTTCTTCGTGCTGCTGCTAGCTGTGAAAGACGCTGCGAGTGGTTAACGGTTTTTTGAACGTGTCGCCTGCCGTCAGCACCCAGAGCTCCAAGGAGATCACGGCGGGCATGGCGAGGCTGGGAAGCGCCGATCGCAGCGTGGACTTCACGGCCTTCACCTCCTTCTTAAAGAGGCGCTTTTTTTACGTTGAGGGAAAAGGAGAAAAAACCTGTGAGGGAGAGGAGAGAGACTCTTTTGGAGGGCGTGTTGGGTGTTCTGTTTTCCATTTCGGCCCAAGGTGCTCTTGCAATGCCTGGCCAGTCAAGCACCCGTATGATTCGACAGGCGGCGATGCTCTCGATGAACGCCTCCATTCCTGCGCAACGCAGAGACCATCGAAGACCAAAGTATCCAGCCATCTCGACGCTCTGCAAGTGCATCTGATCTTACTTTGAAGCTCATGTACTCTAATACCCCCATGTGCCCTCTCCACGGTTCCTGGTGAGCCGTTCTGAGTTTCGGTGCTCTCGAGCTCGAACTTGATCCTGGCCAGGCCACTGAACTCACAGTGGCGCTGAGTAGAGCCAGATAGCTTTTGACTCTTCATCAAACCTACATGTGCTTCGAGTTCTGCTCTGCTCTACTCGGAAAAGCCTCAAGCCTCACGCACAAGCCTCAAGCCGCAATCAGCAGCTTGGACTCTTGATTAGCATGGCAAGGATCTCCAAGCTGTTCAACATGACAGGCCAAAATGGCCAATGATTGCTACGGCGTCTCAAAGAAACCCTCCCCTCCTCATAATCGTCGGCACCAGACACACAAAGTCGATCATCCGCATCGGAGTTGTGAAAAGGCCTGCGCGCACATCATGCGCAGCGCTTTCAGCCGGGACTCGGCATTTGGTATGCCAGCTTCCGCTCTTGAAGCTGCATGGGCTACTCTAAGGTTCCAGCCGAGGGGGTTTGCTAGGAAATGAAAGAAGAACTCGATGGCGAAAATGAGCCCTGTGACCTGAACACGTGGTCCGTTGACCCTGCTGGCGTGCATGTACAGAATCCAGCCAGTCATGCAAAAGGGTATGACCCGACTGCCAAGCGGACAAAGAATCTAGAGGCCTGGCAGAATGTCCCGGTACAGGTCAGCTCACAACGTTTTCTTGCATCTTGTTATTGTCTCTCGATGCTGCACCTCAATATTCTATAAACATATATATATATACATATACTTTCTTTTATGCTGCCCTCTTCCCCTCCCGGGACTCCTTTTGCAACCCGTAGCCAGCATCAGTCCAAATTCCAAATGCTATAGCTAAGTCTGGCTACCCACATCCTTTTGCAACTCGGTATCCGTATCATAAAGATAGATGTAAATTTATTTACCGATGCGTACAAAAACGCAACGCAATGCAAAAAAAGTATATACACACACATATATATATATATATATATATAGATATGCATGTACATTCTAGAGAGAGGGAGAGAAGATCATATATCATCAAAGATAGAACACATAACATTCTTAGAAACATACATGCTATATCTATAATGTTATATATGGCGTATTCTACAATATTTATCTACAGCATACATATATATATATATAGACATATAATATGTACTCTAAATTGTGGAATCGAAACATATAGATTGCGTGATGTACAACATACGTAATGGCAGAATCAATGCATAACCTACGAAATACGAAAATGCATGTGCGTGTGTGTCTATAACTTTATCTGACAATACAAAATGTCGACTTATATAAATCTCAAAAAGGTGGAGCTGCCACCAAGTTGCCACTTCTACTAGGGTCAAGGATCTGCGTGCTTCTGGCCCTAGCGCTTCCACTTCCGGAATGGATTCCAACCTTAGGCAGCAAAGCGTCTAACGATACCTCTAGAGAACATGCTTCCACATGGGTTCACGACTTGAAGTACACAGGTGGTGAGACCACGGATGCCTGCAGTGCGTTCGGGACGTCGTCTTAAGAACCCTTTGCCTTGTTCACTTGACTCCACGTCATGTGTATTCTCGCAGGTAAATATCACAAACATCCGGCAAGGCTGCATCCGGAGACTAAAAAACGCAACATCATGTCCGCAGAATGTGGCTGTGCCACACCGAGGCGCATTGTATTTAGGATGTTGATAATGAGGGCAGCTTGGGCCAAGCCCATGAAGACCCGACCAAGGCTGGTCTGACGCCTCAGCAGACCTCAGTCTTGACAGGCACCATCTCGCACGATCAAGCCCCTGAACACCGAACTGGGGAGCCTCGTTTCTGCCAAGCTACGCTGTGCAGCCTTCTGGATGGTCACCTGCTCGCCATCATGCAGCCGTCAAGTCAAGTGGCGCACGTGTGGCACCTTCTTCCATCTGCTACAAACCGAAGAGGGCAAAACTGTTTCGGAACTAGATGACGAACGTAGGCCCTTGCGATGCTTCCGGCCCTGGTGCCTCTGCAGGCCCGAGCCTCTGGGCCATGAGTCATATCGCTCAAGTGTCGTGCTGACTGCTTGCTGTTGCTCCTTTTGGCTGTGGGTCGATTGAAGCTTCAGGCGGAAATGTTGGCCTCAGATTTTGAGGGCGGAATGGCCCAGAATTGGGGGGGTATCCCGGTCCCTAAAGCTTTAGGACCCAATCCCACATAGAGATGCTTTTACCTGACACTGTGGTTTTCCCAATGTGTTCTGTCAGTGAATTTCGCTGCAGAAGAACTAGTGGCCACTCTAGCGGCCAATGCAGTATCTGGCGCTCCTCGCAGTCTCTTTGTTCGAACACAACGAACACACAAATACCAGCAACGCATGGTGCCTGGTTGTAGCGTGGCAGCTCTGCGCTGGAGACGTCACGCCTCGGCAACAGGCCGAGCGTTGTTGCAACATCCCGTTCCGGGAGATTTGCTGATTTGCTCAGGTGCCCCAGTGTGTGCATTTGAGGTCAAGGCTAAGGCCTCAACTGCAAAAGCTGCCATCCACATCACATCTGACAATGCGGCCCCTACATCAACCTTCCAAACAACCTGGGATCCCACCAACTGTAGAGTTTTTTTTGGTTTGGGGTTCAAAGGGTTGACTGTCGCCAGGGCTCCGCTGCTTCTGCCGCACTCGGAATCGTCGCTGGAGGACAGATACCTTGGGATGTGCCCCCTTATACTAACAGTCCTTAAAGGGGATTTTAACAAGGGGTACTATAACCCCTCTTAATTGAGGACTGTGAGTATAAGGGTGAACATCCCCACCTTCAACGCAGATGTCCAGCTGCAATGGGCATTGATGGGTGTGGGGGTGCCATCGCAAACAGCCAACGCCTCAATTGTCCCTCCAGTCCTTTCGGCCTTTCCTTGCGGATACCTTTTGCAACAGCATTCCTCATAAGGAGGACCCGCAAAAAAAAAACATCTCGACGCCGACTCATCCTCCCGAGCTGCTGCGGAGACCATGATCTGCACGCGCTCCTCAGCGGCCTCTCCGACAATTCTCCGGACGCCAAACACAGCCGGGGGGGTGGGGGCGGGGGGTAGTTCCAGGCGCACAAGATCGGCTGCTTGCAGCAGGTTGTCAACAACAGGCTGCAGCTTTCGTGGCATGTTCTTGAGTTGGCGTTTGACTATCCGATGCTTCGACCTGGCGGCGTTCCAAATCGCGCTGCGCGCCCAGGTATTCCACGAAGCCACCCGCAAAGATGCCGGTAAAGGTGCCTCGGGTAAACACTGCAGGGATGGCAGGGACGGGGCGGCTCGGTCCGCAGTCCACTGTGCGCTTTCTGCATCTTTCCTTTCTGCACCTTTCATCGCTCCGAGGCAGTAGGGAGCCTTCGCACTTTCCTCTCCCAAGTCACGGCGTGGCCTGTGGGCCCCACGCACACTTATTCAGTCTTGCGTAAAAACCCAAAACTAATCCAAAGTTGGGATTCCCTATGGAAATCCCTGGAAGGAAAGTAGGGCATCCCAAGACTTCATGTCATAGGTTTTGGAGGTTCCCTGGGCTTCTTCCTCTTTGTATCCGTCTTCTTGTCTCTACACCCGTTCTGTCTGAACAACAGCTGCAGGCATGGGATGGCATGTGGCATTCATGGACAGGCCAAGTTGCCGGTGCAGCACATTCCGAGTATGAGAAAGACCTCACAGCCACGCACAAAAGATGCCTGCACGTAAGAAGTCTGGCTTGCAAGCGAATATGTGACATATGTGCGTTCGCGCGTTTGTGCGCGCGTGCCATGAAGCCACAGTGAATGAAAGGTGCCGCTTTGTAGAAGTGTGAGTACGTGCATGCGCTCGGAACCCTGCTGGCATGCAAGCTGGCGCACACGCACGGAAGATCACGGAAGCATGTGGGCAAGCGTGTGGTTCTTGCACTGTTCTTGCATGCTCGTGCGGGGCGCGAGCAAGAAAGCTTGCATGCATGGGCGCGCGTGAAAGAATCCAGACCCACCGCCCCCACCCCATCCCCGCTAGCTGTCGTGCCTGAACTCGTGCTGGCAGACTCACTGCGCAGTTTGTGTCCGTTTCAGCACATGTGTCCATGCATCAAGGCATGCTTCTCCAAGCATGCCATCGAGCATGCCATCGCAGACTGGGGCTTGAAATCAAGAGCCAAGTTCTGCGAAGGTGTACTCTTCCATTCTCTACCCCACTCCCACCCAGGCCTAGCCTTGATATAGGCTAGAGCATGGTTAAACTCAAGCTCATTTCTGGCCCACCCAAGCAGCGAGAAAGCGTGCTGGAGGCTGCAAGCGTTGGTGTCGCTATGTGTTGCTAGAACTCCAGTGATCTGCAAAGCTGAATGACAGTGGTGTTGTGAAGCGTATCGAAGGGTTCTGCCGACACTATAAGCCCACGACCAGGTGGAAGGGCATTGAAAGACTGCTGTAGTTGGTGCAGGGATAGTCCTTAGCATCCGATTGCGTGAAAGGCCAAGTCAGATGCTTGCGATTGTTTGCATTCTGGACAAGACTCATTACGAAGCCGAGCTACGCCAGTCAGGTGTATCAGGCCATGCGGAAGGCCCACAAGAACATTGTGAAAGCGAGCACTGATCTCGTCGTCTTCGGAGTCCTTCTCCAAAACATAGAGGCTGACAGTGAACATGTACCTGTAGCAGTTGAAGCCGTTTAGCCGAACAGCTCTTGTCGGGAACAACTCCAGTCTGTTCAGCCAAACGATTCGGCCAGAAAATACGTCCAGAAAGTTGAGTCCAGTCCTGCTGGACGGTGGGAGTTTGTTACCAATTAGACGACGGCTTTGGAAATTGCAGAACGAAGGTCACCAGACACACACCAGCGCATAGCAAGCCTTTCGAAGGGCCTTGGATGGTGTTGCAGAAGGAGGCCGGGGCAGGGGTGAAACTCTCCACAACGGCCCAAAGCCCACAAAACCTCCAGCCACATCGGTCAGATTACGAAGCCGCGGTTTGAAACGGTGCAGTTGCAATCCGAGACGCCGATGCCTGCATCCAAATTACATCGCACAGTGACTGGATTGCCGGCGTCCAAGACCTGGGCTGGCTGGCCAAATGCGTGGCCGCACTGTGCCCCTGTGCTGGCAGGGTGCAGGAACTAATTGAGAAGCTTGAGCATGTGTGGCCAGCAGCTGGGTCTTCCTCTAAGCATCAGGCTCTAACATCATCAGCCGCATGAGGCGCAAGGGAAGAATTAGATCCCTCCAGACATCTTTGGCACCTGGTCTCAGCTAGCAGGACGTGCAAAACAAGTCCGACTCGATTGTGAGACTGCACCTGGAAATGGATTCTAGCAGTGTAGCCCGCAAGGGGCCGCACGCGTCGAGTCGTAGTTCGGATGAAGCCCAGAATCGTGCCTCGAGCATCAGCATTTCACACTGTGTCGATGGCACACTTGTTGATGGTGGGGTTCTATCTGGCTCCATAGTGTTTACGGCTGCACCAGCTGGCTGTCAAGGCCCGGCGACATTGCAGGTGTCAATGTGATGATAAATGCGGACAGCGAGAGCAGATCGACGACGCCAATGAAGGACAGAAGGTACATGCCCCTGCCGGCAGATGTCAAATAGGACTATGGATCCCCAGCCAGCTACTGCCTTCAGCTGCCAGATCTTGCACTAGTCACTAGTAATCACTAGCGCCCGTGCTTGCGTGCTTGCCTCAGAACGACGATCCGGGCAATGAACTCCACGGTGAAAAACACCGCCCTTAGATCAAGAGAGCATGCGCAATTGACGCAGAGGCGGGAAAGGTTGTCGTGGCTGCTACTGCTATCGGTCGCTGTGGCACCACGGCCAGGTGGGAATGTATGTCCCTGGTTCCCTACCTGTTACAAGTTCATTTCGGTAGCTGCTGGCCTTTGCCTTTTTGACCCATATGCACGATTTGCAAAGTCAACACTCGCAAGAACAGCTGCAAGAGGGATTGGCTCTGTTTTATCGGCCACGGTCTTTGGTCGCGCCAAACTTTTGCAGATTCGTCCTTCCAAGGATGCAAATGAAGAATGCCCAACCTTCAGATCGCAACTCACACCCCAGGCTCCTCTTCAGGTGGCGGTAGAGCACCCGCTGAGCAGCCACGGCGGCATTCCTGGATGGATGGGCGGTTCAGCAAGCCCCCTAAACTTTGGCCCTAAACCCTCAGCCCTATAAACCCCCTATAACAGGCCCTATAATATGCTCTATAGTAGGCCCTCTAAACCAAAAAAAAACCTTTAAGAGTACTTGGCGCTGACTCTCAGCATGCACCCCAGGCGTGCAACCGAAAGCGACAATGCAAACTTTCGAGAAGGAGACGAGCTCGTACAGTGATCCTGCGATTAAGGGACGAAGACTCAGTGACCATGGTGGGGAAACAGTATCTGTATCTGTATGAACTAGAAAGATCCCTGGTATCATGTTGTTACAACCTCCTGAACAACAAGCCCGTTTTGCCAAAGCTTCCGGTTGTCTTGGATCTCCTTCGCCGTGAGGCTGGGCCGCTGCACATCCTACCACTGCAGGTGTGCAGATCAGGCTGCTACGAGACAAGGGGGAAAGACCAGCTCTATCAAACTGATGCAAGTGGAGCCTGCCATGGATTGTCGGCCTCTTTCTGCTGCCTCAACTGCAGACGGTACCCACCCTCGCACTCGTGCTACATGGAGTTGCTCTGAGTTTGGATTTCTTGGATTTCTGTGCAAAGGGGGAGGGGTTGCCTTTTGTTAAACACCCCTTGTATGCTTTGCCCCCAAGGCCGGCGAAGCCACACTTCCCCCAGCCGTGGCCGCAGCGCTGCCCGAGCCGAGCTTGGTGCGCCTAGCGCATCTTCAGTGCAATGCTGGCGTCATGGCGTCTCAGGACAAGATGGCTCATGATCTCGTGTGGAGTCATCTATCATACGGACGGAATCCAGTTCTTGCTTCGTGATGCGGTCCAGGCACCAGGCTTGACCAAATCTTCCAAGTTGTCATTCAACCTCACCTTAGCCCACTGATTTGATTTTCAAAATGACAATGGTCGTTGATACAAGCCAGCCTCAGAAACCCTACTGTGCCCTCTTTGGTGTACCGAAAGGAAGTGTCCCTGTGAGGCCCGATGTTGAGCAGCATTCTCCCGAGCCTGGCGGACGTTCCCCAGCTGCGGTGCCTGGCGCGAGGCACCTCCACGTTGGCCACGCTCCTTCCTGCATTGTCGGCGAATGGGGCATTAATTGGATTCACAGCTAGGGCCAGCTAGGGCTGTTCAAAGGGTTCCTAGGGTCCTGGCGTTCGAGGATTCACAGTTAGGGCTGGTGCCCCAAGGTTCCTCGAGGGGATCGACAGCAGGAGCCCCTCTATTCGCACATATATCCGGTGAACAACTCAAACTGAGAAATAAGCATTAGCGAGCAGGGGTGGAGGTGTTGGTGGTGAGGAAGGGAAAGGACTCGCCATGAAACGGGACAGAAAGATTTGTGGCCGCAGCGTTGTGTATTGTCGATCTCTGGGGCTCTGCTGGGGCTCTGGGGCTCTGGGGCTCTGGGGCTCTGGGGCTCTGGGGCTCTGGGGCTCTGGGGCTCTGGGGCTCTGGGGAGCGGCAAGAACGCTGTAAATGGCAGTGCTTTGGGCATGTTCGCAGAAGGCATGAAAACTTGTGACAGCACGTCTGGTTGCAAAAACATCAATCATTCGTCTGAAGCAAAATGTTTCGGAGGCCAAAACACTGAACGGTCCAGTGCCCTGGGCATGTTCGCAAAAGGCTTGTGACGATGCGTCTTGTTCCAGAAACGTGAAGCATCCATGTGCGGCATGTTATCTACAGAGCCAAAACGCTGTAAAGGCCAGTGTTTTGGGCAAGTTATAGTAACATGGTCGCAACCAACCCACCCCCACCCCCCACCCCAGGACAACATGAAAGCACGCGAACATGTAGGCAAATCCAGTCTGGACAAGTACCAAAAAAACGCTGGCAGACTTTTGCAACAAGTGAACGACTACTGAGGTCTTAAGGGGGTAAAGTGGGAAAAACAGGCAAAGCATAGCGTCAATTACGCGACAATGGCCTCGTAGTAGAAGAAGTAGTAGAAGTAGGGTGAAGTTGTATTCGTAAAAGAAGTAGTAGAAGAATAAGTAGAAGTAGAAGTAGAAGTAGTGTAGTAGTGAAGTATAGTCATGTAGTGGTGTAGTAGTAAAAGTAGTAGAAAAAGTGGGAGCAGTAGTAGTAGTAGTAGTAGTAGTAGTAGTAGTAGTAGTAGTAGTAGTAGTAGTAGTAGTAGTAGTAGTAGTAGTAGCAGAAGTAGTAGTAGTAGTAGTAGTAGTAGTAGTAGTAGTAGTAGTAGTAGTCGTAGTCGTAGTAGTAGTAGTAGTAGTAGTAGTAGTAGTAGTAGTAGTAGTAGTAGTAGTAGTAGTAGTAGTAGTAGTAGTGTAGTGGTAGTAGTAGTGGTAGGTAGGTAGGTAGGTGGGTAGGTAGGGGGGTAGGTAGGGGGGTAGGGTAGGTAGGTTGCTAAGCAGGTAGCTAGGTAGGCAGCTAGGTAGGTAGGTATGTATGTATATGCGTATCACATGGTGACAGTTGCAGGTACTGTGCTATCTGAAGGTCCGTAGGAAAACGCATGGCAGTCTCGAAAGCTGAGAAGGCGCATGAGCCTGCAACTTACATCTTGCTTGACGTCGAAAGACAAGCAGCAACTACCTCCGCAAATAGAGAAGGCAACGATGTGGCCGACGGTGAACAGGGCAGCGAAAAACACGTTTCTAACAACAACAACGTCCAACATTCTCCGAGATCCTTCCTAAACTAAATCGGCCACAGGGCTGCTTTCCGGAAGCCTTGGGGCGCGGGTGGTGACCAGCGCCAGGCAGCGATGGGAAGATGATGTCACCCAAGTCCTAAAGGTGTGAATCTCACCAAGGCTGCAACACCTGCGACACCTGCTTTGCAGTTTGTCAGGAAACTGCTTTGGAACTGTGTCTTGCTTGCATTCTCACTGCACTGCTTTGGACAACCCTCATGCCTCTTAGACACCACAGGTATATGCAAATATATGCAAATATTGCATTCGCAACTCCAACTTGTAGGAGTGGGAACCCTGGGAGCCCCAGTCCTCAGGGTCCGGTGGCGCATCCTTCGGACTCGTGGCTTCCTTGAGCGCCTTGGCTGCACGCAGACACTTCGAATGCATCTGATGACGAGCCGAATAGCGCGCACGCGCAAGGGGTGCATGCCAGAACCGAACTTGATGTGACATCTTAGAAGGTTGAAGCAGCTCCGAACGAAACACCGGAACCACACCCTCTGGCCTGGATGTCCACTGTTGCCGCATTGGGCCCCAATGGCAGTGCCGCCTCGTCGCTCGCCTCCTCTACATCCAAGGGTCGTCGGAAGGTGGAAACGAAGTCCTGGCCAAGACAAAGACCACTTCTCACTTCCTCCCCAAGCCCTGCTGTCCCAATCGGCCACCTGCAATCAGAGCAATCCCCCAGCCCCAGATCCGCCCTGATATCCCGATGTCTTGATCATGGACTGCTAGTGTTTTCATGGAAAAATCAAATGCAAGCAGGTGGCCTTGTCGAGAAACAGTGTCAAAAATACTACGAAGCACCTCTGCACATCTGTGCACGCTAGCCACAGCTGGCATGCCAGGTGAGATCAGAAGAGTAGTTATGGGTTGCTGAGTAGCTGTGCGTGGTTCAACTGAAACCCTGGGAACCACCCCACCCCAAGCCAACCAAAATTTCGATCTCAGTCTCTCTATCTCTGTGCGTGTGGGTGGCATGAAGTAATGAGGGTTGCATGTCCTCGTCTTGGGGCAGCGGCCGACTGCTTCGAAAATAGATGCCACTCGTTTCAGCATCCAAATCGCCAACTTGCTCCAGTCTGTTCGGGTCACTCATGTACTTGAAATCCACAGTGGGGTCGAACACCCCAACACCTCGAGTATTCGAGCGATGCTGCCATGCTTGGAAGCGTCTGTCTTCATTCTCTCCTGGAGCCATGGAATCAGGCTGCTGGCGCGGCGAATGGCTGGCTTCGACGGTATTCATCGCGGCCGTTCGCTGTAAGCGCATCGCATCAGATGCCAGGCGGGCATCGAGGTCGAAGATGCTATCATCGTCTTCTCGAGGCTCATCCAAGTCAATCACAGGCTCCTTGCCTGCCTGCGCAACCTCGCCGTCGCCTTGCCTGCTCGATCGCAGAGCAGCAGGCGGCAGCTCAGGCTCAGGTCGGGAGAGCAGCTTTTCTTCTGGCAGTCGCTCAGGGATGACGGAGCCTGCAGAACTGTGTGGTGCAGGTGTGTCGAAGGGATACCTCCGCAGAAATGGGAGTTCGTCTTTGACTCCCTGGGCTTCTCCTGCGTTCCAGACCTCTTCCAACGCTTCTTGGCTGACAATCTTCGGAGCGATGTCGACATTGTAGTGGTGGACGCCTTCCAGGCCCGCCGGTGAAAGAGACACCAAGTGCTGCGCTTCCCCAAAAGAACCTGTTCCGACCAACTCCGAGATTGTGTAGCCACCCTTGAGCTTCAGCCCAACTGCCTCAAGTGTGCTGCCGCTGCTGCCTGGCACTGTGACCGCGCGCAAAGCTCTTTCCAGGTTTTCCAGGCTCAATGCTCATTCAAGGCACCCAACCCTGAAAGAGGAACAAGTCGACACTGCCTGCCTCCGGGCTTGATCTCCTCCCAACGGCCCAGCTCCTGATGCATAGTTAGCATTGTTTGCCATTGCTTCATGCCCAGAACCAGCTTGAGTAATGCCATGTTTCTCACTCTTCTCTAGATGCTGCGAGAAGCGTCCTGATCAGTTGTGGCAGGCACACTCCCGAAACAGCCCATGCCTTATTCACCCCGTCCTGTGGCTCCAGCTCCACTTCATCCAAGTCTATCCGGTGGCCTCCATGCTGGGGCAATGCGTTCTGCCAGATTATCATCCCACCACAAACCCCCACAACACGAATCACCCAGTATCCCCGAACCGAGCTCAACTCCAGGACTCGAGGACTAGCACCATACTCCCAGTCTAGGGCGCCCAAGGTATGCATGCTCTCCAACCAGCAAAGCAAACTCCATGCCTTAGGCACTGGCAGGGTATCCTTGCGCCATGCTCTCAGAAATTCGACCGTTCCGGCCGCAGAAGTACCATGCACGTGGGAGGATTGCACTGGGCTGCAGTTGTGGCTTCTGTAAGGCCTGGCCCCGCTGCCTCCGAAGCCCGCAAACTAGGTTCCGAAAGGTTTAATTAGGGTCTGGCGGCTTCGATCGCAAAATCGCATGGAAGCCGGACGCTTCATGCGGGTCATCGGAGGCGGGGGGCTCTTTACCTTCCCCTGGAGAGGTTGGTGCTCCGGGGTGAGCAAAACTTCTCGGTGCGCAGCAGGGAAGGCTTTCTTTCTCCTGTTTGAGTGTAGTCGGAGCGGCTCTGGATTAGGGTTTGATCAAACAGGCTTTTAGGGTGTAATCCTAAACCCCAACCCAGCACCCATGCATCAAGCGAATTTTGGCCATGTTTGCACAAGTGAGTGGGCAACAGCAGCTTGGAGCAAATGGCTCAAGTTTGTTTAGGTTGAGCGCACGCTCAACCACGCGGCGGAAACCCTCAAAGCGGGTTCGAAGCCGGCAGCCTCACAATCCTACATGGGTCAGCCATATCTTGCCTTGAAGATGACCCAGGCGGCGGAAGATCCCGCTTGTCTCGAGACCTGGTCCAGGGTTTGATTCGTGAGAGCCTTGCTTGAACGAGATGGAGCATGTTGGCGTAAAGTTTGTCCTAGGACCTATAGGAGAAGTGTCCTGAAGCTTGGAGACCCGGCCGGTCATCGAGTTGAACTGCCGCACCGGCGCTTCGGAAGGCTGGCCGGGAAGGTGCTTAAATCCTCGGCACCGCTCTGAGACTTGGTTCTCTTGGTAGCCTCCCGACGCTCACAAAGTGGCCGATAGCGGAGGAGAACTGCGATGCGGCCCCCAGAGCATCCCAAAGCAGCACCTTATATGCAATGCCAGGGAGCTTCGCACTACAGGCAGCTCCTGCCAGGACCGAGATCCCACCACAGCTCGGATATGCTTTGCTTGCCCCAGACTTATCTGATTGTTACCATTGTTCCGGCCCGCACTGGGGGTCACCTCATGCTAGGGCTACTACACAATGTCCGATGACACTCTGCTCCTGCGCATCTGCGACATCGATCAGCGGCCGATCCGCATCGTTGGAAGCAGGGACCTTCTGATATGCAAGAAGGTAATTGGGAGATTCTTGAGAGCAGGAGACTCAACCCTAGCCTGCATCGGAGTCGGAGAGGGAGAGGGGTCCATAATCATCGGCCCGGTTGGCTGACCTAGCTGCAGCTTAAGCAAAACACATGACCACTCCTACTAGTACATATTCCTGCCTTGGCCTGTGCAAAAGAACTGAAGATGGTCCTGCCTTAGATTGCCTTATCCGATCAACATCAAATAGTGAAACGGCAAGGGGCCTGGTACGGCCCCCTCCTCGACCCAGTCCTGCGTGCCAATTTCCGCGACCGGCCACTGGTGGCCATGCACCCCATTCGCTTACGAGTACAGACAAAAGCATGCTGTCTACCAGGCAGGCGAAGGTCCTTCTCGTCACTGGCAGCACCCAACTCAACTGGCTCTTCGAGACTCGCATCGCCCTTAGCGGCCCCGACAGGTAAGGAACCCCTGGCACAGCTTGGGCAATTCCTCCACACGGAGCCGCAAGCATCACAGCCAACCCAGCGTGCGTGCTTTCGAGCGGCAGCCGATATAGGCCAGGGCTCAGATTTGGGGCCCAGGCCCCTTTTTTCCATATATGAAAAAACTGTGTGCTATCCCCCAGGCGTGTGCAACTCCCGAACATCCGACACGGGCATGGTGCTGGACTTGTTCATTTCATGTGGCAGGTCTGGGCTGTTCATTTAAAATGCTGTATCTTTGGGTTCTTTACTACCCTCATTGGTTCGTTCAAGTTCAAGAAATCATTCATATGGTTCTCAGTTTCTTGCTCTCTAACATTGCCGCATTAGTCCGTGTAAGGCTACATAAAGTGTTTTTGTTACATAGATGAGAATACGATGACTATGAACAGGCTTTTTCGTCCCTTCGTCGTAGGGTTCAAGAGAACTGGCACTTGGATGCAAACTCTCCGTCCTATTTCCATAAGATGCATCTTTCTCACCCGGTGCAGTTTCTGAAGTTTCTTGCAGTTCTTCTCCTTCTCTGCGTGTCCTTTCCGTCTCTCAAGCACAACTAGCTTTAGCACCCACGATCAACTACCCATAAAAAGGTTAGGTCCTTCTCAAGGAAGACATATATTCTGCAGCGTTGTCCTTGACAAAGGCTCTGTCGACGCGCGACACTAAAAGCTTAGAGCCGACTTCGACAAAGGGTCCAGGAGGTTTCGCGAGATGGGCAACGCTGGATTCTAACCCCGAAAAACCAGAAGCTCCACCCTTAGTTTTTGTTGCCCCCCAGTGCATGTGGTAATTGCGTCGCGAGTTACACCATCGAAGCTCCTGTTCCACATGCTAAAAGGATGCCAGCAGAGAGCCTAGGGACATACTTATTGAGCTTCTGCGGTGCTGTTTGGGACTGCCGTGGTGCACCCAACAAATTTCCCAAGCTGGGCAAGGCGTACCCAACTGGCCGTTCCCGTTCAGCTTGTGAGACGCCCTATCGAAGTTGCAGATGGCGAGCAAACACAGCTAGCTGTAGCCCCCACAATCAACTACCCATAAAAAGGTTAGGTTTTTCAAGGAAGACGTATAGTCTACAGCGTTGAAATTAACACAAAAGCTCTGTCTACTCGCGACACTAAAAGCTTAGAGCTGCCTCTCTTTGGCACCGTCACGTAGTGCTACACTCTGTCAGGGCAGGACTGCGGCAAAGCCTTTAGGAGGAGACATAATTGCCAGATGCGAGCAAGTCCTGCAGAAAGTGCTGCAAAGTGCCGCAAAGGCGCGTCAATTCCACTTTCTGCCAGCAGCGCGCGCTGCCGTGCAGTCATGCCCCGGCCTGTTCAGCTGGGTGAAGATGAGAGTCAGGGTGTGGTGGTATGCCCACCCGGCGTAGGGCATGACCAGACACGACACAACAACTTATCAGCACAGAGGCTTCTAAGTCCCAGAGGCCAGTTCAGCATCATGCCCCGCAATTGCCAGGGAAAATGCGCACTACAGGGAAAGAACCCCGTCGTTGCCAGAGAACGAGGCCTCTGCACTCGACATCTCAGCCGAGCTGCTTGGGATGGGCTGGAGCGTCTCCCGCATCCACTGCGGCATTGAGAGGAACCTGCACATCAATCAAAGCACCTCAAAGCACCTCAAAGCAACTCAAGGCACCTCATCAACAGAGCAGAGCTTGGGGCCTCTCCTCCGCGGCGGCACGCCTCCGCTCCTCCTTGCCTGGGGCTTGAAGCCGCAATGGCAAACAACTACAGGGTCCGAGCCTCAATCATCCAGCTTTCGGAGAGATTCTATCGCTTGATCTTCGCTTGGAGGAGCTAAGGTGCGCATTGCTTCTTTGATAAGAACTTCGCGCGCAGTGCCTTCCTCGGCAGCGCAAGGCTTAAACAGGAGCATGCGCAAACATCCCCCCTTCTAGAGATGTGTAGCCGTGTAGCAAACAGGCAAAAAAAAAGAGCAGTAGGTCTGAGCAGTCGGTCTTTCGCCGTTTCACTGCTAATCCAGCTAGCAAAGCGGCATCGGCGAGCTCCACATCGTTCCTCAACCAAGGCTCGAAGCGTTCTCTGCTAGCGAGCGCTTAATCCGATGAAGCGAGAGGCCCCGCATAATAGCGATTGCATGAAGCACGCGCTTGACACACCAAGACGAGTCTGAGAAGCATCCTTGCGCCCCGGCCCGCACTTAAAATCACCTCACACGTAGATGACACGTAGGGCACGAAGTGCTGCTTAGCTTCCATTTCAGACCAGGGCCCTCGGCCGTGGCGAGGTGCTCCTCGAATCTTCTGCACAAGTACCCTTAGTGGCCTCAGTGTGACCTTTCGCTTCTGAATTGTGCTTGAAACCCTTTGAAAGTTCTTCTTAATGAGTAGGGAAGTGAGATGACCAAGGACCAAAGCACAGCCCTCGCTTAAACGACATCCCCACCGCATGCCAAATCAGGCAACTGCCACTATAGCTCCTCCAGGGCATTGAGGAGGATTGTCGCGCTTGCCAGGTTGTCCGCCGTGAAATACCAGGGATAATGTTCAGGGTGTTGAACATGCGCTCGAGCATACTGTGACATGCCAAACAGCACGCGTCCAATATGCTTGGTGCCAACGGTCATGCCTGCCTTGGCAAGGTCGGGCAGCAACCCACAGGGACAATCCGCCATGTCAGGTCCAGGCCATGTCTGTTTACATACACCTGGCCTCCGGCGGCATTTTGAAGAATTTGCAGCGAGAGCGCTTGATGCATCCCCGGCATGTCTGTGTTTCCGTCATTGACAGGTGTTGGCGCAGGACCTTGCCAGCAAAAACGATCCTCTTCGGCGCGGACTCTGGAACTTGGGCATCCAGAAGTGTCCTGTCCGGCAAGGTGACCTTGTCTTCAAGTCGGCCGAATCGCACACATCGACCGTTCGTCTCACATGCAGTTGCACACACATGCACGCAAACTCACTCAAATGCACTGAAAGCCGAGAGGCTGGGCACTCCATCCTGCCAGGGTAAGGTCGGATTCGCACTGTCGGGAGGTATCTTTGCGAGGCCTTTCAAGCCTAACATGTGTCGGAAGAAAATGAGACACCCCCCGCCTTGTATACACAGTTGGGTCAAGAAGTGGTAACACCAAGAGCGGGCACGAGGTGAGAAGTGGGGAAGTAGCAGGAGCCCAGGATCCAGGGGTTCCGTTGAGAGGTTGCGATAGAGACACGCAATTCCCGCCCCCCTCTTGCCTTGCGAAGACGTGCCCCAAGCAACCAGAAGTCCATCAGCCGAGGCGGACGTGCGGAGCAGTGACAAACATGAAACTATATGAAACTATGAGCCTGGCGATCGACTCCACCGCTGACAAGTCGTTGCGCAAGCGTTGCTCGACAAACTCCTGCGACACAACCGGCATCCAGGAATCTAGGACCAGCACGTGCAGTGTGTAGAAAGATGTAGAAAGTGTGAGGCCCTCTTCAGCTCCAGGCCTTCCAGTCAATGCGTTCGGTGGCGTGAAAGACGCTTCGGCGAACTTCAGGTCTGTGTCCCATCGACTGCAGTGCTGGGGCCAGTAGCAGTGTTTGCTTCAGGTGTGTAGGCAGCGGTTGCTTTCGGGCAACGTGCTTTCTGCACATGGACACAAAGAAGCCTGCAGACTTGAGGCTCCAAGAGACTCCATGACTCTAGATTAAAAAAGCCTGCAGATTGCACTGGGTCGCAAGCCTTGCAGCCGCATGCCACCTCTGCGAAGCGCCCAAACTCCTCTCTGAAATCTTTGCAGGAGACACGAGCGTCTGCACGTTTCCGAAAGAACCCGAACAGAGTCGTAGGCTCAACCATACCGGTGAGCTAGAGCCAGGAGCTGCGCAAATAAGTTTCGAACCTATGTCAGCCATACCGGAGGTCCTGCATCAGGGCAAAAGCAAGCTGCCGCTGCTCGGGGAGGCGCAATGCTGAGCTGGCCTGTGTCACACGAAACATCCCCCCACAGTCTCTACAAGTGTGGAGGGTTGTGGCGGGGTCACCTAGGCCTAGGCAAGCAGCAGCATAGCATCGAACTTCATTCAAAGCTTCTTCCCCAAACTGCGTTCGTAAAGCACGTGGGGGCACGAAGGCTTCTTCGGGGCACACTGTGATTCAGTGATGTCAATAAGCCGAATTTGTCATGTCTGAATTTCCCCCGACGGCCAATCGTGAGCCAGAGCCTCCACTCCTCAATTCCCCTCTGAAAGTGCTGCACACAGCCTCCCCTTTCGTCCCTAATCAGGCTGCGACACCCCATGCTGCTTCAGCGCTCGGAGTGAAGCGGCATAGGCGCTGGTGGCTTTAGATCTAACCATCTCCAACCATGGGGCTCACGTTGCTCATCAGGCTGCACAGCTGGCCATGAGCTTGCCAACTGAAAGAGGGGCTGTCGAGTAGTTTCCGGTACAGAATCCTGTCATAGCTAACTTCTCATGTCTTCATTGTAGTCACTGCTACCATGCCCCGATTACAGATGTCAATACTGCAGCCGCTTCGGCTTTGCAGGGTCCATGGGGCCTTGGGTGTCAAGGTACTCAAAGGCTGCAGGGGCACACCGGGGGATTTCTCGCACAAGCTTCTCCATAGCTGTGGACAGCTGCGGGATCAACAACTCGCCTTTGTCGTTCAAAAAGTGGCAAAGGATTGCTGCATGATGCATCACGCCGAACCTCACTGTGCAATGACCCAGCATGACCCTATGATCCTGCGATATCCTGCGAATATGCCCAGCGTCAGCATCGCATCCGCCCCAACGAAGAATTGGTTCAGCTGGTGGCAATGTGGCCAATGCTCTTCGCCGTCGCAGGCCTAGCAGACTCGATGTCAGGGGGTGTAATGCCGACAACTAATCCAGGTGATTGAAGACAGAGATCCACTTCGCGCCATTTCTCAAGCACGGGTGGCCTCTGGATCTCCGGCCAGGATGGTCGAAACTTGTTGAAACCCTACGCTTTTCACTTCAAAGGCCTTTACACCACCGAAGCACCGGATGCGGAAGGTGTCGATATCAGACTCATCGACCCCCTACTCACAGGCAAGCGCTCGGCTGCGCCATGCCGAACTTGTAACCTTCAAGGCGATACTGCTAATACTGCTATACGTGTATTCGCACGCTCCGCAGTTCCATGGTGCTGGGGTATTAGAAGAAAGAATGTCAGGGCTCGAGGTGACTACAAGAGCTGTACGCTTCGTGAATGGGGATGCAGTGAGCCAGGCAGCCTGGCACCACATCACGTGTGCAATATGCCGATGGATGGTCATCTGTCGGCCCCTAGAGGCTGTCCAAAATATGACCCCAGCACTAAAGATCTTAAAACGTCCTTGCAGCACTTCCTGCCTGCAATGTCTGTACTGTACAACATGCACCTGAACAACCTACAGGAAAGACTAGGCTATCATTTCCTGTCCGCATGCGTGAGTCCTCTGCGCTGTAGACATTAGACTTTGAAGCCTGGCAGCAGACGGAGGCCATTGCTCTCAGAATTGTATGTTTGGCATTTGGCATCCCCTCTGGTCTGCTACCTCAGGCCGTCTCAGCTATAGGGAGCAAAAGCGAATTCTGATTTCCGGAATCACAGATGGGCCACACCTGACAAGGCCACCTTCGAATCTGTACGAACTGCCTCCACATTGTTTTCGAGGTCGGCCATCGTCCCGGCAGTTGATGCCAGACTTTGTGTGCCCCGGATCTCTGCGCAAGCGCGTTCCGTGCCATCCTCAGGCACGTCCGCATCGCTGCGCATCGACCCACGGATTTGGAAGGCCCCTGTCTTGCCGTCGCAAGTGCAGAAGCCTGCTGCAACTTGCACCAGGGCACCTTGGAAGAAGATCCATCCACGTACCTGAGGCAAACAACCACATTGCCGCATTGCGAATCCCTGAAGGCCCTAAAGGCCCTGAACCCTAAGCCCCAGTCTGCGGCCCGTTGCTCAAATGTACGGGATGGTCCGGCCTCTGTCTCTGAAGTCCTCTTTCCTTCTTCTCTCCACCGCACGTCGCCCTGCTGCGGTGTCTCGAGCCGCAATTTGCCTTGCAGGGCATTCAAGGGCTAGCTGGCATGTCGAATTGCCCTCTCAACTACAACGCTACAAGGGTCCAATCTTACTTTGGGTCGCGCGCACAGCGCCACATGCCATAAACATATGAATCTCCGCTTGCCATCCGATGTCCCCACTCGTTCTGCTGGGGGGCCGCTGACGCGCACTTCTGCAAAGCCACGCCGCTGGGGCAGCAGCCCATGGCCTGCAGGACTTCATTACAGGTGACTGAATTTAGGCTGAGTACTGCTTGAAGATAAGGCTGCTCACATAAGGGACGACCAGGGCTTGAGGAGCAAATCTAGCTCCGCGCGCACATTTCCGAACAGAACGAGCTTGTGCCTTCGATGGAGCCATCCTTTTCCACCTTCAGCACGTACCTGACCCGAGATTGATGGCCTAGAAACAGATGCAGAAATTTATGACAAACAGTTGTGCTTCATTCCACCGTGCCAATACAGCTGTTCTGGCCGAAGCCTGTAGGGGCCAAAGGTGTGCTGTGGCTCTACCGCGAAGGCGTCCTCCTTGGCTTTTCAACTCTGGGTCTCGACATGTCTCAATGATTCGAAGTACGGATACAGATGCAATGTATCGGTTATCTGCACTTGGATATCGGACTGTGGCCGTGGGCCACAAACAGGGACAAGAAAAGCTGGCAGCCTGGTCCGCTCCTCGTAAACTCTCACAGCTCTCTCACTGCCAGGCATGCAGCTGAGGATGCAATGGTACCTGTGAGCTCCATGGTGAGAGGGGCACAGTCGCAACCGCCCTCTTGAAAGTTGGACCGTGCAGCACCTGAAGGTCTCGGCAAAAACCGACTCAAGGGGCAGTTCAAAGGCGTACAGATGCCCCTGGCTACAACCGTCGAGGCTGCGGTCCCAGGTGCGCATTTCTTCAAACGAAGCATTCCTCGGTGCGCAGCAGAGATGAGCGCTGCGGCGCTGCATATGACAGGTAGGCATGAAGGCCAGCAGACTTAACCACGCACTCAGCCACACAAGTGTTCAACAGCAACTCAGGTGCAAACTTGGCAACTACTTTCGAAATCCCCTAAGTACTCACGCGGCTTACAACCGTCGACCTGCAGCGTGGTCTCCGCTTGGGGCGCGTGCAGCGCAGCAGCCACAATACAGTCACAGCAGCCAGCATGACCAAGAAAGTCAGTGCCAGCAAGAGGGGCACGACGTGACCTCTCTGCCATCAACTGGGAGTAAGGATTGCAACAACGTCACCATCAAGAGTGCGGGGAAGTCATGGCCTGTATCGTGGTCATCAGTGGCCACGACAGCTGGCACCATGGCACAGGCACAGCTTGTTCGATTGTTTTGGCTTCTCTGTGGTTAATTACTAGTTACGAGTTACTTTGAGTGCTTTCATGACCTGGAGCCGTCTTGGGCTTGTCACCTTTCTTTTGTGTTCGCATAGTTCCCATCGAGCCCGCCTCGTGTCGCTTGCCGACTCATCCCCGCTGTGGCAACAGGATCCCCACTAGCAACGGCTGCGGAAGGTCATGAGTTCTCAGAGCTTAGCGCAGCGTTGCAAGCTCCATTGTCCTCAAGTCCCCCAGCCTGCTTGGAGAGGGATGGCAGAGAGTCCACTATCGTGTTGCAAGTTGCAAAGAGCACGAACAAGACCGAGACAAACCTTGCACAGCCGGCAGAGAAGAACCCGCCAGCATAAAAACTCTGCCGAAGCCTCCGAGCGTGCGGCGCACGTATGAGTTCATGGCCGACAGCTTTCGGACTACCGGCTGAGTTTCTACAACCTTTTTACATTGAAAGATGAAAACAAGGGCACACTGGGGCTCTGCTCAAGCAAAGCCCAGGCACCGGAGCAAGCCATGCATGCCAGACGGCCTCAGCTTGGGGAAAGGTTGGTCAAGTCGAGAGCTGATCGCTGAGTCTAAAGGGCGTGACTACGTCTGACTGCGTGACTACTTTTGCGCATTCTCCAAGGGGCGGATGCGGTCGTGCTGCTGGTGGGAGGAGGTGCTCATAGAGCATGTTGAAGCCGCTGCTGTCCTGTCTCCAGATGCGGCTCGGTTGCAAGTCGTAACATTCCAGGCTTCTTTGTTGCCAGCTGCCCAGGCCTTGTAGGCCAGCTGCCAGCGGTGCTCTGCCATTTCGCTCATTGTCAAAGCCCCGCCTTCCGCAGTGCTTGCTGCCTGCAGAAAAGCAAAGAGACACGCCTCGGAAGCTGGCAATACTGAGAGCATCTGAGAGCTGTAGAACAGGGCTGCGCAATGGTGCGCGCAGGCATGGGGCCTCTCCAGCCTTAACCTTGGCGATGAAGCCATCGCTGAAGACAACAACCGGGATCATGCAAATCCTAGGTTCCCAGGTCCACTCACACCATGCCCCCCGTGTTCCTATGACGGTCTCTTCTTATATTCCCCCCCCTGTATCTACTCCAGTTTTTGCAAGCATGATACTATGTGTTCATGACTTTCCACATGTTATCCTCTCGTTTGCGCTGGGTTCTCTTCTGCATTGTGGCGCCACAACTTCCGTACGAGCCTCCCCAGATCGGGATCATCACACAGCCCCAGTCATGACTTGCAGTCCTCATAAAGATCCTGAGCCCAACCTGGAAAACAGGATCCGAGTTCCGCACCCGATGCTGACAAAGTTGATGAGAGTGCCGATCGCTTTGCCCACCCAGGTGTAGTCGCACCAGGGCCACTCCTTACACCAGGGCAACTCCTTACCTTCCACCCTTGCGCCTGCTTTTCCGTGGCACTTCTAGCCGAGGCTCCCCGTGAAGGTTGATGATCTCCGTCCACAGGGCCCGGGGCACTGAAGCATAGACTTCCTGCGTGCAGCGTGGTAAAGTGAGAAGGGGCTCGGTGGAAACAGCCCTTCAGATCAAAACCCGCGCAAGCCCTGGAGGAAAACTCCAGTCCAAATCGCGCACACAAAGCTCGGCCTGCCTGGAGTTCCTCGTCGGGGTTGTCCTTTTCTGTGAAATGCCTGGGGTCAAGGCAAAAGATGACGCAAGCCCGTACTGAAAGAAGCTTTGGCCTTCAGCTTGTTGTTCACGCCTACTCCCTGCACCGGGTCCCTTCTACCACGTTTGCGAGCCAGCTTAACTCCACGTGTGCTTCAAGTCCGGTGCAACTCGGAGATTCAGCCGTTGGTTAGAGGGCACCATCACAGGTGGTTGCGCTTGTTGCAACCACCTCGGTGTCCGCATGCATCGGACGCCATGAAACACTCAAGCCTAAGGCTGCGGGGAAACTCCCGGTGGAGTCCAGTTCTTGAAATATCGCTGGCTTCCTTTGATGCCCATGTAATCTTTCCACTTCTGGCGCATGGCTTCGTTCACATCATCCCAATAATCCTTCATGGCATCCTTGAGATAATCAGGGGCATAGTAGATCGGGTTCTCGATCAAATTGTCATAGTCCCAGCTGTGCTCTGGCTCAGGTTGCCCCTGCTGCATGGTGGTGTCTGGGTCAAAGGTGCCATTCTTCATCGCCTGGATGCGCCGAGCCTTGTTCTTGCGTAAGCGATACTTGCCGAAGCTGTGGGCATGGAGCTTCCCGCGGAAGGTCTTCTTGTCGTGTTTGGACTGCATGCTGAGGCGACGGAGCTCACGAGGCCCAGCGCACGCAGCACCCGCCAGGGCAAACGCTGCTGCCCACGAAGCGGTGTGGGGCGAACGCGGGGGCATGTCTGTTGTGGAAGAAAGCTTCGGAGCATCAGGAATCCAGACTTCAGAGGCTGGCCTTCGTGGACCAGGACTTGCGCTTAGGAAGCCGGTCCGAAGGCGAGTGGCGAGGCTGATGCCAAACACCAAAGCCATTGCCGTCCTGGCCCTGACATTGCCCATGCCCTCAGCCCTTGGGATAAAAACCCTTGGAAGATGGGACTGCCCTTCACACCTACTGCATCCTACTGCATCCTTGTCAAGCGCCTCGAGCCGACAACGAGCTCGCGGGCCTTCTCCAGGCAGGGCACGCGCAAGTGCGTCTTCACGTGTCTTGACGTGTCCTAACTGTCCTGGTCCTAGTCTTGGTGGATCCTGAATACTCAAGAGGACCACCGTTCGACTTTGATAGCAGAGGCGGGTGCGAAGGGCTCATACAACGACAACCCCACGCATCACAGCATCAGTCCGAGGCGCAAGATGCTCGATACGAAAAGCCACAGCAAGAAGGTCGTCAGACCCTCAGAGTAAGCAGTGTGGGATCTGATTCTCTCCCGTCCCTGCCGGCTTGAAGCAACTGAGAGATTGCAAGGGAGATGGGGGGCATTCAACCCATCAACAGCGAGGCAGCATGAGCTTGCAGAGACCGCGCTACAGCAACTTTATGCAGCAAGGTGCCGTGGCTTTCAAAATTGCTCCGTTCTCTGACAGGATAGCGAACATGGATGCAAAGGCACCCACATATCCTGGCAAGGAAGACTCAAGACAGAAGGCGGCTACAGAACAGAGGGACCCGTGGCACTGGCAGACCCTTCACCGTCTGTGCATCCAAGGCTCGCTCAGCTTTGAGCACGCGAAGCACGCACAAGCCCTGAACCCAAGCGATCTCTTTGCCTGGGACAAAAGAGATGGTTGCAAGCGTCATTGCCATTAGTAACGTTTCACTTCCAATGTTGTCCTGTGCTGATAAACATCGTTACCTTGTGGTGAGAAAAAAAACATCTTGCGCAATGAGCTTTGGCAGGCTGGAGCTTCGGGCTCGAGGTTCGCTGAGCCATTTTTAGGGTTCATGGAGTTCATGGGATGCCCTGACGGCTGTTGGGGGAGCGAGGCCTCCGATGTGGAACCCTGCTTGAAATTCTAGGAAGTCCAAGGTGTTGGGCCCGGGCAACCTCGCCCTGAACCTGTTCTGTGGATGCTGTGGACTTGACGTGAAGTGGCGGATCCCGACCCAGTCGAAACTCCCAAGGCGCCGACGCGAGCCGAACCATATGCCGGCGCTGCAGAAGCCCGGAAGAAAAGCAAGCACCTTGCTGTGGGAGCCCACGATTCGTGAGGGGGTTGACAAATTCTTCAGCCTGCGATGAAGCCGCGAACAAAGCTTGAATGATGGCACGCGTAGACGTAGCAAAGCAGAACTTTAGTCGTCGTAAGAGAAGTAGTCGTAGTAGTCGGAAGAGCAGAAATGTGACGACAGCAGAAGTACTACAAGTAGTGGCCGCAGCAGTAGCCTCGGGACTTCCTGGTTCCAGGCGAGGCGCATCAATCATCAACAGGGTCACTCCGCTGATGTAGGTCAATCCGCCGGTGAAACTGGGAGACAGCTCGGTGGGTAGACGGAGCTCGCGGTGTGTAAACTGTCGTATACTCTACTGGCTTAATCTGGCTTACAAAGGGCATCTACCGCCTGCACTGCAGATACCACCAGGGCATCCGCTCCGCAGGGTCCATACGAGGGAATCAAGCTTGAACGGCACACCGACGCACCCTCGCAACTTCAATCAGTTCGCGAGGCACGTCGAGGTTGACCAGGGTACCAGGGCAACAGTGTGAACGAGGACAAAGAAGACACAATCAAAGTGGTGCAAAAGCGTATGACTCTTTAGGGGTTTGGGGTTCAGGGCCGCTTCGCCCCAAGCATACCTGGCGTCTTTCCTCCGGGCGGTGCTACACATCCGTGGAGGGGACAAAGCTATGTGACAATGGGCAGTCCATCAGCTGCCAAAGCTTGCTCTTATTCTTGCGGACACACCACCTTCGCAGCTTCTTACTGCGGGCACCATGCGTCAACGCGCTGACCAACGGTGTACTCCTTCGAGTCGGAAAAGGGCTGTCGCACAGCACATACATACACATACAGAATATGCACATACACATCAATACATGAACAAGATATTCAGGCAGCATAAAGCCTAGCGTAGCAAGACTTGATTGACAACGTACAAGGGGCCATGACAAGGAAGCACATACACACACATTTCCTCAAAATTCATGCACATCCCGCTGGGGGATGTAGCTCATTCGGCTTTGAGCTTCTCCAAGAGGCCAGCGATCTTTGCCCAAGACGACCCATCCTGCAACGCGCCGGCTGAGCTGCAAGGCACATCCTCCATGTGGCACGTGAAGCCATCCGCGACCAGATCCTCCCACAGACTTGTTTGCTGCTCGTCGAAGTTCATGCACGAGTCGGCGTTGGAGGATGTGAGCGGCTTTCTCAACTCGTAGACCTTGTTGGCCCGCACTTGGGTGTACGGATCCTCCCCGTCTTTCACCTTGACCAGCTTGAACTCCTTCACCAAATTGGGAATGAGCTCGCGCTGCAGCGCCGCATCGCTCCTTTGGAACACGTCGATGGTGCTCTTTTTGAATGACTCGCTTGGGCCTTCCATCGATGTCTGACAGTTCAACTTCGTGTTGTACTCGTCAAACCAACTTTGGACGTGGTCCAACGTGTAAGGATACGGCACGTTCTTGTCCGCACAGCCCTTGCAGTTCTCCTGGAACATGTTCTGGTACCTGTCCCAGTCGGCTTTGCAGTACTCGTAGAACTTGTGCACCGGGTGCATCGTGTGGAGTAGAGAGTACTTGTAGGACGCCTCGTCGCCGAAAGCGCGGCCCGCATTTGGGAAATAGCTTGCAAACACGCCGCCAGCCCACATCTCGTACTGCACGTTGGTCATGTACACGGGCTGGTCCGGCTGTGTGTCGCTCTTCTTGTGCACAGGCAGCAACTTCATCATGCCTTGCGCGACCGCCTCCCTGAACTCCCAAGGGTGATTGTGCATGTAGTACCACTGCTTCACAAAGCCGCAAGCGTTAGGGCCAGCAGAGAATGTCGTGAAGCGCTTGGCATCCATGCCTGTAGCGTCGGCGGTCATGACCCGTCGGAAGTCGCCGTTGATCATGTTCCCCACCTTGTGGGTCATGGCATGGAGCTTGTCGACCCGGGGGTCGCCGATGAGCCCCAGAGCCTTGCAAATATGGTCCATGTTCTCCAGCTTCTCCCCGCTGGATAGATGCAAGGTCTTTGCGCTGCATTTTGCCAGGGTGTCCACACGGTACTCTAGAAGGCCATAGGCGTGCGCTAGGAAGGTGACATCGCCAATGCCGAAGCGACTGCTTTGCTTGATCTGGCAGTCCGCCTCACCGCTGCCCAGCACGGCGTAGAACTTGAAGGGGTCCTCGATGCCCGCGCATTCGTACATGGGCTTGAACTGGTTCAGCAGCTGCCAGGATGGTGTTGGGTCTGGGCCCTGGTGGCAGAACCAACACGGCAGGCGTGGGCAAAGAAGGCTCTTCCGCCGAGTGATGATGTAAACCTTGGCAGCGGCATTCTCCAAGCAGCTCCGGACGTTCTCCACAGCGAAGGCGCCATTGCCCAAGATCGCAGCTCGTGCGTCCTTCATGCGGCCATCGTCCCACACGAACATTCCACCATGACCATTGCCCATGCCGTAGCCGATCTGTCCACCACCCGCGATGAACTCGTCCTCACCGGGATAGTCGATGATGCGGCTGATGTCATACGCACCGGGGAAGTGGTAGACAAGCGAGACCTTGACGTTGGAGGTGGCTGCGCGCATGGCGCCGGTGGTGCCGTAGCCGCCATACCCTCCACCTGCGAGCTCCATGCTGGCCTTGTCCAGCTTCGTCAAGCCCAGCTCGTAGTAGCGGTCTTCGGCTTCGGGATCTCCGACAATCTTCAAGGTGGAGACCTCCGTCTCAAAGTTGCAGTGCTTTGTGAAGCCGTACTCCTCAATGCAGTACCGCATGGCGTCCAGCAGCTGTGCCCTGACTGGGTGGTAGTCCACGCCAGTGCCTGCACCCGAGCCGCCCTTAGGTGCACCAGGGCCGTCGAACGAGGCACTGAACTTGGCACGGCCTCCGGACTTGGGATTAGAACCGTAGCCCTTGTCCCCGGTGTAGCAATGCTGCTGACCCCACCACGGGTTGAAGGCCCCGAAGTCCGTCTGGCATCGCGAGTACTTCGTCGCTGAGCAGTGCCATGCATCGCCCCCTGCCCTGGCATGGCGATCGAAAAGCACAATGTTCTCGTTCCTGTGCAGCATGTATTCCATCCCAAGCTTCACGCCATAGAAGCCGCCGCCAATGATACCCACCGGGTGCTCCCAAGAGTGGCGTGGGTGCTGGAAGTCCTTCAGGCCTTCGACCACGATCATAGCTGGAACTGTGCTGTCGGGTGCGATCTCGCGGCCATCCGGGGAGAGGCACTTGAGGTTGGCGCCCCTCGTGTAGCTGAACATCTTGTCCACAGCTGCCAGCATCTCCTTCACGGTGGTCTCAGACTCTGCGGGCAAGTCGATCGTCTCGTCCGAGCCCTTGATCTTCACGGTCACAGCCTTGAACCTGTTCTTCTTCTTGCCGAAGGTGTCGCTTGCTTGGTCGAGCTGCCCTTTCAAGACCATGACGGGGCAGTCGAACTTGTGGTAGAAGGCGTCCAGCGTCTCGTTGGCATAGCTTAGGTCTTTTGCCCACATCTTCTTATCCACCTCCTGGAAGGTTTCGTAGTTGAAGGCCTTGACAACCTTGTCCGGGTTCGACTTCAGCTCTGACTGGCCATGCTCATTCAGCAAGGGGATGTGGGGCGGCGCGCGGTCCACGACCACCACGGCGGAAGGGCCAATCCCATGCTTCACCAGGATTGTCTTCGCAAGCCAAGTGAGCAGCTGACAACCCACCGACTTGCCGATGAAGGCAAAGGGTGCACCCTCGAACTCACCTCCCTCCTTCACCTGGTCCAGCATGGGCGTAAGGTAGTCGAGGGCGTCCTTGGCCAAAGCCTCGAAATTCTCCGCATACGGCTCGCCCTCTCGAGTGCCATGTCCTGGCCACTCATAGATGCCAACTTCCATCCACTTCGGCACGCCAAGGAGCGCGAAGCGGAACTCTTCGGCGAGGTCGCCCGGGCCGTAGAAAACGAAAGCTCTCATCTTGATTTGAGTGCCGAGGGCGTAGATCTGATCGATCTGGGGAAATCCCTTGTTGCGAGGCATGCCCTTCAGCGATCCGGAAAACTTCTTCAATTCCTTCTTCGCTGTCGTGACGCCGCTGAGGCCGGCCAACGCCTCTGTGTCGCCTTCGGCAATCCTCTGTTCGATCGCATCGTCAAGGTCGTCGAAGTCCATGTTTCCGGAGAAAACACAAAGGAGGAGCAAAAACACCTTGAGCCAAAATGGCTACGGAACAAAGGGCATCTGCCACAGCAGGTTTTGCCACATTACGTAGCTCAACTTGCTCCTCCTAGCACAACAACGAGCATGAATATCTTCCCTTACTTCATGCCCGACATCCCTGGCCTAAAAGGGATGCACTACTGGATTCACGGCAACGACTGGAACCTCTTGAACCCTGAAATCCAGTTGGCTTGTGGGAAGTGCCGGCAAGAAACATCCGCGCAGCAAACTCCAGGAAGAACACTACCTTGTGCTTTCTGTTTTTGATGCTTACGACTCTTCTAGTGTCGTCCCGTCGCGTACTTGTAGCTTAGCAAAGTTGAACTGACACCCGCAGCAATGACAGGCTGCCCATGCAACAAGCGCAATTGCTCGGCAATTAATCGGATGCGTTTTCAAGAAAAGGCTGTGTTCAGAGAACTCGCCGCAAGCCTCCCTCCATCATTTGTGCTTCAGGCCATGGTGCGGAGGTGAATGCGTCCACTGACGCCATGACCTGCATACAGTTGTGCATGTTAGGTTAGGCAACTATTGCGAGTCGCGGATTGGGCCCCTCCTCTGCCAAGGGTGCATTCGCACACTACGTGCACGACACATTTCACCGAGTGTCAACATCATACCTATCCGAATCAGGCGGCACAGCGGATAGCTCAGCACAGCGAATAGCCCAATGCCTGTGGGGAGATTTCCGGGATTGGCACGAACAGGAAGACTGTCTTCTCATGCAGGGTGTAGAAGAAATACCTCGGAACCAACGGCAGCGCGCTGCTGCGCATCGAGCCGCAGCCAAATATCTCGGGTCGTGATTCACAGACTCCCACAATGAGGCCACATCATGCCCAGGTGCACAAAAGTGCTGCCGAAGCTGACCACAAAGGTGTACATCAGCCACCTTGGCACTCTTCTGCTCCCAGGCTTGGCTTTCAGATGCCAGGGTCCTACGATTACCGGGCACTGTATGGTCATGTCCCATCATGCTACTCATCCAAAATGTGTCGCGGAATGCGTGTAATTGGGTTACATATTTCATATTATATACATGTATATATACATATAATATCATCATATGATACTACGAGTGTCCTACACATTCCTTAGGCGCTTGTGCCTCTGACTCTGTCTTCGTTTGAAGATGGTGTCAATATACGTAGGCAAGGCTTTGCGCAACAAGGGCGAACACCACCTCAATGAATGCAGAGCCAAATCAGCTCAAGGTGCGCGCGCACTCGCTCCCCTTCGAGAGTCGCCGGAGCATCTGCAGGCACAGGGGCAGAGACCAAGGCGGCCTGCGCTTTGCGAAGGTTCCATGTGATTCAAAAATGCCCGGACGAACTGAATGAATAGCTGCCATAGAGCTGCTTTGTCCATGAAATGTTGACATAATGTTGACACAGCACCAACACACCCTGGCTGGCCCTGTAGCCTGTTCGACAGACGCTGCATCCTCCGCAGGCGCATCCTGAATTGGCACGTGACCAGCCTGTGTCAAGGCGGGTCTGGCAAAGGATTTGGGATGGCTGTGGCGGCTTCAGAGCCAGGTAACTTGCACATTGCAGTGATGTGCAGTGATTGCAGCCAAGCAGGCCCCAGAGAACACGGTACTTCGCCTGTGGTGCCTTCGCCCGCATTTCTTCAAGGCGCTTGACCTGCACGTCAGATTCGGAATCTCACAAGCCAAGGCACGTGCTCTTCAGAGAGCCATGGCAAGTGGCATGCCAAATCTCTCAAACCGAAGTTCGCGCTACGTCCAGCCTGCTTGTCGCAGTGCTTCATCAAGCTCGCGCCCAGGATGCCTGTCGGCACCTGCAACGTTGAACCATTGAATGTCTGTGAGGCTACCCTGCCCTGTCATCTTCTCATGGGCATGTCAGGTGCCGCTGCGGCCGAGGCACACCGAAAACAGGTACCCCGATGATGCAAACCTGATATTGGACGGGAGGGCCAGAGGCTGCGCTTTCGGTGAGTTTTGCGTGTTGTCTGGGTTCTCGAGGGATTTCGAACTTTTTCTAAAGGCAGGCCTCACTCGCTGCTTCTTCGCTGCTTCTTCGCTGCTTCTTCGGCTACTGACAGCTACAGCTCTTGCCAAGGCTCTATTATGATGATGACTCGCTGGAAAATCCTCAGAACACGTCTGGAGGGCGCATACTGCATGCAGCCACGAGCATCATGTCCAGCATGTCCAGCTTGCTGCCGGGCTTCGCTAAACCAAACTGTTCCCCTTCATCCCCGAAAACATCGGCCAAGGGGTGCTCCTCGTCAGCTGTTGACTGGGGGCATAGCAGAATGAAACCCGGATGTCCCAGTCTGGCTTCAGCAGTGGTACTGTAGATCAATCCCCATTCTGGATGAAATCTCCGGGGTGAGTCTTGCATCCTTGCAGAGGTTGAGAAGGGCGAAGAACATCCTGAGAGCGTGGGAAGGGGATGCATATGCACTATATGAGACAAAAAATCTCACACCGATCCGCCAAAAGATCTGCCAAAAAGCCTGCAACACCTACTGGTCTCAACGTTCGGAGGTTCCACTGCTAAGAGGCGGCGATGGCATGATCTGCGCACCTGCCCCTGAATTGACAAAATGAGTAGCAGGAGAAATCCAAGTGCAGCGCCCAGCGGCGAGGACGGGATCGACTCGAAGCGCTGCCACGGCTCGCCCTCATAGGCGGCCGCCTCCCACACCGAAGCCTCATTGGTGCCTGCAGATGCGAGGTGTGAATCTGGCAGGGATGCTCCTGCAAGTAATCGGCCGAGCATCGGTTCGCCACCATGTAAAGGCCTGAAAACCTCAGCAAAAGGCCAAACAAAAGAACCGGGGCTCCAGACTTCGGCTCATTTCAGCTTGCGTGTGCATCTGTTACGTGCAAGGAGTGTGGCATCCCGGCCCCACAAACTTTAGAACCTCAGGGGCAGAGCCTCTGCACTGCCAAGGGGATGAAATTGGGGATGAAATGGGTCCAAGAGGCATTACCCAGACCACGGCCCCAAACATGAAAATGGTTGCAATGAGGGGGCCGTCCTTTGCAACAAAAATCTGCAAAGCAAATGCGCTTGCGGAGAAGAGGTGTCGAAGTGCATCATCGGCACAAACAAAAGAAGGAATCCAAGGAATCTCATTACAAACGCAGGCAACGGCAACATGTTCAACAACTATTCGGCATGAGGCCTCGTCAAAGATGTCGATGAAAGCGCGGATGCCAGCACCTGTAGCGCTGGGCACGCGGACGGCCATCTCAACCAGACGCACGAGGCAGATGGACTGGATGTTGTAGTACCTGGGACCACCCAAAGACGAGAAGCTTGGCGTGGTTTCAAGCGGTAATCTCATGTGGTCTCATGTGCCCTCTCATGCCCACAAGCCAACACAGCTCCAAGCGGCTCATCCTCGTTGAAGAGCATGTCAAGCAGGGAGGGTGTCATGGCAATCATGTCTATCCAGGCGTAGGCATTGAGAAGCAGTGCGACGAAGGGAGCGGCACTGCCTTCGCTGCACCATGCGCATCACAGTTCCCAGTCGCCTTGTCGCCTAGCAGAACACCCACATGACTACCACAATAACCTCCCACATGCCAGGCGGCGATAGGCTTTCCACCATGGGTGAGCCGGGGCCGAAAGTGCACGGCACAGCAAACCTTGGCAACTTATGGCAATTTCGGGCATTGATTCTGTCCTGCTGCGAAGCCAAAGCCGAGCATGACAGCAAAGACCATCACAGTCTGGCCCACCGAGGTGACTAAGAACAGGTGGATACTGAACCTCAACCCAACCCTTCCCTCTCAAGCTTGATCTCTGCTTTGGGGCTGATCGTCAACACAAACACGCCGACTTTCTGCAAATTGTCCTGGGAACAGGTCTTGCTGCGCACAGCTGCTGCAGGACCGAATATGGCAGAGTTTTCTGCTTAACATGCGACACGGCAAGAATGGCCCTCAAAGGCCATCGTTCGCAGGCATCTACAGTAGATCTGGATCACACCAACAAACACTGTCTTTAGGCTTTGGCCTTAACCCTCCCCACATCCTCCTTTGGAGAGACCGCTGAAGGACGCTGCAGATCAAATGACACAAGTGCTGCATTCTGCGGAGAATCCTAACAGACTATCCATATGCATATATATATATAGATGTGTGTGTGTATATGTGTGTTTTCTTTATTTATTCAGGTATGTATTTATTTATACTTATAGACATTTCTCACTACTTGTGGATGCGACTATCTTTATTTAATAATACTTGTGTGTGTGTTTACTACTGCTGCTATATATGTGTTGCATGTAATTCATTTAAACTGATACTTATGGGCCATTTATGTAGTTATGTAATACACACACATAGATACATACATACCTACATACATATGTATATATATATACTAGCCCGGCGCGACCTACAGCAAAGGAGATAGGCACGCGAATGCAAGCATCACAAATCCAAGATCCAAGATCCAAAGCCCAAGCTCCAAGCTATTGAAGGCCAAGAGTCCAGAATCCAAGGTCTAAAGGCCAAAGGTTGGGATCCTCCCCCCTTATACTAGCAGCCCGTAATCGGGATTATAGTACTCCCTACGATAATCCCTACGAAGGACTGTTTGTAGAAGGCGGAACATCCCAAGCCAAAGGCCGGGAATATCAGGAGATTATGAAGGACAGCTACTGGGACAGTCGAGCTAAACGAAATCCCTCAAAATGCAGCGACTGAGTTCCGGTTCCAGCCCATTCTGCGTTTAAACTGTCATTTAGTGGTGCAATCGAATTGCATTAGCTTATTCTGGAATTATACTCAACATGAATATCGCAGTTCAATCTAATAATTAGAATTAGATAGTAAACTCTATTTTTGAAAGAGGTGTACCATTTAACGATGTCGGGAGAATTAGAAGAGAATGAAGGACAGCTACTCGGACAGCTACTAAAACAGCCGATTGAACACAGCGACCGAGTTCCTGCTTCAGCTCATTACGTGCTCAAACCGGCACAGTCTAATACATGCAACTGGTATCCAATCCTTCTGAGGAAGTCAGCTAAGCTTCTTACACTCTTAGCTTATACAACTTTCATAATTTCGAGTCTTATTCGATAAGGTCGAATCAGCAATGAAATACTATTTAAGTTGAGACCATTCATGTTCGAAAAGAAAGAATGGAATTTTAGTCTAAATGCAATAAATAACTAGCAGCTAGCACCTGATTGTAACAGTTAAGGCGGGCGGGCTTGGGAAGTGTGAAGCACTTCTTGAGTACATGTGGGCTCCAGTTCTGTATATTCATTAACTAAGCTAATCACGTAAGCTATTGAACATTGGCCAAGAAAATCGATTTTAAAAAAAAACAGTGCGAACCTGATTCAAGGAGAACACACAGTAGAATTTCCCCTAAACGCAATATCTAACTAGGGGATCGCCATTTGATTGAGCTAGAGGTTCACTTCATATTTGACCCGTTATATTATATATATATACGCATATGTATCTATATGTACCTAAACGTTGCTACAAGTAACCATGTGAACGGTTGAACTGCGCAAAATCGAAACACAAGATCCTGATTCAACTGATGCTATCACTAAACTGATTCAAAACTTGGCCATATTGCTAATTTAGTGAAAATGTTCACTGAACCATCAATGCAATCGACTCCTAATTGGACTTGTGTCCCAAAATTTTATCTTCAAGAAAGGAAAAAGTGAGAACTCTGTGCGAAAGTGGTGAAGAGCACGGTTTTAGGTAGGGGGGAGGGGGGCTTTCCAGATGGACCGGACACTTGCAACACAGCTTACGCGCAGCGACTTCCTTCTGCCAAGCCTCATTTGCCCTTGGGACCCAAGTGCTGAGCTTGCGCTGGAAGCCGAATCCACTTGTCGCCTTCGCACGTTTGCTGTGCAAGGTGCGATCAACTGGGATCCCGTTTAGATGAGCATCTGTTGATTTCTCAACCTGGGATGTGTGCATCTTCAGTTTCTTCTTGCACAGTGTAGCACTGTACCTCGTCTTGGGGGTACTGCTGCAGGAATGCGAACATGGGGGACGTTTCAATCGAAGTAAAGTACAATCCTCGAAGCAATTCTAAGTTGCTGCAGGAACCACACCAAACTTCAGAAAGCGAAGTGCCCCAAAATTACTAGATACACGCGTATATCCTCGCAAGCTTGATGAGCGTTCTTCGTTCTTCCTGGACTGCCTCCGGGTCATGCTGCAGCTCGGTTCCAGCAGCAAAGACCACAAAGTTGGCGAGCCCCATCACGATCACCAATGGATCCTGAGACATCACGCGGGATGTCACAGCATTCAGCGTGCAAAGCAATGGGGCACGAAAGTCGAGGCTCCAGTACATTGACGTCAAACCAGTAGACACTCTGGGCGAAACCTGGCGCTTCCACAATTCCATCGTCGATGTCTTTCGAATTATCTCCTTACATTGTCCGCACATGTAAGCCATGTCGAACTGAGCAACTTTTAGACAGAATGAAGTCGCTAAGGAAGCCCATTCAAGGATCAGGATCTGATTGCGGACTGGGTGCTCAGCTGAGATATTACGCTCATGAATGCCACGAGCACCATGGACAAGGCCAGGAAGAGGATCAACCTGAGCGACAGCTGCCGTTTCAAGTCCCCCAACATGATGCATCAGCATGGGCAGCATGGGCTTCTTTTGCGAATTAGCTGTTGTCCGCTGGCGGTGTGGCTTTGTCTTTCCAGCCCAGGCCCAGTCCGGGTAACCGGCATGTGCAGGGCCAGGGGGCATGGCGGCGAGTCAAACAAACTTGGCTCCCGGTGACTTCCCGATCCAGCCCTGGTTTGTGACAACTCCTGCTGTGCGCAACCTGGCACGTGCCCCCGCCGAATTGCATGCTTCCACGCTTGTCTTGTCTGCCGGGTGCCGGATGAGCTGGCCATTTCTGCATCGACTCCTAGTGAAGGTGTCCCTTATCCCTGCGTGCGCCTGTGTCATGCTGGTCATGCTGCTCGCAAGCTCCGTGCTTCCATTCTTGGTGCGCATCTTCCAATTAAGATCCCAGCCAGCCAATCTCCAAAAGCAGCTTGTCTGTGAAAGTCATGTCCCAAGCCTCTTCTTCCTCCTCGCCTAGGGCAGCTGCGACAAGAACGCTGGAATTCTTCAGTTCTCGAAGAAGCGAAGCTGAGCCCCAGTATCACAAACTGCAACCTACTTGTAGCCGCCTTCCTCGCCGTCCTCCTTGTGTGCCTCTTCTCCTTTCTCTTCTCCTTTGTCTTCGCCGTTCGTCTCTTCGGCATCCTCCATGTCAAGAGGGTGTTGGAGGGAGGACTGTGTGGAGGTGACATCGAACAATAATTCGGCGTTTTGCCTTACAGATGTCAACAGTGCATCTGCTGCAAGTCCCGCTCCTCGCCGTTCTTCTCAGCCACCCTCTCTGTCAGTGACTCTGGGTGGAGCTTCCCCTGTCCGTGCTGATGGTGATGGTGATGGTGATGATGATGACCGTAGCCTGAGCAGACACCCAAGCTTGTGCTGACCACATGCATTCCCCAGCGGCCTTAGATCCTTCGAGCCTTGCACCCTTAGACGCCTTAGACCCCACAATACGAGCAGGTGCCCAACTGGTGCAGCTGAGAAACGGTGCTCATTGCCTGAGTTGAGCGGAACTTGGCTACTGCTTGACGCAACTGCACTGCTACAAGCTTGGAGCATGATGCTGGCTTCCAGCCAGGACAGGAATTCACTTGGCTGTGGCTAACCCAAGGAATAGCATCTCTCTGGCAGACCGAAGGCTTATCTTATTATCGAACCAAGTGGCCGTGAACATGACTGCTCGAGTGATGGTGATGCCGCTTCGGTGCCTGCAGTCTGGTGATGAAGGCAGACATTTGGGGCATGAAGGGCAACATCGTTTCTGGCAAGAGTGGGCAACTAAAATCAATTGAACTTTCCTTTGCGACCAATAGTTGATGCCCCGAAACGCTTTCATCTTTGCAATCCTGCGATGGGTTCAATATTGGTGGATATTGCCCTGATGGTGTCCTCCGGGCTGTTGAAGCTGTCATGGCCCCCCTGGATGTCATCCACTGTCACATCTGAGGGCCTCAAGACAAAGACAAGGAATCCGAGAAGGAAAGCGACACACCAACTGCATGGCGCATGCTTCATCTTGACAGCTCCGTAGAGTCCGATCATGAACCCTGCTCAGATCAGCATCAACACGAAACGTCACAAGTCTGTGAAGGCGCGCGACTCCTTGCCATGGGCGTGGGAAGCCGTCTCGCCGGTGCCTCGCTTGCACTGTCACTTCGTAGTCTCTCTCCTTTTAAACTGTTTGGAGCCAAGGCGGCTGGATCCAAGGCCACCAGATGCCTCTGAGGTTCAATGGGCAAGGCTGGCGGGGGCATGACTTGGCGTAACCGAGCTACACTGCAACGCTGCAATCCGCTTCGGCGACCGCCGGCCACGCGGCCACGCCGCCAAACCCCCAGTAACCATCCAGAACTATGCCTCGGTATCCTTCTAACTTTCTCGACGTGATGAATTGCCTGGACCTACTGGGCCGGCCGGACGAAAAAACAAACTACGTGCACCGCCCTGACTTTCCCCGTGCGCCACATAAAGGCAGAAGAGTCATGGAAGCATGCGCTGCCCGGCCTCGACCTCATCCGCGAGGTCCAGCTCAAGGGAGGAATCCCTTGAAAAGCAGAGACAACAGACAACAGAGTCTCCAGAAAGTGGAGTCTTCACAAAAGGGGACAGCCCTTCTGGCGAAATCACAAGCCGGCAGCACCGAATTGACAGTACCAGGGGGCACAAAGCGAACAAAGCGATGGCGAGCACCTCAGTGGCTCTTGGCACCTTCTGGGGCCCCAAGGGAGAAGGGAGCCAAAACTCCACTTCGCACAAGTTTTGAGATTCTGAGATGAAATATCAAGAACCTAGCTCTGTGGCACCATGCACCCACCAGCCAGAAACAGTTTTCAACTGTTGGTGTCTAGCTTCTTGTCCAGACCAAAGGCATTCCGAGGAACTCTATAGATACGAACATGGAAAGTGGTTGGGAACATCTCGTCAGACAAACGTCATTCTGGTCAGCGACTTGAGCCGGAAGGGGCCGCAGGGGTCAAGCGGGGGCAATCAAGGTAGTACACATCGATTTTTGGCAACTCTGAACACTGCTGACATTGTCACGAGGACATGAGTTTTAGTGTGGGATTGGGAGCTGGCTTCTGCCACTCCATTGACACAGCCGTGCTGCTGCTAGACACTGGGTTCTGCTGGTTTAGTGAAACGGCACAAACCACGCAGGGAACAGCAAAGCAGGCGACCTTCCAAGCTTCAGGTAGCAGGCGGCTCGGCACGTTCGGTAGACCACACAGTCCTCATGGCCAGGAGCCAGGGAGGCGGGCTTAGGTCAATCCATGGCTGTCAGGGCACAGGGCCGCTCTGGAGCAAAAGAACCCATACATGAGAATAGATGCTTGAATGCAAGTACAACGTCCAAACAAAAATATGAGAAAATGGCATGCCTGCACTAGACACTGATATACAACAGCACAGAGAGAAAGAAAGAAACAGAGAGAGAGAGAGGGCGAGAGAGCGTGAGAGAGAGAGAGAGCAGCATATGTTACGCACATGCTCTGGATGTGGGCTCTTCGAAGAGAGGCACCTCCAACGTGACTGCCAACGTGTAGTTCTTCAGGGCCTCATCATACTCTTCGTTCACGTAGTGCACCTGCTCGGCTTTCTTAAGAGTAAACAAAAGATCCGCGGGAAATGTGCCCATGTACTGTAGCTTGCCGACGGTGCAAGAAGGCGGCTCGACTCTTTGCAGAAATACTTCACGTTTGATCCGACACAATCTTGGCGCACATTGGCATTGCCGAAGAGTGCCGCCGGATCCATTGCTGAACGCTCAGCAAGGGGGCCTCCACACCCCGGGGGTGTTCACAAGCTATCGAGCATGTTCGAGCCAATACGTCAGGCAGCGTGCAATAGACCGACACTCCGCTCATGCTCATGGGGTCATCGAGATCAATATTCATCTGCCTACCTGTGGAGATTGTGCATGACTTCAGGATGTGATTTGACTGATTGATGGTTTCAGGAAAGCTCCTCCGCCGATCCGGGCAAAGTCGAACTCGTGCCCACTTGATCCGGGGTACCGCTCTCTTTCAACGCCTGGCATCGGTCGGTCCATATGTACACTCCTGCATGCGTGGCAGAAGGCGAGGGATACCTTGTGCAGCGAAGCAAGACAATCAAAGTAAGGTAGGACTCCGCTCATAACCCATGGACATGGACAAAACACACTCACTTCATCAACACTCACAGGTAACCCCTTTCGCATATAAATCAAGTGCCCCCTGTCCTTCACAGAAAAAACAAGCCCGACATAGTCAAAGGGGAAGTGGCCCACGCAACCTTTGATTCTTTAGATTGTTTCCACTGGAGGGGACATGTAAGGAGATGCTTGCTTTTGCCGAGCCTTCAGCAAAAAAAATAAAACTTAACATCTCTAAAGCCTACGAATGGGGCTGAGGCTTGTTGATATCTCAACGCAACGATTCGATCGCTACAGCGCTTCGGCGGCTGCAGCGCGGCTACGCAGCAAGCATCTCCACAGCAGGTGAACTGTACAGCTACTGCGAATGGGAACCCATTGGGACATATTGGGACCCATTCTGCGCGTCCAAGGGCCGACGTCTCAGGCCATGTCCAGGGCTGCAGTCCGTGATGGCCCTTGGGGGGTGCTACTTGCACTCCACTTCCGACGCTTCCGACGCTTCCGACGCTTCCGTTTCTGCCAGTTCCACCGCAAGCGCGCCTCGGCTGCTCTTCCGCGGTGGCCGCAGTGCGCCTGCGGCGAAGTCCCGGGAGTCACCTGCCATGACATCGCCGGTGCGTCGCAGGCGTAACGACGTTGACATCCAAACCGCCCAAAACCCTGTTGGTTTGGGCATGCACCTGCGAGGTGGTCCAGGTAGCGAGGCCGAACACCGCGAAAGGTCTGGATCTTCCTGTTACGGGATCGTGTCATCTTGAGCCTACGGCATTTTACTGTGCTGCGGCAGATGGCTGCCAGGGCCCTATCATATGGAACTGCAATGAAGGATTGGGCGCGCTAGCCACTAGTGCACATCGGCAAGAAAGCCAGATGCGTGGATTTCGCATATTTAGCACAAGGGCCCTCCAGCCGTGGTTTCTGCCGGCGGTGCCTAAGCGGCGAAGCCACAAGCAAAACTGCCCATTTGCTGCAGACACCAAACTGTGCTGCCAGGCTGCTTCCTTGGGAATGGCCGAGGCCAGATTCCTTTTAACAGCGTTACATGGTACGAGCGTTGTGCCTACTGGTAGTGGAGCTTCACATACACACACAGCAAGCTGAGCAAAGCAAGGCTGCGTGTTTCTAGGACTCTGCGAACCTCTGCACGAGCTCAAACCCCGGCAACAACACATGCTCAGAAGCAGAGGAATCCCCTTACTTTTACCACGGCCATGGCTCGAAGATTTTGCACGACGGCCTGAAGTAGTGGTCACCTCGCGGTGGCTCTTTGAGCAAATTGGCCCAGGATGATCTAGAAGTGCCATTTTCTGGCATGTGAGAGACACAGGCGTACCGAGAACTTGGAACACAGGCTTTGTGACCCACAATGACCCACAGATTGCCTCGCGTGGTGAGCGCGACATAGCTGCACCAGGAGATGGATGGCGTGCATTTTGCCTCAGGGCGTCCCCCCGCATCTGTCGATCTGCCGAAGACTCCGAAGACGGTGGCTGGTGGTTCAATCGTGATTCGGTCAAGGCTTCGACAACACAGCGCTGGCGCCCAAGGACAGCCTCAGAAAGCTGTTGGCACGGGGAGCTTGCGGGCTTCGTTCACAGAATGCGTGGTCCCGAAGCTCAGAACAAAGCCCGAGGCATGACGCTCAAACTGTTTCGAGTACATAAGCCGGAAGCGAACAGCCAGGAATAGCACCCATAAGAACTGGGAAAACCACAAGCTGCTCAACCAGCCCAAGCCGCTGCAAGTCGAACCACATTCCGACCACAGCGGACTGTTGGAGTCACAGGTTGAAAGACGTTGCTAAACAATACTGTAAAGTTCACTGTAAAGGCCATGTTGCTTTGTGCCCACCTTCGCATACCTTCACATCACGACTACCGATCTACCTCGAAGCAGCCCACAACCAGTACTACTTGCCGAATGTTGAAGCAAGTTTCGAGCGGGCCGTCGCACGAAAGCTTCTCATTGATGTTGCCCTGGCTCTGCTGGACTGCGCTTGCGCATGACAGAACCCCATATTACTAGAGCTCTGGTTCAGTCCCAGCGCCTGCCATTCCCAGCTTGCTTGGCATGACCCTGAACCTACCGCACACAGTATGCGAGCCTGCCGCCATCATGGCAACGTGGCTCATCACCACGTTGGTTCTGCAAAAGAAATACCGAGGCATGCAAACCATGCAGACCATGCAAACCATGCAAATCTCATCCCAACCCTCGCCGGGTTGAGGCTCGCCTGGCGCCGCGGCCGCGGCGGGCGGCGAGGAAGGGGCCGAAGCGCCTCCTCTCGGACGACTCGGGATAAGGTGGAGCCCAGGCCCACACGCAGAAGGGCCAACAGCATCTACTGTAGCACCATCGCAACACGTGCAAGTGAGTGATAGAAGTTGCCATAAGTTGCCTCAGACTGCGATCCGCTGAGCACGGCCTGACAGCACGACGGTAACTGAAGCCCATCTTGCCTACCCGTGCCGGTGCCCGTGCCTACATGCAGCCGCTGGGCTGTGGTGACAGTGACTGATAATGTTCTACTCATGGGAAGCAAGCGCACGCCTTGGGGCTGGAAACGGTAGAGCTGGCAGTTTCTAAGCACTCGCTGTCCGTGCGCACCGTTTTCCTTGAAGCGCACAGGGACTGCAATGCTAGGTGTCTACAGCTTCACACGAGATACTGGTTTCTCGCACGCCACCTCATGTTCAGACGGAGTCCCTACACTAGTCAGGCCAACCGCGACGCTGATTTGTTCCGAGCTCTACCTCTGCTTCACGATGCCCAACACCATGTCCAAACCTCAAATCTTCTCAAATCTTCTAAAGTTGCACTGCTGGCGTCGGGCTCAGGGAGAACGGTGAAGTTGGGGAGGCAGACGGCCTGGGGTAGCCTGCACGTGTGCTGCCAGACCGCAACAACTGCCTGATCACAATCACGAACTCAGCGACATCTCGACATCACGACACAACGCAACTCTCCTGACCCTCTCCTGACTCCTAGTCATACCTGCCAGTGCCAGAGTTCATGTCACTCCGGCCTTTCTGCGGCAGGGAGCCTTGCTCGTTTGAAGCCAGAAGGGCCTACAGCGAGGAGAACTCTGCGTGACATGCTTCGACAGACTGTGCAAGATCAACATGGTCCTGGGTTCGAGAATATGAGCTGATTTGTTTTTGTGGATGCTTTGCCTGGAGAGCTTTTGTCGCGGCTACATCCACAGTGTCACCATCGGGCTCGGGGGAGACGACACCTCAGTGACTTGGGCGCTCCGGGATTCTTCAGCATCTTCGGCAGAATCTCCGGTCTTAACGAAGGAAGTGCTGGGCCTTTGGCGCTTTCGCCAGTCATCCTCCGCTCCCGCAAGGTGCACCTGGGGGTTCCGGGCTTGTCAGGACGGAGCAAAGACCGCTGCTGCGTAGCAGTGTTCCAGCCTTGTGCTGGAGAGAGCTCTTTCTCCTGCGTGAGGTCTTCTCTGCAGTCGACCTCGTTCAGATTCACGATCTTAGTTTCTTCCATGGTCGCTCGGCACACACACTGCTGTTACTGGTCTTGGCGCGGGTCAAGAGCTTCCAGATCTCGTCACTCGTCCACGCGTCCTCATGCTTGCGAACACGTAGCAGCGTCGCAGTAGCTGTATGATACTCCAGTCCTCATGGTGAATATGACTTGCTGCCCATCACAAGCGGGCTTGAGATGTTGCATGCCCTAAGCTTGTGATCCGACATGACCCAAGTGTAGATGTGGTGCATTGCCCGATGCTTCTGCCTCCTGGCATTTCTTAAGCCCGATGTCCTGGGCTGCTTCCAAAGCTTGCAGCAGATATTTTGACACCTTGGCACAGTGGAGCTCAACCAGTATCCTCAGAACCCAGAGTCCCGATGAGCACCTAGGACCCTGCAGAGTCCCTACAGAGTGCTAGAGGCAGGCCTAGGAGGGCCTTGCGGCCTAGAGGGAGACAAGCAGACTTTTCCACAGGCGCTCCTGTACAGTGCCTTCTGCAACGGCTCTTGCAGCAAAGACGGACGCAAGGCGCCCAAAGCACTCTGTTCCATGATGCATGTCATTGTGAGTGCCCCTTTCGAAGCTTCCTAGAAAAGAGCCCCGAAGGACTTGGAGTCAGGTGCATCCAAGAATTCAGGGCGCGAGCTCTCCCGACCAAGCCGGACCTCATACTCTGCAAGCACCCGTACGTACTTCGGCCGGATACAGGGCCTTTGAGCTCTGACAAGCTGAAGCGCGGCATCTAATGACATCTCCTCAATGGCCATGAGAAGTGCCACGACTACTACTACAGAGCGGTTGCATCCCAGCGCACAAAAGACGTATAAGGGACGGTCATCCTGCCTCCTCGCGTCGCGAGCGAAGAGGACCGCGGAGTCTAGTGCTTCAGGCCAATCTTGCTCACTGCCCTTATCGTCCAAGTTCAAGACCAAGCGCCTCTCAACCGGAAAGAGCTCACGCAGCACGGGGGTGATGTTGCGCTCGACAGCTGCACAAATCATCCCGCCAGCCTCATGCAAATCAAGCGATGGTTGGCGGAGGGCACCACCCAACCAAATCCAGGAGTTCACGCGGCTGATGATCTCTGTTTGGGACTGCTTGTACTCCTCCTTGGCAGCCCGGCATTCGTCCACGAACGCTCGCAACCTTGGGTCGACGATCTCCGGTGGATCCTTGGCCGCTCGAATGCAGGTCTTGCAGCGGGCACGGTCGCCTTTTCGCCACTGTGACCCAGAGAAGCACTCCCTTGGTAGGCTTTCGGCACAAGACGCGCACTCCAGCTCTGCCGGCTCTGCCAAGCTTTCAGGGGCAAGAACCCCTTCGGCCTGCACATGGCTCTCCCCCATTGCCCACTCAGCCGGGACAGCCTGCGGCCCTGCGCATTTGGGCCAATGAAGCCCTGCAGCACGGAGCCGCATGAATCCTTGCGTGGGCCCTGACTCCTGGGACACTGGCAGTCTCATCAACACGACAACGGTGAAGCATCTCCTTGCCGAGTCGGCAAACTGGATAGCAGCTGAGCATTTCTGACTTCAAAGTCGTCTTGCAATCTGCAAGAGAAGGCTACACTGAACTGTCCTCGAACTCGCCCTTGCTCACCTTGCCACCAGCCTGCCAGATGGGAGCATCACATCTTAGCACACAGTAGATTGTCCCACGATCGCTGACAATTCCTGCTGACGGGTAGGGATGACATCAGGGTCAGGCATTCTCTTGGGTGAGAAGCATGCGTCTGCAGCATGCCTCTGCGCATGAAAGGAAGATGTGTTGCAGCGTGGTCGTACGGCGCAGGTAATTCTAGTTCGGGTCGAGTGTGCTGCTATGTGGTTCTGGCGTTTGGGGTGTGATTTGTTTGTCGGGCCTTCACTTCAATAGTCAGCGAACTCCCTGTGACATTTCTGTCATACCCACCCATCTTTGGATGAGTTTCTTGTCTTTCTTCTCTGGTTGTCTTGCGTCATTTCCTAACAGCCTTTGGGCTTTTTCATTGCAAACGAAGCTCACGAATATAAAAAACCTCAGCCTTGAATGTGATGCGTAACAAGATGAAAACTAGAGCGGACCTCGGTAATCAGCTTCTCCAGCCGGCGCCAGACGGGTCCCATCCTGATGTCAGGGACTCAACCCACTGAGTGGCACGCACTGAGACCGGCTCTGCCGAGTGAGCGAGCGCTGAAACACCAAGCTCTGTGCAGGGCGCCGCGAACCAGGACATTCTTGATCCCACCGGCCATGGCGTCACCCGCATGTTCACGATCCATCCTCAGCAGTGCTTCGGAAGCAGAGAGGCCTCTAGGAGATGCCCACAAGAACCTCCCCAAAAGAGAACCTCCAAAGGCTTGCAACAAAGAAAGCTGCATTAATATTTTAAAGCCCCAGTAGGGGTAAAGGGATCCCAGACTCAAAAACCCCCTCCTCCTCCTCCTCCTCTTCTCTCCCCTCTTCTTTAAACGAGCCCGGGCGGCTTCCTCAGCACCTGGAGCGGCTCCGCCCCGGCGCCCACGAGGACGCGCACCGTGCCCAGGGTCCTCAGAGAAGACAACAACAGCACATCAGAAAGAGAGGGGCTTTTAATAAACCCTCTCATTATACAAATCTACTATAGCCCTCTTATATAAATCTACTAAAACCCTCTTATTATACAAATCTACTCTCGGAGCTTAAGGCTTAAGGTAGCCTCTGCGATTCTGTGCACCCGAGTGGCTGTGCACGGCGTGTGGACGCCGCCACGGCCAAAGGCGAAAGGCCGCGGTCGTCTGCAACCTGGCGCAAATCAGGGCAAATCACACGGCCACAGCTTGGCTCACAACAGCTCGGAGCGGCTCACACCTTTGTTGTTTTTTTTTTGTTTCTGTGTGGCTGTGAACGTCCTAGAACTTGGCACAATAATTCAACACAGCGGCGTCACAGTGTGTATTGAAGGGTCGATGTCATCAGCTGCTACGACGTTGCCCTCTCATGCGGCTGACATGTACTTCCCAGTAAATGGATCGAACGGCGAAAGCTTTGCTGGGTTTGACATCGGAAAACTCCGTCAACCATCTTCACGATTAACACCCCCCCTTTGCTTACGACCCAAATGAGATATTAGACTCTGGGCGACCTGACATAATGAAAATCGTTCATGAAACAAACTGTTTAGCCTAAACCCCGGCCAGAAAATCTCCTAGTCCTGCACCACATCATAAAATGTCCGCGACATTAGCTCTCTTCCCCAGCAACTAACCCTCGAACTCCAGATTCACTGCAATGGTCGGAACGGCTCCTTTACTTTTCTTTTCGCCATACGCTGTTGCTCCACGTCCCCAGACAAACTTCCTGTTCATTTCTGCTCGCATGTCGCCTGTTGCACAGACTCCTCCGGCGGACATGCTTTGTCAACGTCACTTGCTTGCGGGTGGATGCCCGTAGCTGTGATCAATTCAGTTACCAACACAGTCCCAGCAAGCACAAAAAGCAGGGAGCTTGTACTGCCCTGGGAAACACTGAGGCCCGCCATGGAAACCAGCGAGCTCAGCATGTACTGGGAAGACAGGTCGACACTGGTGGCTGTGCCAGCCAGCTCACGAAGATCCCTTGAAAACTCGGCATGGTATGCGATGATGGGAGGGAAGACTACGAACTGCAGGAACGAGATGCTGGACAGGTACCATATGATGCTGTCTGAGTGTATGCCGGCCAGAACCAGCACCAATGCAGCAAACAGCAGCAGCGGCATAAACATTCGAAGCACGGACGCAGGCTCTACATGCAGCCTGCTTGCCACCACCGAGCCCAGCGCTACGGCCACAGCGAATGCGGCCGTATATACTGATGTCTGCTTCACTGTCTGGCCGAAGCGATCTTGGAGAATAAAGGCATTGGTGGAAATGACCAGGTCGAACAAGCTCTTGGTCGTCCCAACACACGCGAGAATTGAAAGCCGCCTGTGGCTGCTGAGTATGTGATAGATGTCCCCAGCCTCAGTATGTCATGACAAAGGCCTGGCGGCCGGGCGCCTAGACTGCACGTTAGGGAGGCGACCCCGTTCAGAGGCTGGCGTTTATGAAGCGAACTGAAGCGACGGACTTGCCAATTGGGGGCAGGATTTTGGGCGTTCTTCTTTGCAGGTCTGTGCAGAATCCGTGTCTTTGAAGAGCGCTGCGCAAAGAAATCTATGGCCTGAATGGGCCTAGAGGGGTCAAGCCTCAGAAGGTCTTGAGGCCACCCGAAACGGAAGCACCACCCCACGTGGCTGTTGAATAGTATTGAATTGAACTATGTGAACTGCTATGAGAGCAACAAGGATAGCTGAGGCTGCGGCTAGGTTGTTGCATTGCGGACGTGCAGCGGCAGTCTCGTGGAACACTTGCCAGCTCACACATGCCGCCAGAACTGCTAGAAGAGCCAACAAGCCAAAGGGAAATCTCCAGCCAAATGCAGAGGCCAGGAACCCTCCAACAACCGGGGCGAAGATCGGGCCGATCTGCATGAGAAACAACATTCTACCCATTGCCTGCTGCCTGCTGGCCGGGTCGTCAAAGCAGTCACGCATGCTTGCGAGAATGACGACGTACACAGAGGCTGCCAAGCCTTGGATCACACGCCCAGCCATGAACCAGGCCAGATTGGTGGCGCCTGAGAAAAAGACACAAAACTGTGCTTGTCATTCAGCTATCAGAATTAGTAGCAGGTATGTTGTTTGAGTCTGGCTTGCTTTCTGAGCTTGCAGAAAGCAGTAGCAACATGCAAGGATAGCACCTGGATAGCCAAACAACGACGAAACCACCCAAGGCGCACATGCAAGTGAAGGTGCTGATGGCTTGCATTACTTGACAAATCAATATTACTGGTCTTCTGCCGATTTGGTCCGAGAGCGGGCCGACAACCAGTATTCCAAGAGCGCAGCTGAGAAGATGGACCTGAATGGTGGACCCCATTGCAGTTGGAGACACTTTCAAATCCCTGGCGATGTCGGGCATGTTTGGCTGGTATTGGTCCGTGCAGGAATAGTCCAAGAGCATTGTCATTGCCAGGACCAGCTGAGTCACCATGGTCATGCCGGTTGTCTCCTAACAAGAATGAATGGCGTCTTGGAACGTCTTGGATGGATACTCTGCACATCACTTCGCCAAGCTCTGCCAAGACGCTCGTGCTTTTGGCAGACAATCTTGGGGCACACCACGGCAGGCCAGGTAGGGCAGGAGCAATGCCAAAGACAATGCGGTAAGCACTGTTATTGCCTGGGACATCCACCTCAGCAGGGCTGAAGAAAAACAAGGATCAAGACAGCCTCACGCCCTGCGACAACGTCTCCGTTGCAGGGGAAGTGGCTGGACCACAGGCCAAGCCGGCCAAGCTAATGTGTCGCTTTGCCAGGCTGACTTCCACATCTGAAGCATCTCGAACCTCAACTTGCTGCAAGATTTTTCTTTTAGCTTTCTCCGAAGGCTGCAACATGCTGGAACTGAGTGGCTGCTGCTGCTGCCACAGTCGAGGCCAGTCCACATCGGCAACGTGTTGAAGAGTCGTCTTCATGACGGCAGGAAAGGCGCGAAAATCTGAAGATGTCTGACAATAGCGTTGGGCATTTGAGATGTCAAGCCTGAACGGCTGCGAATGCAAAACTGCAGGCAGGCGGCCTCCGTAAACACACATAAACAGCAGGGCCATCGAACAAATGATCGAAAACCATCGAACCCCCCACCCAAAAAAAAGAAACATCTAAGCGCCGGAAAAAAATCTCGAAAGAAGAAGGGATGTTTGACTCGTCATTGACCCTGTCTTTGGCCTCAGGGTCGCTGCGGAAGCTTAGCAGCTGCTCAACCTGAGAGAAGACCCGTCTTCGTACGATTCAGCTGTTATGGCCGGCTACTGCAACAACTGCAAGGCACACCGTGCTGGCCCTCTGAGCGCATCTACCTGATACTAGTGACACCAATCCAGTTGACACCGCATCTTGACAGAAGTTGCCTTCGGCTTCTTAGGGACAGACTGCTTTGGTGTCGGGCCGGCTGGCTGCGAGCCACAGTGGCGTCCGGCCCAGGTGGTCGCGCACCTCGGCAAGCTGAGATCAGGGCTTGGAGAGCTGAGACCACCGTGCTAGAATTGACGAGTCCGGGGTCTGATGACGAGGCACATGGAGCGGCAGTAGCTCTGACAACGAAGCGTCGGCATTAACCTCCAGGTTTGAGCAGCAATGATCCCAAGACAACACCAGAATCGGTCCAGAAAATGCTCAGTCACTGGAACCGAGAGCGAGATGCTCAACAAGAATGAAATTGCACACGGCCTGCCGACTTTGTTGCTTTGCCACACTCTGTTACAGTAGTAGACCAGCCGCGCTGCAGAAAGAGCTCAGCAACCAGTACCGAGCACCCACTGCAATTCACGCACTAGAATAGCACTAGCTTACTCTCCCCAAGTGACGAAGGAATACACACGATTCACACGATCACTTGAGGGGGCCCTGGGACCGACTGACTTATTGATTGGCAATAGCCGCGGCTCAAACCCGTGCCAGAGTGACCCGAGCATGTGGCAATGCTTCCGAGACCAGGCGCAACAAGCGAGCAGCATACCTTTCACGCTCGATTCTGCACTGGAGACTCAAGCCCACCAAGCCTCAGCTTGCTCACTCAGCCAAACAGCTCAATTCAACCACGATACCTGCTCTGGCAGGCCGCATGAAGCAGCGTCTGCCCCTGCTCTTGATCCGTGGTCTTGCTGAGGTCCTGTCAAGGTCTACTCTTCTACCTGATCTCTGCCTAAAGCTGAGCTGAGTCACCTGGCAGCGGACACCACTAAGCCGCAGCCGACCACGTCGTTCCGACAAGACCTCCATGCGGCCAGTGCAAAGCACGATCCAGTTGCAAAGCTTGCCCTAATCCAGCCAGCCGAGACGACCATGCACGGTCACACGAAAGCCTAGCCAGTGAGGCGATTGCATGCTTTTGCTATCGAGAGCCTCTGCCCTTGGCTGTGGGAGCCAGGCCCAGTGCCTGCAGGGATGCGCCAGGTCTTCGAAACTGTCAGATGTTGGGTCGTGTTCAGAGCCCATGAGGCCGCAGGCTGGAAGGTGCAGAAACGAAACCAACTCTGTTTTGCAAAAATGTGTAGTGTAGACATCTATAGGTTTTGAGATCCCTGAAGGTGGTTTTCCCCTTGCAGTCGGTTCCCAGCCTCGTCCGTCGAACGCCTGATGGAAGCACCTCCTAGAAAGGCTGCGTGCGGCGGAGAAGCATGTCTTACGTAGTCTGTTTGTTGTCCAATCTTCTGCGTTCAGTTCAGCGCTTACAGTAGCGGCTCTCGAAAAAGCTGACCTTCTTTGGCTCGCATGCGGCGGCATGGCCTTAATGTGCCTTGATGACCCTGAGCCCCTCAGCTTGACGCCACTAACGCTCACCCAAACGCATGCTCAATGCCTCCGTGGCGAAGCCCGAGGCCGAAGTGCCTGCTGGCGCCATCGCCTGCAGAGTCCAGCGGTGGCAGCGTGTCCTGAGGTCGCCCTGGCCACCCTGCTGGCAAACAGCCCTGTCCTGCGAAAGCAAAGAAACTTGGCCAATTTCGCAGCCCAAGGATCAGCAGGCCGGGAAAATATTCGGATTGCCTGCATGCGCACAACAGTGGTTGCAAGCCCACACGTGGAAAGGGCATCTGCCATGGCTCGGTCTTATTTGGACCGTAGACATATACGGCATTCGCAATGCTGAGAAGAGATGCCTCAATTCCACAGACACCTGCGGAATGCAGTCATCTTCCTCCTGCCAGAGAGCGCAACAGTTGTGAGTGCAACTGGTCGGAGTCACAAGTCGACAAGAGTGCGTCCTCCCAGGAAGGCAGCACCAGCGCCAGCGCGCCGCCCAGGAAGTTCTGGAGCCGGTCCACCCAACTCTTCCCATCTTTGGGGTCGAATCTAAGTTGCGCATCACGAAGCTTCTCAGCTTTGAGACTGTAAACACATCCAAAAGCCAAGAAGCAAAGCTGTGGGAGGCCGCTGCCGCAAGTGCGGAAACAGCCTGATCTGAAAATGGGATACAGGCAGCCGCATCACGTAACTGCACCGAAGCTGCTACACTTGGTGCTTTCGGAGGGGCGATTTGCCGTCTGCCAAGGTGTCAATGCTGTGCATTTCCTGAGTAGCAAGGCATGCCCATCACCAGCTTGTTACTTGGTGACACCACACACCATCTTTGGATTCACAGTGTCTCAGTGAGATGTATACGATATGTATATGCGACTTAAGGGCAGACGAGACTCCAGCAGGCAGAAACGCTTGGCATCTTCATCCTTGCGGCAGGATGTTCAGGGCTGAGCACATCTCGGCTGCCACAGACAGGTCCCCGAGCATCCCCGACCACCACCCTCCTCGTCTTGCACCAGGCGCACCTGGAATGTGGAGAGCTTGAACTCAGTCTGAGGCACACCCTAACACGCACGAATCAAGTCCGGTGCATCCAGAAGCAGCTCATGAACGATCCGTAGAACACCGGCACCCGCGATACCTTGGGCAGAAGTGGTCCAAACTTTGCACTATCGAGGCCATTTGGGGGAGATGGGGAGTTGGGTGGGAGGAGCTGCGGCAGTTCCGGGTGTTGGGAGGCCTTGGTTGGGGGACAGAGAAAAATCGATGCGCAAATCGATGCGCCACTCCAGGGCAGAAAATTAGACCTTCGTTGGGAAATCTTGGGCAGACCGCCGATGCATCATGCTACTCTAGTTGCACCTTTGCACCCTACACGCGAACTTAAGCCCTCGGACTACTTCAGCGGAGCCGGGGCGCGACATCGTTCATGATACCGCGGAGCTGCAAATTCCGGCTGTTACTCTCAACTCATTTCCAGCCATGATGCTCGTGCCATCACGCAGTGACAGAGACGTCCCGTGTCTCAGATCCTCAAGCAGCTCAAGTCTTGTGCTTGCTCTTAGCACCCTCTACCTAACTTGCCACAACATACCATAACTTCTACCTTATCAATCCTTTACCTGACATTGGCGCTACATCCCCCACAGCACTCCTCCAGAAGACGCTCCGCACGACCAGGTGCCCAGAACTTTGCCGAGTGCACACCATGCTCCTCTGAGGCAGTGACAACAAGCCCCCAAGGGACAATATTCATCAATATATAGACTCTGTAGACATACAGTACTCATGCTAAAACATCTCCTGAAGCCGTGCAACGAGGGCCGAGGAGTCGGGGAAGTCCTCGGCCTGCCATGCGCTGAGTCGCTGCGCTCTTGAGCTTGCAACAACGCATGTCGAGGCGCTCAAAGCGCCCTTGGCAATTGGCACACATGGAACGGGGCCAAGACACTTTCCACAGCTGGCACAGAGCATCCTGTCCAGGGTGTCCAAGGAATGGGAGGGTCCAAGATAGCTGCACACGGCATGTATCCAAATGTTTGCAGCCGTATGCTGAGAATCCTGGGTTGGCCGCGCCCATCCAGGTAAGGCTCTGCTGGTGCCTGAGACGCGGAACATGTGAGATACCTTTCGTGCAGATTGCAATCAGGGCCAGGCCTTCGCTGACCTCGAAGCATGGGAGCTGCAGAAACCTGCAAAGAACTTTTTTTCGGCACCAGAACAATCATGACAAGTCAGAAGGCACGCTGAAGGCCGTCGAGGCACATCTGCAGCAGCTCAGGGCTGGCAGGGTCCTGCCCGCATCTTGAGCTTCTAGGATCTTGTGGGGATGGTGCCCTACTTGCCCTGCCTCTGCCTGAAGGGCTCGGAAAACGTCTTCCCGCAGGATCTCCAAATCCTCTCAGCTGCGCCCCGGCCCAAGCATCGTCCCATTCTTTGCACGACATGTGCAAAATTGTGCAAACCCCGTGAACATCACCAATCCTGCGCGGAATCCAAGCGCTCCAAGGCCTGATGCATCATCTGCCTCGGCTCCCCGCATGGCTTCGCATGGCTTCGCAGGGCTTCGCATGGCCAGTTGCGGCCTTTCACTCCCTTTCTGCTAAGTCAAGGCCAGGGGGCGCCACGGCTGTGGGGCCCCCCTGAGCTGTTGCCTGGACACCCAGTTCAACATGTTTCAGCCCAGTTGCACCATGCTGAAAGGACCTTCGGCTCAAGACATGTAAACCTTTCACCCGCCTCCGTCAGAATTTCTGCCCATGCCACATCCTGGGTGCAAGCGTGGACAGATAACGTCGCCGCATCAGCACCAATTCCGCTGTGCTCCGATTCGCTTCAGAAAACAGATACTGAAACAACGCAATGACGCTGTCCATTTCCTGCCCAATCTTGCAGCTATCCGACGACCCCCCTTCGCCAGCAAATCCTTGGCCATCTTACCTTCTAAGGTCGTTTACTTTCCCACCTCTTCGACCCCTCTTGGAACTGCCGACAGTTCGGGGATAGGTTACTGCCGACGCATGTCGCGCGCATCTACACAAGCTCGGGCCGAGAGACCTCCAAGAAAGCCGGTTGCGATGTACTTGGCACGTCCTTTGGAAGCTCTCACAGATCTCGCAAGAATTCCGCAGGAGGTGCCTTGCCACCTGCCGACCTTTTGCCGGCAAAGGCACCAACGGGCAGGCTGCAGCTTCAGCCAGGCGGCGCATCTCCGGCATCCGCAGCCTTAGCTTGGTGCAGGATGGTGCAGTGCCACGCTTCACTATCGATGTTTCGAGCATGGATACCGCTGGAACCCTCTCTGCCAAGCATCAGCTGCTGCGCTGTCAGTCGACCATCCGGCACCTGAGAAGGCACAAGC